ACAGCAGTGGGTGTACTTTATGCTCACTGAATACTCAGCCCGAGAGCCTGAGAGCTTCATTAAATGTCTTATAAGTTGCTTCGAACTCATTTGACTATGTTATGTGACCCCAATCGCCCACCCACTGCTGTTAAAGCATTTCAGCTACTGCCGTTTTTGGCATGCTTAGTCAGACTCGGTGATCTCGGGGAGACGATTTGTTCCAGCCGTCCTATAGCGTTCTCCTCCTCTTGTTCGTTCTGTATCCGGTAATTCTCATATAATACATTTTCTTACGTAATATTTCACTTCTGCCCTAGTAATTAGAGGAGCGCGAACGCTAAGGACGGGTGGTTTAGGAGCCTGGGTCGACAAACGCCACAGCCAGGCAGGTGCCGCCGGCTATGCTAGTGCGCTAAGCGCCCATTTCAAGGCAGCCTCTCCAGCCACTGCCAGACGGCGAATGATGGATGTGATAAACATACGTCGGCGTGGGCACCTGTTGTTCCGGGTGCTTGGGAACATCATCAAGTATATGATATATGGGTGCAGGCATTCGGACAGCCCTAGGGCTGAACGCTGCCTGCTCTGAACCATCTTCTTCCCCCCCTCCCCACTCCGCCTGCAGCTGTCTCTCTCTGGAGGGCTATAATGTCCACTAGCAGGATCAAGTCAGACAAGTGGCAATAAGATTTCATCGGAAGGTTCTGTATCAGTATTAGAGCAATGCTGAGGTCAGTACACTATCGTAGGAGCAAATAGAGTGCAAAGACTGCTCGATCGTCAACTGGTCACCCGCTGACATTTCTTGCGAGCAGCGTCTTCTCTTCAGTAGATGCCTATGATTTGCAGCGTAGTCGGTGAGTAGAGCTGGGAAGTCATGAATGTTACAGTCTAAGTGGGTCTCACCCGTATACGTATGTCTATCAGATACATTTGTTTTGCCAGTTTTTGCATTCTGGTCTACGACAGTTTCCTGACATTTCAAGACGAAGTATGTATCTACAGCTGTCCACCTTTTGATATGGAAGAATTAAATCTCGGGTTAGCTCCATTATGTTTGGCCTATGCTGAAGCCGCCCCACACCCTAGTTTCAGTGATGTTCCTGGTCAACCGATACGGCAACATGATCTTGCTGGCACTTCTCAGCTCACAAGCAGCTGGATCATGGGTTCCACAGGATCATATGGTTTGTCTAAACTATGCGCTAAGTGCGTTCATGCCGATGAAGGACCTCCACTATAGTCCTGTGAAGCATTCACTATCACAACAAATCTCCTAGTGCTTGTCTCGCTCGCATCTATCAACGGTGAATCTCGTTCTTGTAACTGTAACGAAAACTATGAAACAGTAGACACCGCAGCGGGCGTCCCTTTAAGGAGAGCATGGGCTGCTTGGGAGGGCCGCGACCGACCCAACATAACGGCAAATCTTTATCTGACATTCACGGCCTATGCCATCCCAAGTGCCGCTTTGCTGATCTATGGTAGCGCTTCGGGGCAAGGTGCGTGGTGTATTTAGTCCCCAACTCATCTGCCAACTCCCGACACGCAGCCGGAGGGCGGACTGGCACATATGAAACATGCATTAATCATCTACCTCGTAAGTCAATAAGTAGAGACGCAAGGCACGAGCTCACGAACTGACCACCCGATAGGATGGCTTGTGCGTTGATGCCATGCTTCATCTGCACGCTACCAATGACTGACGGGGACCTCCGAAGTGGGTGTTCTGGGTGCCAAGGTAGGCCCGAATTTACATGCCATAGTACGTTTTAGACTCATGAGCGCCACAGCATAGCGCTCAATACCACAGCGTTCACCTTAACATCATTGAAGCTGCGTCGCCATTTGCAACCACTTGGTTCCTCCTACATTGTGAAGACCGCCTACAACGACTGTGAGAGCATTTTCATGTCGCGCTTCGCGTCTCCGTATACTAATCTCTGCTGTAATATAGCTTTGCTGTGTTTCATAGTAAGTTCACTTCCCGTGATGACAAGCCGCGACTTGAAAGTTCGCCTCAAGTTCTCCGTCACGATCGACGTCTGGAATATTCTCTACTGGTAAGTCAGTCGGGTTGATTAAGAAGTATTCCCTAACACTGACAATCCGACAGGGCTCTCAGTGATTCAGTCAGTACCACGATCCGCTCCGACTATATCTGACTGATCTGATTTTGCAGAGATATCGCCACACACTGTCCCTAATGTACGTCTCGTCGCCGAATTCATGGTCATGCCGATTGCTGAAGGGCTCCTCCCAAGGTTGACCCTGGCATTGACGAACGTCGTGAGCCAGCGTCTCGTCGTTCGACTTCGTGCGAGCGATGAACTGGACTATAACGAAGACCATATACTCGGCACGTTCTCGAAAGAGCTCGACATCATTGCTAGGCCCGCTTCGCCCATGATCTTCGAGGAAGTGCCCAAGTCACCCACAAATAATGTCCGGACAGACATTTACGAATTCCGTCGCCCAGGACGATTGAGCCATATTTCCGAGGAGGTTGAACTGACAGTGCATTGAAGTAGTGAATATGTTTGAGTGACTAGTTCGCACCAGGCACAGTGTAAACACTTGTAATCGTTTGTTGGTCGCCTAATAAATACCGTAGGATCAAAACTGTCGGCGCGAAGAAGTGCATGATCAGTCCCCATTGCCACAAGCACTAAGTTATGTCCCTTCTCCCGGAGTTCTCCGTCACCGACGTGCCACACACCACGATCCCCGGCAGAAGAACCTCCAATATCTACCTAACTAGTAGACCTCTGGACTAGTTGGATCGAGTGGATGGATCCGAAGGCCGCGTCGTGACCCGATTCTGGGTCCCGGCGGGAGTATGTATGCTTTCGCCCCACTGGCTACGGCTCTGCTGCACCGTCGATAGCGCGCCCGATGGATGTCCCGGCTTATGCACGCCGCAACATAGGGTGCGTCAGATCCGCTGATGCAGGCAAGATGAGGATAGGATTCCTTAGATGAGCCTATCACTAGGACTAAAGTGCTCGAGACATCATCATTATGGCTGAGACGTTGAGAGTATTGACGAGACGAACCGTTTTCAACTTCACTATTGACCAACGAACCACCTTATGTCGTTGAAAATCCGCTCGGGAACAGATTCATCTTGGCGACGCAGTCTTGCTCGCATCATCGACGGATTTGCATTGGCCCACAAAGTTCGGAAGTTATTCACGAGTACGTCAGCCGGAGGCCGCTGGGCAGGGTTCTCGGTCATCATGGCCTGTATGAGAGGTAGCAGCCATTCAAGGCCGTAGTACTTCTGATATCGAGTAGGTTTCTGGCTCCTCCATGATAAACGACAGACTCACCTGGTAGAATTCGGTCTGGTAAAGGTGACCTAGGGTGAATATGTCGACTTTGAATGGATCGTATGGGATGATCCTGGAAAGCTCGGGAACATCTTGATCACGTCCTTTCCCACCGACCACAATATGGCGTTCGCCTGGTCGAAATCGAGTAGATAGTCCGAAATCCACGAAGTAATAACGGACCGGCGTATCTATACGCTGGAGAGGTTTTACTTCCCGCAGAGCATCGGGGGATAAAGTCCGTCGGACGGGGTGCCATCCTTCAGGGTACAATGGGTGACCATCCATCATGATGTTCGGACCAGAGCAGTCTCTTGGAACAGTATCAGTAGGCGAAAGTCTGTAATACACGACAGGATAGCTTGCCTGTGTGCCACATTCAAGCTGTGCATAAACGAGAGCCCCTAAGCGCCGGCGTGTCTGAGGCATTTCAGCGTAGGAGAAACACAGTGCGTACCTCCAGGGTCTGAGCTACAAAATCAAACACTTCTCCTATAGCGCCAAACTCCGGGTCATTGAAGGGGCGCAGAAGGGGCATCACCATGAACGCCTTATCAGGCTCTAGGAGGTCGTGAAATACATCTAGTATAGGTACGCAATGGTTTCGAGGATCATGTCTATATTGCTCCGAGGACAGGAAAGATGCTATGCCGATCTCAGGCGTGGACCGTTTGGTATGCTTCAAAATAACGACAGTTCCATCCTTTCGTTTGGCATCTAAAATTTGAGGAATCTGAAAGCACGTTAGCACAGGCATATCGGGCTATTGCACCAATACCTTACTCGCTGTCGTATTGCATCCTCACAGAACTCAGGATCGATGTTCTTGCCTATCCACGACGGCGTCCATCCTGCTTTGTACCGAGGACGAAGTTGGTATCCACGGGATTCAAAGTAGTCGTAGCGATCTCTCCAGGACATCTCCACTTCGGCGAGAGCCCAGACTCCCTCCTCCGTAGATTCGGCATATTTTTGAGCTGTCCTAGGGGATAATCTAGCGTACGAGGGTAGTTCAGGCCGGCTGTTATTCATCTAGACACCAGTGCGCTTGTTCCTTTCTAAGATGACAGTACGTTCAGCCTTATGGTCTCGGTCGCAATCGCCTGCACTGAGGTTGAGCCCGAAGTGTTGGTATGTGTGGACGTGTGGGTCCCACTATGAGAGCTTTGCAATGATGCATCGGGGTCATCCTGCACATCTCGAGTAGTAAACGTGGATCAGCCACGCCTTCTCTTAGTCTAACTTCCGACTATCATGAGGCAACTTCAAGAAGCGTCCCAACCTATGCCAGGTGGGAGAAGTGCCAAGTGATAAATACAGCGTATGGCAGATGGAAAGAGGTTTCCCCTCCTCTTCCTTCTAAACCCCAGTACGCTCCGTTCCTCCATTAACACCCTCAGTTATGGCCGGCGCCGCCGATATTTTTGGATATGTCACAGGGGCCGTCTCATTTGTCGTCCTGATGATTACTGGGTCTCGGACCCTTCTGCCGAGCGTGAAGATCAAGCAACTAGATGAAATCTTGGACGACACCGAGAAGACCTTGCGCAGCGTAGTCGAGGACGGCTTTATCAATGACCAGAGAGTGGTCAGAATGATGTACCAGTCTCTGACTTCGTGAGTACGCGTAGCGCGTAGGGTGTGGTGTTGCGTACCAACCGTACCGAACTATCTCTTTCAGTATCCAGAAACGGTCCAGACATCTTCGCGCCCGAACGAAGTGCGCCACTTCGCTCTGGAAGGAATGGCATGAGTTTTTCCAAGGGCTCTCGAGAACAATCGTTGGATGTATAGAAGAAGCGAAGGATTTGAGGGCTTTGGTTATCGTATGTCAGTAACGACATCGAAGTATAACGATACTCACTTCTTTCCAGTCTACCAGCGAAGAGGAGCGACGTCGTCTAGAGCGCCAGGGTGGCGCTGAAGTAATATTTGTCGCATTACGATCTCAGCTAGAAAACATTAGCGAGGAACAAGCCGCTAGACAGCCCACATACCGGTATGCATTCTTGATTTGTACGCCTGCTGCAATGTGCCAATGTTACGCAGTGACCTTACGCCCTCCACTATCGATCAAGTCAGTATGGACTATGTCTGGGTATCAAGTACCCTTCCCAGCCGTAAGCGTCATCATTGTCCTTGTACCGACATCCGGTTGAAATAGGTTTACTAGATCGAAGCGACCAACCCAAATACGTGGACCCCTTCGAGCAACCGATTGAAGTGGACATCACAGATCAAGCAACGGAAGGCTTTGCCGTCGACTTCGATACGCACTAGCATTGAGATGCGTCAGGTACAGGGTGAAGGGCAAAGCTCGTACCGTTTATTCCTGAGAGATCCTCCATACTTTTACGGTCTTCTGATATGACTATCCCTTATATCGTTTGTGTATCCTGTAACAGATCTTGTCATGCATACTGGTTTATGATGTATCGCATAGCTGGAACAGGGACGAGCCCTGCAGCAGCTCCCCGAATCCGGCCTTGAAGAAAAGCGAGGACGAACTCAAGGTTTGCAATGGCCAGCATTCCCGCAGACCCGAGGCTCGCCATCCCACATTCTCTTACGTCTATATATGTAATCAGTACACGGGCTACCGGAGGGGTCCGCATTCACCTTCGAGAATGGGCTAGACACGGGACTAAGGGGTTCCAATATCCTCAGATTACTTGTGGCTTACAGTGGCTCAGAGGGTTAGTAAGGTTGAGCAATGGTGCAGTTCACTATTCTTCAATACGCAGATATACTGGTACGGCGAGACATTAAGAAGTAGAACGAATGGCTCGACACGATTTCCATCCCCGCCCAGGTTCTTCCCTGCACAGTGTATATGCCATACCTTCTAATCCGACCAACGTCTGGCCATTACACCCCTTGTCCCACGCTGTTTGTCGTAAAGGTTGCCTGTAGCGAGAAGGGCCACTGCCCACTCCGGAAGACAGATAGATCGATGTCAATCGTAATGACTAAGGCCCGCCTGTTTTCGCTTGTTGCGTATGCTGTTTGCATAGTGTCGTTCCGCTGCATTCGAATACAGCGCTTATGGGCCGGTATCGTCCATGGGCGTATAGCGCACGCTGCATACGGCGCCTATGTCGACGGTTGGGCTTGACCCGACCATCTACCAGCGAAGTCGATAACCTGCCCAAGGTTGCCGGAAAGTAGCCAAAGCTCTGCATCACGCGGCGCTCTGCTAAATGTCAATGGTGAACGAGGTTGCACAAAAGTAAAGCAAGTGGCGAGTACATACGCTTATTATCCCGCGAACCATTTTATAATCCGTTCTGAAATAGTTTCATCTTGTCGTCGCAACTTCATTCTCAGTGCAGAAGGATTGATATTTGCACGCAAGGTGGTGAATATGTTTATCGAAGCTTCAGCGGTGGGGCGCTGGCCGGGATCCTGGGCCATCATAGCCTGTATGAGAGGAAGAAGGCACTCCATTCCGTGAAACTTCTGAAGGTACACTCAGTCATTCATATTCCTGCACGTGAATTCGGACGTACCTCGTAAAATGCTGCCTGATATAGGTGCCCTAGAGTGAAAATATCTACCTTGAAGGGATCGTAGGGAGTGGTCCAGGATAGTTCGGGGACATCCTGGTCCCGCCCCTTCCCACCTACTACAAGCTTTCTCTCGCTGTCCAAACGGGTGGATAGCCCGAAGTCCACAAAATAATAGCGTACTGGAGCGTCGACCCGCTGAAGAGGCTTCACTTGGTGGATAGCATCAGGAGAGAGATCACGTCGGACGGGATGCCATCCTTCCGGATAGAGGGGACGGGCATCCATCATGATATTGGGACCCGCGCAATCGCTGAGAAAGATATCAGTGAAGTTAGGAGACAGCAGAATATGCTACTATACCGATGCGCGACATTTAAGCTGTGCATGAATGCAATACCCTAAGCAGCGCAGCTTGAGATTATGGTCCAGTGCAAGGAAATCTACTGACCTCAAGGGTTTGCCCTATGAAATCGAGCACCTCGCCGAAGGCACCGAATTCTGGGTCATCGAAAGGGCGCAACAAGGGCATGGCAAAGAACACCATCGTAGGATCCACAGGATCAGGAAATACGTCTAAAACAGGGGCACAGTGGTTTCGCGGATCTCCTTTAAATCTCTCGGAGCATAAGAACCGAGCTATAGCAATTTCCTGCGTGGTGCGCTTTGTATGTTTGAGCGCAACTACAGTTCCGTCTGGACGAGTTGCATCCAGAATCTGAGGGAGCTTCACTGACTATGAGCTTCAGGTGAGACCGGTTATTGAGCCAAAATCTCACCATCTGATCGATAGCATCTTCACAGAATTCTGGGTCAACATTGGTACCAATCCAGGAAGGTTTCCATCCTGCACGATATCGGGGACGTAACATATACCCTCGGGATGCAAGATATGGCTGACGATCTCTCCACCACATCTCCACCGGGTCAAGCTCCCAAGTACCCTCCTCTGTAGCCACAGCATACCGCTGAGCTGTCGCAGGGGATAACCTCGCGTAAGATGGCAATTCCGATGGGCTGTTGGTCACCATCTAGCTGGGGAATTCGAGGCTCGGGAGCTGGGGATAATTGGTGGGATTAGGGATGCATGCAGCCCGCCAGCGGCGGTGGACAACGGTATTCACGTAGTTGCGATTGCTGCAGTATAATATACAGCCAAGTATGCAAGGACGAGAGTATATGTACCAGCCTGCTTGGGAGAAGCTAGTATATGTTGCAGCTGAGTACGTGCCAGAAAGTGCAATCCTCCCTCAGGCTCCTAAAACCATCCGTCTCGCGTCCTCGTTCCTCTCTACTAGGACACGTGTGAAAATGTTTATATAATACAATCTATTTTTACAGAATTTCCTGATTAAGATGACTAGTGAGGAAGAGGACGCTATGAGACGGCTGGCGGAACTCGTCGTCCGAGCTTTCTCCGCAATTAGGTAAGCCCTCTAAGCGACTAAGAAAATGGCCTTTTCAAAGTCTCGTCGACTGCCCGATCCGGTTATCCGAAAGCGCTCTGTCACGCTCGTCGTGACCGGCCTTGCGTCCTCCTTGAGGACAAGCTAGTTTCCTAGTCAGGCTACAGCTGTCTTCTTAGATCAGATCATTGTGCACACTATGTCATCATCCAGTGAACAGAAGTGGACATTCAAGCGTATCCGAGATCTCGTGCAAGCAAAGCTCGGTAAGAGACCTTGCCTATGGCAGATGAAAGTTGCCCTTGCCCTGTACGAAGGGAAGAAAGATGTTGTAGCAGTGGCGCCAACCGGTGCTGGCAAGACACTCTCATTCTGGATTCCATTACTTATGGTTCTCGAGGACGGACAGGACAAGACAGGTGTGATCATTACCCCTTTAAACCTACTTGGTAAGCAAAGTGCAGAGTCGGAGCTTCTGGCTCGTGCGGGTATCAGCGGGGTAGCAATCGAGGCGAAGACTGCAACGGATAAGACATTCAAGGCACAGTTTTCTAGATATTCTAATACATCATCTTGCTGATGACTGAATCCTTGCAGGATGTGGAAGCTGGGAAGCATAGAGTCCTTGTAGTTAACCCCGAGATCCTATCAATGGAGGGCGGCCATTTCGAGAGGCTGTGGAAGAAGTCGGCCTTCACATCCAAGCTCTTGTACTTCGCGTTTGACGAAGGACATTGTGTGAGCACATGGAGCGAGTTCCGGAACAAATACAAATATATGGCAAATCTCCGGTATCTCATTTCGGAAGCGATACCGTTCTATGTAACTTCAGCCACGCTCCCGGACCCCATTCTCCATGATGTCGTTAGCATCCTCCAGCTACATCCAAAAAATACGGAGTACATCTGTCGATCAAATGATAGACCAGATATCCATCTGGCTGTGCATCGCATGCTGTGGCCCGCAAATTCCTTTCGGGATCTTGATTTCATAATAAAATCTGGATTTAAGGAAGGTGATCCGCCACCTCCGAAATTCCTCATATTTTTCGATGCTCGGAAGGAGACCGAGGCGGCGGTTAAGCATCTACGCTCGAGGTTACCAGAGTCACTCCGGGGTAAAATCAAATATTTCCATTCGGTAATGACCTCCGAGTACCGAGAAGATGAATACAACGCGCTGCGGGATGATGAGATATGGGGACTCTGCGTAACGGATGCATTTGGAATGGTACGTTGCAGAAATAGGAACTGGACTTATATTGAAATGGCTCGGTTACAGGGGCTTGATTTACCTGATGTCAAGCTAATCATACAATACAGAGTCACCTGCGATGCAAATACATTATGGCAACGATTTGGCCGTGGAGCGCGGGGAGATGGACAAGAAGGCATTGCCGTGCTCTTTGCAGAAAAGAGCTTCTTTGACAGCGAACGCGCAAAAGCTGCAGAGAAAAGGGCAAAGAAACCGAAGAAACGGAAGCCACGTACACAGAAGGTCAAGGACTCGAATGCGAAGCGTGCCCGCATCGCTCCTACTACCAGCGAGTCTCACGCATCAGAAGACGAAGATGATCCTGATGCTGATAGTGATGGGATGTCAGATAGTACGGCACCAACAGATACTGAGGCTGGCAGGGCCACTGTACCAGAGACATCCGGAGCCGGACACGGGGAGCAAGGCAGGGCGCAGAATTTGGAGAAAGTCGCTGAAGATGCTGAGCTGGAGGAAAGGCGAGCTGTTTATCTGGAGCCGTTGAAGCGAGACGAAACAACTATACGCAACGCGCAATCAGCACGTTTGCTCCATCCAGTAATGGACGATTTCATTAACGCCCCGACACGGGGATTTTTGTGCCGGAGGAAACCCATGTCATTGTTCTTCTCGAACGACAAGCGTGGTGAGTCCTTCTATAGATCCGATTTTGGAGAGTATTCTCATGACCGTATGCTAGCCTGGGATCATCAAGATTGCGATAAAGGCTCACCTGCAGGCTGTTCGCGCTGTCGTCCCAAGCAGTCCCGACTCTGCTGTGATCTGTGCTCCCCCCTCGAGAGGTCCTTGACTCTATTCGGCTCCTCGGACTTGGATGCACCGGCGGCGAAGATGTCCAAGAGATCCCCACTCAAGCCATACGACTACACCGATAAGACTCAAGAATTGCTCACGGAGCTTCTCGACTGGCGTCGACGAACAGCACCACTCCAGCTTTCAAGCTCAGCCCTGAAGAAATTCGGCCCCGATGTTTTCATTGGCTTGAAGACATTGCAACGGGTAGTGGACTGCGCGCACCATGGCAAGATGAACTCAGTCGAGAATCTCAAGCGCGAAACAAGCTGGAAGAGCGACTGGGCTGATCGACACGGCCTGTCGCTGCTGGAGACTGTGCAGAAGTTCTACCCGCAGGCCGAGCCGTCAGTGCCTCCGAGCGGGGGGTCGAAAAGCAGCGTTTGTAACGTGCTCACGGACTCTTCTGCAGCGAACACCGATAACACCAGTGCGCGCAAGCGGAAGCCGGTGACTTGCAGCCGTTGTAAGCAAGTCGGACACAACAGTACGTGCTTGTATCAGATCGTGTAGTCTCTCTCAGTCCCATCCCTGTACCATAGATCGAAATGCGAAGTGCCCACTGAAATCAAGCCAATCTACCAATGTACCTGCCACAGACAGCGAGAATGCGCCACCGGCGGGACCCTCAAATACAGCAAATGGTGAGTAGCCAGTACTTTAGATTCACGCCCAAGTCATCACTCCGTCTGCTAGGTTATACGGTCATCCAGTTCCAGATCAACCTCGACAATCCCCCGCCTTGCTAGTTCATCATACATCGAGATCACCGTCATCACCGTCGACATTTTCTACATCAACCCACTCTTCCGCATCATCTTGCTTTGTTTGTTTTTGTGTAGTATAGAATTGCATACCATCCCGTAGTGTATCGGGAATGATATGTGCCGATTTTCGCCCGGGAACCTCTGCGTGAGTGGCCATCTTCCTCATATATGTTACGAGCTTATTGATCGTCTTCTGCATCATAGGTGGAGAGTGCTTGAAAGTCCTGTGGTCCATAACAAACATCTTTTCGAAATTGATTCTCATATTCTTCATGACCCCGATCAAGCTGGAATGCATCAGTATATGATTTTTCGTATGGTTCGAGTATTTGCCGCCGTAAATCCTCTGTTGTAATATCATCAGAAGACTGGTAATGAAGCCTCAATTCTGCTTGCCTTGATGTACAGGTTATTGTGCTCTACCCACCAATCAATCCCTCGGAACGAATGTGGTTTGCCTTTCGGGTTGCAGAGAATATTCATCCGGATTGCGCGCCTTCGAAAGGTTAGTTTTCAACCACTGTTCACCGTTATTTCACTTACTTCAGTCTCTCAGGGTATACGAAATGAACGTCGTGTAAGAACTTCACCATCTGCGTTGCGTACTTATGCTTCCCGCACGCGCGGAAAATAAATACCCAAGGCATGAAGCAATCCTCCACCCGGCCAATGTCACCTGCGTTCATGGCGTAGGTCAACTCTTCGTACAGCAGGCAGTGCTGATTTTTGAGGAGGGTATTCTCATACTGTTCGTCTCGGACTTTCCCCGGCCGAAGCCGCTGCGTAGGGAGCTCCTGACCGGCGACATAGTTACGCACAAGGTGCGAGGAAACGGTCACAATCTCCTCCCACGTTGGTTTTGCAGCGGCCCATTTCTCTAGGCTGTCGATGTTGTGGTTTAGCTTGTGCACCTGCTCTCTCCAACAGTCCAGCCGTGATGCAATGCCAACGTGCTGGATGACTTCGTGCATCCGGCGGAAACCAGGTTTGCTTGATATTTTCCCTGTTTCTTTTGGCCGAATCTCACCGACTTGTTTCAGTAGGCTTGTCTCGTCATCACGCGCAGCCCTAGGACTAATGAAGATCTTCCATATTGCATCGGCACATGCCATCTTCAAATGGAAGAGCCCCATAACGAAGACGACAAACTGGAAACGCCGCCATGGCGTCGACTCCTCGCTTCGCGATTTCTGGAGGCTCTGGACACGCTCGCACGTTGAGAGATCTCCGTGGACCAAGATGACGTGATCATCTATGTCTGCGGAATCTTTTGGAGTCCGCGGCTCACGCTTGTCACCAATACCGCCTTGCCGAAAGAGGTTCTCCATAGCGTTCGCATTGCCCTGAACTGTCGACTGGTTTTCATCCATTGCTGCGGCGGGAACCTGCTTGGACTTCACTACTGGAATGGAATCTATCGGCTCGGGATCGGTGAGTTCTTTCACAAACTGCTGGAAGTATGGTGGACCGTGTGATAGAAGGTCACGCAGGAACGCCCAAGCATTGAAACGCTGGCGGCGATCCAAGCCTGACTCATGCTCTTCTTCGGGATGTAAGTCCAATAGTTCTGTCCAGTCGATGTCCTCATTTGCTGACTTATAGGTTTTTGGGTTATTTTGTGATTTACGCCACAAGTCCTCCGAGCACTGCAAATCCTCGCGTGTAACGCCATGGTCAAGCTGTAGAAGTGTCCCGGAGGTCAAGTGCAAGATAGGATCCTCCGGGTTCTGGACGGTGGGCACGCTGTGCTTAATCTCAACATCGAAATTGTCATATGCATATGCCGCAAGAAGGGTGCGTCCGAGTTCCCTTATTTCGCGTCCAGCCTCCTCTGAGAGGCTTGAGATGGCGTGATCGATGGCTGAACATGATATCGAGATGCCTAGCTGCGATAGGAGCTCAATGACGGCTTCGGGCGCATTGCAAGAGTGCAGGAATATGCCGACCATGCTCTGAAGTACGTTGCAACGTTGGTTCGTACTCTGCATCATGACGCTCATGCACAGCACCTTCTTCTGTTTGTTATGTCAGCTGCTTTTCTTATGACACCCACCGCTGTGCTCGTACTCACCATTGTAAGTACCGCGTCGTCCCGTTCTGCTGCCTTATACGGGTCTTGCTCACTCTCCGGATCATCTGGATCCTTGACTAGATCGGGTAAGTCAAACTGCTTCCACAGTGCATCTTCATCATCCGAAGCCGGTACATCTTCATCGGCATCCTGCATGATGGTGTCTTCATCACCACCCGCAGCAGCGGCAGGTGCTGTTCCATGACGACGACTATAGTTTCTGTCAACAGATCGCTTCGCCCGTGCAGCATCGCGCCGCCGCCGCTGAACAAGTACTGAATCCGCGGAGAGCATCACCCCAAGCATATCCCATACGAGCGGTGCCAAGGTACGCATATGGTTCGCTATGTCCTCCAAGTCAAAACTCTCTAATACAGCATTGGTAACCGTCTGTGCGTGGAAGTGCAACCCAGTTTGCGTGTGCGTCAATGCGGTGATCTGTTTCGAATATGTTTCCTTCAGCAAGGTGTGTGCCGATTGCATTGTAGCTTCGCGGCTCGCTGGGTGTCGAGAAAACCGCTGAATGATATTTGGTGCATTGACAACTAGCTCCTGTACTGACTCATGGCCCTCAAGATCTTTATTGTCGAGCAGCGAGAGGACAAGATCAGACACAGTACTCCGTAGAGCCCTTAGGGAATCCAGGACTCCCCACAGCTGTCCGGTAGATAGGACCATGTTGGATGGGATTATTGCATTTCTTTCTCCCTGTCATTCTATATAATACTCCGCATGTTGTACTGCCTACAATATGAACAGTATGTGCATGTTCTAGCTTCCTCAAGGAGGACGCAAGGCCGGTCACGACGAGCGTGACAGAGCGCTTTCGGATAACCGGATCGGGCAGTCGACGAGACTTTGAAAAGGCCATTTTCTTAGTCGCTTAGAGGGCTTACCTAATTGCGGAGAAAGCTCGGACGACGAGTTCCGCCAGCCGTCTCATAGCGTCCTCTTCCTCACTAGTCATCTTAATCAGGAAATTCTGTAAAAATAGATTGTATTATATAAACATTTTCACACGTGTCCTAGTAGAGAGGAACGAGGACGCGAGACGGATGGTTTTAGGAGCCTGAATCCTCCCTACAAAGTTAAGGACGCGAGTCGCTATAAATGGAAGGCCGAGACACTGTGCGGTAACCCCGCAGCGTTGCGAAGGACTTCGTCTGAAGTCGGGGCGACTCGCTTCGGAATGGGAATCCTAAGGCGGTGAGGAGGTTGTGTACTCACTGCAATTCATTCGTACACCGGTAACACCACCTCCCATGATCATGAGAAGTTGAATGGTTTTGTATATCAGTACACATGTAGTTTCAATTTTTTGAAATTGAACCCCAAAGTATAATACCAAGTGAAGGCTTTGTGTATAGATTGGCCCTTGTCCGGACTCAAAGTGCCACAATGTCATCAATATCGGCGCCTTGCAATGACTGCATGATGAGACAGAGAACAAAAGAAATTTTCCAAGTTGCGTACGGAGTGAAGACAACTAGAATCATCACAAGTGAAAAATATTGTCCATGGGTGGGATTGAACCTCGAGCTCATATCATTGCATCTCACGGCCGTTTTCCTAACCATTAAAGTAGCGCTAGAGCCTACCGCACTGTCATCCGTGGACGCAGAGCCTGCTGGCGGCTGCCAGTCCGTCTGTGCTCTGCAGTTGCAGACGCACGTAATGCAGGGAGAGCGGCATGTCACATCTGTGGCGCTCAGCCTCACTGCATGCCCGGCTGGAAGTGTAGGGCATACAGTGCCATACGCTTTCGCCCCCTCAGCACTCAGCACTCAGTACTCAGCACTCAGTACTCAGTCCTCAGCACTCAGCACTCAGCATTTAGTGTTCACGCCGTAGACTGGTCATGAGTCTAATGGGAACATGAAGAAGTTTCATGTCGGACTCTCACTTGGGCTCAGCGACTGGATTACCTTGATGGGCTCGGCCAGGCATCGGGCACGCGCATCCCATGCCTTGTCCGTCTCGTCGCGGAGGGTGCTAAGGGCCCTGATGGAGAAGCTTCGCAGGTATGCTAAATAGGCAGCCATGATTGAGGTGGATGCCCATTTGCCCTTCCAATATCTCATTCATCAGGCTGGGGCCACTTGCGCTTCGATGACTACTTCAGCGGTCGACGTCTTTAGTTACGTCGCAGGCGTCATATCACTCATCGCCCTTGCATATACGGCCTCTCGTGGTTACCTCCCGAGCGTCAGGATGAAGGAATTGCAGGAAGTCCTGGAAGATACAGAGAACATCCTTCATGGCGCCGTAGAGGCTGGATATCTCAGGAACCCGTGGTTCATCTCTAAAGTTCGATATAAACTCAGCTGGCAAGTTGTGTCGGTGTCATCCCTATAGCTGCGACGACTTAATCGTTGAACAGCTTGAAGCGCAAGTCAGATCAGCTACGCGCCAGAAGCCTCTGCGCCACATCACCCTTGAAGGAGTGGAGGGAGCTATTTGCAGGACTATCACGGTCAATAGGTGGGTGCATAAGTCAAGCAAAAGATCTGCGTGCCGCAGTCGTTGTAAGAGACCCGATGCTTTTTATTATACCTAAGGTCAATCTCTGTGTTTAGACGACTAGCGAAGCAGCTCGCCGCCATCTCGATAACGAAGGCCAAAGTGACCCTACGTTGCAGCAGGATTATGCAGAAGTAGGAGGCGAAGATAGGATTGCACTCTATGCTGAACGGGTTGAGCGTGCAAGACCAAGTCGCCGTACGTCGGTCAAGCTCACGGAGGAAGACATGTCGCCTGATCTTTCATAGGCTGTAGAGTCCCAGCCCGTTCGGCATCCTGCCCACCCTCGTTGCATATCAATATCACAAATCCCGTCACTCACCTCTGCGAGCCATTAGGAGGTGTGCATCGATCCATTGCTGACACTTAGAGTGTATACACTGACCTATGGGGTAGAAGGCCAATCGCAAGCTCAAGCTGCTGAGCGCGATTCCGGTAGACCGGAAGCACTACATTACGGGACGGATTCGGACGACGTATCCGTCGCGAGTTTGTTTGAGCCGCCTCCCATCCTCTCGGATGAGGAGCCTGACTCAGTCCCTGGGCTCACTGTGATTGGCAGCACTGCTTGTGAGGTTTAGCAAGCGCACAGGCTATTATGTTACAGTATGAGAGGGTGCTCACTATGCCTCGCAATCTTTGCAGCTTTGTAACATTAGGGATCAGTTTCTGGAGCAGACCTGTATATGGATCATGATGTGCTATCTAATGTTAGTCCCATTATACAATCACAAAAGCATAGCATTGAGGGGGTGCCGAATCATCTTCAATAGGGCACGTTCCATGGAGTGAGTTCAGGTTGGCCCCTGCCGAAGTTGAGAGTCACTGGACCGTACGCTGGCATTGTGGCACTGAATCGATTACAATCCCGAATCCCCGCTACACACATCTTCCAACCTGCACTGGAGTCTCTTCACGAGGGTCACATAACGGCACTCCTTCCAGTTATATGGTCGCAGATACCGCATATTGTGTTGTTCCTGTGTATGGCGGAACGGCGCCTGAGGGAAGTGAGTTTTCATGTTAGAAACCATCCACCTAGGATCCTAAAGCCTTCTGAACAGTTGATACCGTCTATGTGGAGAATGCGCTCGTCTGTCAACACTCCTCCGACAAGCGCATCTAACGGTTATATCTTGACGGTTACCGCGATCCGTTAAAGTACGTGGCAGAATGAAGTGCTACGTACATACATGGGGCATGTAAAATCCATCGTTATCCGTAAGTGCAACGACATACTGGATATAGGCAGCAGCGGGGCTAAATCCACGTCTGACATGGAGAGTTTACTCGTGTTGTGTATGGACGTGACTTACATGATATGCGCCCCCATTACTCATGCCTAAACAGCCACGTATCAGTCCTCGGGGCACGGAGGGACGACGTTGATACCTATACTGCTCGAGTACATTGCTTCTCCCTTCATTGCTAATTCACCCATCTCCCACCTATCTTATGAACGGCGAATGTCCCGTGGCGGGACATCGGTGAACAGCTTGCCGGTCGCTTGGAATACAAGATCGCATTGCATGGCTCTACGCCAATCGCCTCGGAGAATCCATAATACGTCATACTTATTCTGGAGGAACAACGCATTGCCTGCCTCTTTCAATCGTTATGCGTCCGCGTCAATGTACGACTTTCGCGACCTGAAAGCAAGATAGAATCCAAGGGTAAGGTGTCGAGTCTGTTCAACTTCGTCGACCATCCCTTGAAATATCGCGAATCGTGCGAACCAAATGGTCACGAACTTAACTAATAAGATTACGGCGGCCAGCCTTCCATACATACACGCGCAGCTGCATGGTCGAACTAGTAGGACTTACACAATGTCCTATTCCGTCCAAATAACTCGAGAACAGACGGAATCCAGTCTTGCAGATTTTTGTGTCGTCTGCCCCGCCCACGACGTGTCGATACAGAGTAAGGAGGGATATCAGCGTACGAAATCATCACGACTCTGGTAACGAAAGGCGAGCACTCTTGGGCTTTCTACTAGTACCAACTTGGTCTTCGCTTTTCCGCTTATATGTGAAAGACGGTGCGTGTTGACCGGCAAAATGAGATAGGAGTGCTTGGTAGACGTCACGCGTGGGGTTTTGCGGGTTGCGGAAGCCCAGAAATCGAAGTCGGAGACATGAGACGCGTCGTGCGCCCGAGTTGTATTGGGCCTTGATTTCGCGGATGGACAGGTGACTGCATTCCGGGACTCTGTCCTTAACAATTTGCGAGTATGCCACCTTTGTCTTGGACGTTTACTCGTCAGAAGCTGCTATTTGAGTGACAGTCGCCGTGTTTACTCACATCATCTGTGAATGTGCACCACTCTTCAGAGGACAGGTCTTCAGCTTGACAGACTTCATAGAACCCAGCAAAGAACAGTTTCGTGGTGGTGGAAAGATGGGAGACGTTCACAAAAAGAGCTCGTTGTTTAGACTGCGCTAGGGCGGCAAGATCTCTTTCAGATGCCGTGAAAATATATCCATCTTTACCTGGTGCATAGGGACACCAGGGATTCCGATCTAGTCTGGGGCATAGATAACTTGTGATACCGAGGTACGAAAGAGGGTAAAGACCTTGCTTGTCCTTGGGAATGCTGTCCCACGATGAAAATTTAGAAAGAATCGGATCCAAAAACTGTGAATACCTTGTAACAAGGCCCTTCTTGCTGCCGCCGAGAGCTTTGTTTAGTTCTACCTTGGTAAAGTGCGCGATGCCATCCGAAAAATCGGGCATGTCCCCTGCATGGTTTAGTGGCGGCCCCACCACTTGGAGTGTCTCGAACTGTGCAAGCCGCCCCGCGGGGATAGGCGAGATATATGACCCTGCCAGCGGGAACATACGGCCTCGCCCATCTGACGGAGCCCCGACTGGGGTTATTTGGGGCGGCAGTACGTGTATGAATCGGACCGGGCAATTAGTCACCTCATATTTCAACTCGTTAGCATACCCTGCGCAAGCAAACACGGATGTGACATACCTCTCGACTTGACTGCTCGTCATTATTCGGAGTAGCAGCCACGGTCTCCAAAACCGGCGCCGCCTCAGATGGGAGTCTTCCAGTATTTTCCTTGACGGGTGTGTTCATTTGAGGTGTCGCATCCAGTTGGTTCTGCAGGTCAACGATGCGACCATCCTTCTGGACAACCTCGGCGTGTAAATCCGACAGCTGTGCTACCAACGCTTCTTTCTGCTGCCGAATCGAGTCGAGTTCTTGCTCTCGGCTGTCCAAACGATCCTGTTTTTGCCTAGCCAGATCCTCCAGGTCGGATAGTTGCTTCCGGAGGGCCACATTTTCTTCTCCAAGCTTCGTCATTGCCACTTTAGCCGCCTCCGCTGCTTCATTATCCTTTTCCGCGAGAGACTTGTGCTCTGTTATCTGGAGAGAGAGCGCCTTGTTGTCTCCCTGAAGCTTGATCATTGCCACTTCTGTTAATGCCGCCGCTTCAGCATTCTTCGCCGCGAGAAACTTGTGCTCTGAAACCTGACAAGAGAGAGCTTCGTTTTCTTGCCGAAGCTGCGCCATTGCCACTTCGGACACTGCTGCTGCTTCACTGTTCTTCGCCGCGAGAGACTCGTGCTCTGACATCTGACGAGAGAGAGCTTCGTTCTCCTCCATGAGCCTTCGATTCTGTTCCGCAAGCTCATCATGCTGCCCAAGACAACCGCGTCTCCCTTATCAATGGCTCGACGGAGAGAACAGCGGACAGTCTCACCGTGACCTTGAGCTTCTCCATGTCCTCACGCACTTGCTGCATGGCTTTCATTCTCTGTATGCGTTCATCCAACTACACAGAAACGGTCAACCGCGGCTGCTCTCTTGAGCGAATATTCTTACGTCGGATAAAAGCAGGATCTTCATCTTGTTGAGCTTGCTGTTGTCCCTGTCTAGCTTCTGTACGCGAGTTGTGAGCTGTGGAAGAGAGTACACATCCCGCTAATATTAGTGGGAGTTCGGCATGGTCGGGGCCCAAGACGCACTGATGCTACAGTCGCATCCAATGTCTCCTTCTCATTCCGTAGATTTTGCATGTCCGAGATTGACTTGGTAAGCTTTCCAGCAGCACAGTCAGCGGTATTACTAGGCGCACGTAAGAGGAGGCACACACTTCACTCAAACACTCGTTAAGGGCAGCTTGAAGGGAAGACGTATTCCCGCGGAGGACGTTCTTCTCCTTGAGCTGCTCTTCTGCTTCATGTATCACCTTCTCTAGCTAATGTACGATGTGAGCCATGGGCGGAATAGCATCCAGCATGAGACGTACGTCTATCTTCTCCGTTAGAACTCGTTGCAGATCCTCCTTGAGGACGTTCTTCTCTCTCACTTGCTCCTGGGCCTCGAGGAGGTCCATCTCCAACTATTCAAGTCAACGCATGGCCGTACACCAATACCTGGGAAGACACTCACCTTCGTCTTCTGCTCTAGAACTCGCCTCAGTTCGTTCTCAAATGCATACCTCTCGCGCCGCGCTTCATTAGTTACGTGATTGGACTTCTCCAGCTGAAGCAAGAGAGAACAATACGGATCAAAGGTGTGGCCACTCTGACATACAACTGGAGGAGCAACTCACATCGCACTTGAAGCCCTCTCTCTCCTTCTCCATTTCTCTCAAGCGTATATTCAAGTCATCCTTTTCTTTCTCCAGTTCCCCCAGGCGTACGTTCAGGGTATCTCTTTCGTGTTCAAGATCTCCCAAGCGTACATTCAAGCCCTTCAGATGAGGATTATCCTCATCGACCAGGCTATAGACCGCTCCCTACCCGCTCTCAGCCACGGGCACTCGCTGCTTACGATAGACTTCTCATTGACGTACCCTCTGAAGCTCTTGCACCCGCTTCCGCAATTCAACGATCTCCATCGAATATTGCGATATCTTGCGGCCCATGTTCCCTATGAGGGTAGCGTCGAAGTCCGCCCCCGCTTCTGCCATGATGTCCGCTTCTCTGGCACGGCCTATCCCTCCTCAAAACCCCGAAGTAGTAGAATACCTTTCAACAAGCTTGTTGAATACTCGTGTTATAGTCGTCGTTTGTGAGTTATAAGGTGGCCTCCGTCGCCGCAGTCGGCGCTGGAGAGAAGGCACGAGCCTGTCAATCATACTTGCGGGCGAGAATACGTATTCCCATAAGCGCGCCTGCGGGACCCACAAATAGCCACTCTGATCCTTCCCCAGCCGCGACTAGCACCCGGGTCCGCGTGTACGGGGCATGATGGCGGTGAACTACTGGTTGATGAAGGCTGAGCCAGACTCCAGGATTATCAAAGGAATGGACGTGAAGGTGAGCGCGGAAGAAGATCCGGACGCGTCGGGGCGGCGTCACACTTGACTTTCACCGTACGAGCAGCTGGATCTGATGACGCGAGGCGCAGTTCAGCGTGGACGATTTCGAGTGTCTTAAGACGACTGCCTGGGAGGGCGTGCGCAATCATGAAGCGAAGAATTTGATGAAGAGCATGAAAGTCGGAGATCAGGTGTGTCGAGGCTGCTCAAGGCGCACCTCATACCGGAACGTGAATGGCGTGTTAGGTGCTATTTTATCATTCGAATTGCAAGGATCCCGGTGGGTGGCGATCTTCGTGTTCGCGAGAGAGTTCCTCTGACGCGTGGGTTTACGTCGGGACAGGTATCGCTGGTTTCGCGGAGGTACGTCGGTAGCGTGCATGACGTGCTGTATGATAATGCTGCCCCATGTCGCAGGTCTGCAAAGAAGCCTACCCGGATTGTGCGTGCTAACCCCTCTACGAAAACTGCAACTCACTTTGCATTCGCTTTCCGCAGACACTGCGTGGGATACGTACGTCTACCGCCCTCTACCACTTACCGTACCTCACGGCGCCGTATAGGAGTCATCCATATTATGACCCGGTGGGCTCGGAATTGTTCCATCTCAGACATCGCGACCCTCTACTTACACGAATACGCCTAGAAAACGGATAAGGACAACCCGAGGTGGTACATGGTGGATCTAGCATTCAAATCTCGCGCGAAACACTTTGTACCCTTGTCACTACTTCGACACATTGCCGCCCTTCCGTCAAACACTCCGCCATCCTCAATTGAGTACTTGGGGGAGGATGGCGTGCAATCTATCAAAAGTGTGTTATCTACCCTTTTCCGAGTCCCCGATATAAAAGGGCCGCCTTGCTGACCCTTGGGTTGTAGCGATGGCGCTTGTTACCCGAGGTCGCCTGAGTGTGCAGAAAGTCGAACAGAACACTTGGGATGCGCTCCAGCTCCTGGCTGAAAGAGGGGGGTGGGAGGATTTGGACTTGAAAGGCAAGGAGAAGGGCGGAAAAAGGGGGACGGCGAAGAACGCGAAGGCTGGTGCAGGAAGCAAAAAGGGAAATGCCGCAAATGAGTCCGGCGAGGAGGAGGTGAGCGAAGAACAAGGGGAGAAGTCCGCGGCGGGAAGGGGCAGGAAACGAAAGACGGCAGACGAAGATGAGGCAACCCCGAGAAGGTCGACGCGTACGCGGGCAAAGAAATAATCTTGGTGATATGTCAGTGAGGGTGTATGCTCCGGTCACATGCTTTACGTCGTCCTTGTTTATTTCTCTCATCTAGTTGCTGAAGTAATGCTGCAGTGATTGGTTCCGTGTGGCAGTGACCAAGCTAATTAACGAGACGCGTCTGCCGCCGGGACGCGATCGGCCCTGCCCTAAGCTGATCGGGATCACGTGCCTTGAAGTACACTCCGAGTCTCCTCACTGACGTTCTGGTCGCGTCGATATGACGTTCACTACGAGCTCCATACTCACTATGATCCATTGCGCCTGCTTCAAAATCAATATGCCTCGACGTATAAAGTCCCCCAGCTCGCCATGTTCTCCCTCTTCCGCAATACACCTCGTCTGTTCTCGAGACCACCACCAGCCGCTGCTGCAAAACCGCTCAATTTCAGGCCTACTCAGAGTTACAGATTCGTAGCGACGAAAGCAACCATGGCCGAAGGAAACAAGAAATTTACCATCCAAAACCTCTTCAATGTTGAAGACTGGGTCGTCGTGATCACAGGCGGCGCGACGGGCATTGGCCTGATGATGGCGCAGGCCTTCGCCAACAACGGCGCGCGCGTCTACATTACGAGCCGACGCCAAGAGGCGCTTGAGACCGCCGCGAAGACGTGGGGAACTTCTTTGGCTCATCCCAAAGGCAAGATCATCCCCATTCAAGCCGACATTACCGAGAAGCCGAGTATCGAGAACTTGGTGAAGCAGGTTTCGCAGAAGGAGAAGTATGTCGACGTGTTGGTCAACAATGCTGGTATAAGTGTAGGGAGCAGCTCGGTGGAGAAGGGGCATGAGAGCGCAGAGGAGTTGGCGAAGGAGCTCTTCAGTGAGGAGCAGAAGAACTGGGAAGATGTGTACCGGACCAACGTCATCGGGTATGTGTACCGAATGTTTTCCCAGCGTGAACCGATATACTGATGCATATATGCGCTCAGATACTTTTTTACGACAGTGGCGTTCCTTCCTCTGCTAAGTGCGGCGTCAAAGGCACGTCCAGGACATACTGCCGCGGTCATCAACAACACTTCGATGTCTGGAATCACCCGCACGACGCAGCACCACTACAAATACAACGTGTCGAAGGGCGCCGCGATTCACCTTAACACGCTGCTGGCGCAGGAGCTCCGTCGGCCTGGTGTCAAGGTCCGCGTCAACAGCGTCGCACCTGGTATCTTCCCCTCAGAAATGACCAGTGAGTAGTATATACTTTGGGACTCCGCGCTTCCAGATGCTGACTGTTGAACTAGCCAACGAGTCGGACGAGACGAACAAGAGCCAGATCCCTGTTGACGAAAGCTACGGCGAGAAGAAGGGTATTCCGGCTGGTCGTCCAGGACGGGAGGAAGATATGGCGCAGCTCGTCCTGGCGATGGCCGTGAATGAGTACTTGTACGGGCAAACTATCGCGCTCGATGGAGGTTACCTCCTCGAGCACCCTTAAAGGGGTTTGCACGGGTTTCAGAATAGGGAACGTGAAAGAAGTACGATTATAATGTGTATCGATAGTGTATTTTTGCCTCGAGCTCGAGCTTGATACCGATTGAATCAATCACATCATTCAGTCCGACTTACACCGCTTTAACTTGAACTACGACGTCGACCAGTGTACGTATGGAGCGCGAGGCCACCTGTCAATGTATGCATGCTCTGTAAGCATAGTTTGCATGAGGTGGCCTTGCACCGTTGCCGGCGGCGACGTTGACTCGAAGAAGAGATCTGCGTTAGATCTGCGGAAGTAATTGATGGGCTGCTTAGCGCGCGCACCGAGGCAGTCAACGACTTGGACGCGTCCTCGCCCATTACCTGCTCGTTCTTGAATTCGCAAATCACGAGAAGTTCAATCTCCCAGGGAAGGAGGGGCATTGGCAAGATCTGCCGTTATGGACGCGGTGAACCAAGACAGCCAGGCGGAGGACGACTACGAGCTCATCGAACGGCTGGCAAAGAAGGTCGCGCACTATGGCGCGCAGAATAAAGCTCTGCGGGTTCGCGTGAAGGATCTCGAGGAGGTACGCTGGATCCGTTTCTGCTATAGGATGTAGAAGGGATATGCCTAACGTCCTGCCCGTATACTATAGAACTTGAATGAACGCGACGCCGAAACCACTCGTCGCGTGAAGGAGCTTGAGGAGGTATATATATGCTGATGCCGCTAAGAAAAGCCTGATACCTAACGTCCTCCGTGTTGTCTATAGACCTTGACTGAACGCGGCGCCGAGGCTGCTGGCCTTCGCGTGCGTGTCTCGCAACTTGAGGAGGTAAGCTAGTTTGTGTAGCCACGGTCATATATGCTCTCGGCTAAGTAGCCGCTGCGCTCTACAAGTCTCTAGCGAGAGTCAAATATGAACGGGAATCGGATCGGGTTGCAAGAGTGGAGGACACTGGGCTCCGGACCCAGGTACAGGAGTTGAAGGAAGAAAAGGACCAAATTTGGGGCGAGGTAAGTTATTGTTGAATGGAAAGACCTCGAGCTCTGTCTCTTTGTGCTGACACGTTCGCAGTGGCACAAGGCAATGGCAGATTCCTTCGAAAAGGATCAAGCGCTGGACAAACTCCGGAAGGAAAATTCTATGCTTCGCGCCCAGCTCGCCGATGTGAGGAAGATTAAGAGCGAGAGTACTGATGCCCTGAGTACCAATGAGGCATATATGCCAGTCCTCCTCGCGGAGCGTGATTCTGCGAACATACGGGCAGCGGATGCGGAAGCCAGACTGGTCGAGGGAGAGGCGCGCAGTGCCGAGCTGGAGAAGCGCCTGCAAAACGTATCTCGCGAGAAGCAGTCCCTGGAAGAGTCCGTCCAGATTCTGACAGGGGAGCGGGATGCTAGATCTGAGGCGCTGGATAGTATACAGCGAATTCATCAGGAGTCGTCTCAGCTGGTCAGTGCAAGCTGCTCCTAGCACTCCGCGCTGACACGGAGATAATTAGCTAGCCAACCTTATGATTCAGGTGGAGCAGAAAGAGGACGAACTGGGAAGACTTCGTCGTGCTCTTGCATGTCCTGGTGGATATGCCGCGACACCCAATACGTCGAAGATCTCCACCCGCTCGGTAGGATATGTGGGCATATAATACGTCTTCCACGTCCTGACATTTTATAGGCAGTGACGAGCTCGTCCCAGACAAGTTCATCCCAGACCAGTACCGTATCTTCATCCAGGAGAACACGCTCTCACATGCGTCGACTTGGGTGCGGCTTGGAAGGAGAATTGAGCGATTTATCCGACCAAGACGACGCCAGCACGGACGAAGATGCAGCTGTTGTACAAAGGAACTCTCGATTTCACCCAAAGCAACTGTCGTATGTTTCGCCCATCCCAAAAGGGCGGATGCAGGTCTTCGCGTCCCTCCGAGCTCAGGCACCAGTGGATCCGAGTCTCCTACCACCCGATTTCCCGGACGACATAGCTCATTTTACAAAGACCGAATTAGCGGATAATCTTGGAGGAAATAAGCAAGGCCTTATAGTGAAGTACGCGATTCACACCCTACGAGAATCGACGTATTGCTAACAAGCTCTGATTGATAGCATTGCAAAGGAGAAATGGCACCTCCACCGGCTCTCCCATGAGCTCGGTATAACAGGTTACTTATGCCCGAAGCTAAATCAGAACCCGTGGTGCCCGTACGCACCTGGTAAGGATGGCTACATGTTTGTAGGCCTCGGAGGAGACGCCGTAAAACTCGTGGAGCCGGAACAGCGCGCGCTCTTTGTCAACGTCTCTGAGGACCAGAAGTCCAAACTGTTCTTTGCCGGATTTTATGAGGTATGCAAGGTGGAGGACGTGACGCTGGATGAATGGAATACAATACCAGACTATGTCAGAACTCGTCCTCTTACTCTATAACGCGGACATCCTTGTCTGACCGTGGTTGATCGTGCTAGGTCAAATCTCAATATTCTCAGACCACGAAGGACAAAGTGGCGGAGTGTTCTCACATGTCTGTCCGGGATATCAAGGCGCAATACGACATCGGCGTTCGGCGAGCTCCCTGTCGAAGGCTTCGTTTCCTGGGTTTCCGTAACCCAAAAGACCCTTCGCGCGACGCTTACCAGGCGCTAATCACCCATTTTGCTACCCCGCCTCGCACTGCGGCCGCCGCCACAAATAAAAGGAAAAGCGAGGATCGCCTTTCGAATGTCAGGAAGACAAGGGTGCGATTGTCCCTGCCCCAGAGGCCTTGATCCTTCCTCGTTTGCCTTATGTTATGAGCGAACAACCCCTGAACGCGCAGTATGGAATACTGCAAAGCCTGCGGGGAGCTTGACAAGACGTCTCATATAACTTAGAACCATACCGGCCTGGGTATGGCCTTCCCGTTACAGTCCATAATCTCCGTCTTTATGACGAGACCATGAAGCCAGTGTTGTGAATAACATATCACTCGCTGTGGTTGCTGCGGTGAGCATGATGCCCCATTGCACCCCAAGTCAGTACGCACTGTATGTTTATGCGCAGCAGATTCAAAACACCTTGCTAGTGGCCGGATGGAGCGGCAATTTTAGGACCCGAGACTAAAACTAGTACTCCCCGGGTAATCTATCATTGGCCAACGTCATGAAGCTGCATGCTTATAGCTAGTAAAGGCCGACTGGAGATGGATGCACCTGATCGCAGTAGGAGTCGAGTGCTGCTGGGAGTGAGTGAAAAGCCAGTCAGGACTCATGCACAGCCCCCTCGTGCGTCGATCTCAGCGTGATCTAGATAAATTCCTTGGCGTACCTCCTGAGCAACGACCGCCCAAGCGTAGACCACAGGGGCCCATACGCGCGAGTATGCATGACCATTGGAAGTACATCGTCATACACTGAGCTTGTTCGAAGAGGTATTTACGAGAGGTTGAGTTGGAGACGACGCGCGTGTACTTTAGCTTGACATGCTGTTTTGGCTACGTGCTCATACATACAAAGCTGTGAAGCTATATATGGACCACAATCCAGGAGCGTACCTGAGCTTGCCCCGGTTGAGCCTGGCCGTCTGAGAGCCGACTTGGAATATCCAGCAAACGGCAGTGTGTGGATTTCTGATAGAAGAACTTAGACTTCAGAGGCAGTCGAATGGGCGCAGCAGCGAGTTCGGCACGGTCATGGCGGGTCATAGCACCCACCCCCTCGAGAATCATGAGCACTGTATCATATGGGAAATCTGATACTTGAGGAGTCATGAAACATATACTCCAGGTGGACCAATATCAGCATTGTGCGCAGCGATGGTGGGTCAGAAGGTACGGGAGCCAGCGGTGGCAGACATGCAGTATCATACACCGACGGAAAGCTAGCGCCTCGCGAAAAGAGCTCGGATGAGAAAAGGTAGAGGTGGATTCCGGAAACCTACGTTGCTGCGGTTGGCTTTCATAGCATCATGTCCGGGGTTTACACGACAGGCGCGCCTGACATGCGACGACGACCGAGAGCCTCTTGTCGGCAGCTGCAGGGCTATCAGCAGTCGAAGGTGGAGGATCAGACTCACCGAAACCTATTCTAGCTATCTATCATAACGGTAGATAGCTTGAATGAATACACTTGATCGAGAGTATTTTTGCTGAGCTGGAGGGTCCCCCGTGTAAATAAGATCGCGGAACAGGGGGAATTAACGGCATCGCAAACACTGCCTCCGAGCAAGAACCGGTCCTGTGACGAAAAGTATTCTGGTCGCCTATGGCATGCTGGCGCTGGGCGCGCAAGCGCTGCTGTGCAACTGCGCCCTTGTCGCAGGTTGGATTCCCCTTTCCACCGGAATTCGAGCGCATATAAGAGAGCGCTCCTGCAGGCTTGGTGGTTGCTGAAAACGCATGGAAATGTCCAACCTTGATCGCAAAGACCGCGCCCCTTCCGTGAGCGAGGGGTCGTCTCGTGGGAACGTCGTCGACCACGACGCACCGAACGGTACACCAGACCCCCTTCATCCTCGGAGCATTCGAAGCTCACCGCTGCATCTGTTAGTGACTGGAGATGGCGTCTCGCCGAGGCGATTCAATCCGGGCAAGGCGACCAACCATACGGTCATAACTGTCCAGCCGCTCAAGCGGAGTGAAATGCAGGTTGGTACAAGTTGAACTGCAGTCGGGCATCATTTCCTCACACAAAGGTTTCTCCATAGCCGTCGTATGCGCAGGATCTGGGGACGGCAGAAGTGCAACATGGCATCTACGGCACTATGCTGCAGACGCTGGGTGCATGCGTAGGTCTGTGCGGCGCGGTTCCCTGCTTCCCATGCCCGAACCCATACCGCAATGTCCAGCAAGGTACGTCAAAGAAAGAGGCGTACTTTACTGAAAGTCTGCTAATATAAGTGTGCAGGTTCCGTGGGACTGGTCTCTCGGTTCGGACAGTTCTACAAGTCCGTCGATCCCGGTCTCGTCAATGTCAATGTATGCACCGAGTCATTGCGGGTTGTGGACGTCAAGATCCAGATAAGCCCCATCGGTCGACAAAAGGTCATCACGCGAGACAACGTCGACGTCGAAATGTATGCGTTCCCCCTCTTGCCCGCGTACCCCTCTAACCTCTCCCCTTCCCCCAGCGACTCTGTCATCTACTTCCAGATCAACAACCCCTACCGTGCCGCCTTTGGCATCACCGACCTGCGTCAAGCGCTCATCGAGCGTGCGCAGACCACGCTGCGACACGTCGTCGGCGCGCGCGCGGTCCAGTCAGTCGTCACCGAGCGCGAAGCCATTGCATTCGAGATCGCCGAAATCGTCGGCGACGTCGCGGACAAGTGGGGCGTCACCATTGAGGGCATTCTCATCAAGGACATCATCTTCTCCCCCGAGGTCGCCGCCTCGCTCTCCTCCGCCGCCCAGCAGAAGCGCATCGGCGAGAGCAAGGTCATCGCCGCCCGCGCCGAGGTCGACGCCGCGCGCCTCATGCGCCAGGCAGCTGACATCCTCGCCAGCCCGGCCGCGATGCAGATCCGCCAGCTCGAGGCGCTGCAGACCATGGCGAAGACGGCGTCGAGTAAGGTTGTCTTCGTGCCGATGCAGCTCCAGAACGACGTTATCTCGCAAGTTGCGGGACCATCCGGGGAGGGATCGTCGACGGGCAGGATGATTAGTTCTGAGGCAGGAGAAGGTATCGGTCCTGCTGGCCGTGCTGGCATTCTATCCAGTGTTGCAGATATCTGATCTCCTTCTGTTGAAGCGTCATGATTTCCTCCGCACTCGCCTTTTTCCTCGCGCGATCTATGGCCATAGGCCGTGTAGTTATATATCAGGCCGAGTACTCATGCATCCATGGGCCGACAAGTTCGTCCTGGATCATACCCGCTACGATATTATGATAATCAATGGACAATCCTTGTTTAACGCAACGCCTCTCGAAAGATACTGTAATACAGATGCTAATACACACTGGTAAGATATTGTTCAAGAAATCAAGCATCCATCCATCCAATCTAGTCTAATCAATTCAAGAACCCCTCGTCCCGTCAGTCGTGTGCCGGGCTCGGCACACTAAGTATGATCGCACAATACACCTGAGAAGCATTCTTCAACACAGGCAGCGACGGTCAGGACTGCAAACCTACCAGACTGAACCAAAATCCACATGCATAGATATCTCGCATCACCCTGGCGTGCACCGCCGATATGCGCGGATCGAGCACTACACGCTCGGGGCCGAACACAGGCACATCTCTCCTCGCTTCCTCCTGGCCCTCATCTTCTTCTTCTGTCGTGTGGCGTTTCTCTGGTGCAGACGGGGGTTCCAGGCTGAATGGCGCGATGACAGCAGTGTCAGATTTCTCTTTCTCTCTGTGCCCTGTCGGAGCATCGTCCCGCCTGTACTCCTCCAGCATGCGTTCCCAGAACCACGCCCGCTCTTCGTCTCCGTCCCCGCCGCCGCCCTCTAGCTCCCACGGGCGCACTTGCATATTCCCCCGACGCCAAATATTACTGCAGAACCTGGATAGATCTGAGTCGAGGTCCAGGATGAGAGGAACAAAGCACTTACCCTCTCCAAGCGGAGTACATCTGCATGGCGCCCAGTGCCGTCAATGGCACCGCGAAGAGGCGCCACGCACGGTTAGCCTGCGGAGGCACCGGGATCGTGGTGATGAGAATGATGGCGAGGGCCAGGCCTGCGAGGAAGTCGGTAAGCCCTACAACGTACCTACACGAGAATTAGTGAGGGGTGGAGGTGAAAGGGGAGAGCGTTTACCAGAATATCTGCCGCGGGAGGTTGATGTTAGTCGATGCATAGGCGAGGAAGCGGGGGAGAGACACGGTCTCCAGCGAGCTGTAGATTTCTTCGTATATCGGGAGGAGCTATATTCTTCGTGTCAGAGAAGACCATATGCCCTTCGCCGTCGGACTCACTACATCCGGATGTGTATTCCACGTTAGATCCGCAATGACAGCGTCGCGCATGCGCGAGTCGAGCGTGAGCTCCTTGCTAGACCCCGGCCGGAGGAACGTCGCCACCGCTTTGCTTGTCTCCCCACGCAGCGGCTGCATCTCCGTGTTCACGCACAAGCTCTCGGCTCGGCACTGGCTGCTCTTGGAGAGCACGGCCGAGAGCGGGATAGACTGCGAAGCGGCGGACGCGGAGCGTTCAGGCATCGCGAGCGCGGGATGCGTCTCGACCCTGCTCAGCGTGCACTTGAGGGCTTCGCATGATGAATACGAGCTGAAGGAGACCTTGTCGTTGCTCGTGGTGCTGGATGGAGCGGTGGCCCGCCGCTCGGCGGCCTTGATCGAGTGCTCGGTGCGAGCATGCGAAGGCGTGGAGAAGGGGAATTCGGTGCTGGCCGACCCAGGAGAGTATTGTTGCTCCGACTCGGGAAGGGAGAAGAAGCGGCGGCGATAGTCCTGTACGGGTGATTTGTCGGTCGATTGAATATCGGTTGGATACGAAACTTACCTGGTACCAGACTACAAAGTGGAGATTCTCGAGCGAGTATTCCTAAACAAACCCATTTACGTCAGCATCCGTATAAACGATATCTGAACACTGGGGGGATGCGATGCCCTCTCTCGACGCCGACCAAAGACAGCCTCGCCCAAACAAACGTTGGGTGTTTGGCCAGCCAAACACCAGCCTTAACCGCAGAGAGAGAAATGGCACGCACCACAAAAGCAAGATAGGCCTCGAAATCGGGCAATCTTAAAGACGCCAACATCAGCGACACATCATGTCGAACGGTAAGTGATAGACGCATACCCGATCGGCGTGCAAGTGTTTCCAGAGAGCACGTTTGCGAGCCTGATGTCTCTCAGCTGCGGGCTCAAATTGAGTTTCGCAGCGAGACGGTCAAGAGTAGGAGTCCATTTTCTGAATTTGCGCCATACCGGTCGCGACGCCCGTCGTCGTTCTGGCATTCAAGACCAAGAGTTAGCAAGATTATGAGTGTACAGCAAGCTCAGTCGAGGATATGTTCGTCGCTAAAGCTGCAACATGAGACGGCGGGTAAGAAGCAGCCCAAACACCGGCGACTGGAATAAAAGTGGCCCTCGAACAGGCCCCACAAATGTATACCGAATAATCGAAAACAGACATCCGTGCGTGTAAGTATGACAGCCATCCTCGCCGCGGATGCAAATCGTGGATCGCGAGGAAACCGGACGGCCAAGTTGGGTCCCCGTTCGAATGCCGCCGGCAGCGCAGATTCCAGGGGCCACATTCGGACCAACTTCGGACAGGTTGACGCTTTCAACTGGGATATCGACCGCCGGGAGGAAGGGTTCTATGAGGTTTCAAGGCGAGGTTCGGTCAGACTGGTATGCGAGAAAGGCGAAACGTGTGGCAGGTCGTACATTCGCCAGCGCAAGTCGCGTCACTGTAAATACCAATGAACAAGTTGTGGCTAGCGCGCCACAATACCTTTCCCCTGGGATTCGCCGTTCAATACTTTGCATAATCTATCATGAAGATGAAACGAACCCCGTATACTATAGAATTAACACAGGATCTGCATCCCACGGATATACTCACAAGGAATAAAAATATACAATGGTGGTATCCTGCTCGGAATCTAGTGTGCGCTAAGAGTTAGAACTGCCTGACGTACATACACGGACGCCAACCTATCCACATTCCAGACCTAAGTCTATGGTGATGATGCCAGCCATGATCATGATCAGCATGGAAAGAGAACCATCACCGCGTCTCCCTCCACATCCCGTCATCATCCCTGCCTCTCCGCGGGCTCCCCACGAAATACGGCGGCACGCCCCCCACATCTCCTCGCGGCTCCGAGTCGAAATCGAGTGCGCCAGACGTCCACGCACCCACAGACGACAAGTTATTCATCAGCCCCGCAAGCCCCGGCGAGGCCGTCCTCTCGGGCCCCTCGCGTGATCCTCGAATGGGAGAAGAGGAGGGGGTCTTGTCTCTGCCTAACCTCTGCCCTATTGACGCCATCGCCGGCACGGGCTGGGCAACCGCACTGGCGGAAGCTACACTGGCGCCGACCACCCCGCCCAGCCTGAAGCTCTGCATCTTCCGGCTCAGCGTCTGCAGCACGCTCTGCCGATCCGGCCACCCCTCCTGCCTCCCGCTCGGCACGGGCCCCGTCGGCCGGTCCTCGTCCCCACCATGGCTAAGGAAGGTGCTGTGTATCGACGAGTCACTCAGCCCCCGTGGCTTCAGTGTGCGCTCGAGTAACGTCCGCTGGAACCCCTCGTCCTCGTTGGATACCTGGGGGGAATGCACGTCGATAACCGCATCTACGTTCCGCGAGAGTCGGGCGCTGTCATCCTGCAACTGCGGCCTCATCCCTCTCCTTCCAATCGTCGCAACAGCAGCCGCTGGGGACCTCAGCTGCGGGACAGCAGAGCGGGGCTTGCTTCGCGCCCTCTGCGCATCCTTTGGCACGACGATCCATGCGTCGCCCTCCGCAGGCTTGGGTGCACCTGCGAATATCCCCATCACACTCCGAGACACGTCCCCTGATCCTCCAGCCGGTGACGATGCTCCCGAGCCTGATCCGGATGCAACATTCGAATAGGACGATGACACCGCGCGACCGACGCCCCCGCCCGAGAACTCCACATTCACCGTTGTCGAGGTTGCCGCCAGCGCTGGCCCTAGCTTAGGCACGAGCTTCGTCGTCGGTCTGCCCCTTAGTGCGCTTGGCCGTAGGGTCCCGGCGTTGGCGGTACTTGAGCTTGGACCGGAGGGGACGGACCCAGTTCCGAAGAGCTTCGATATCGGCGCCATCCACGATGCTGGACCAGAGCCAGAACCCCCAGAGGACCCACCCGATCCTTTGGCAGGGTCCATCGCCATATCCCGCACTTTCGGCGCAATACCAGGATCGAGGATCACGTCGTTGAGCGTTACGCGCAGCTGACCCAGTTCCACGAAGATCTCACGGAAGATCTTGAACAAAGCTCGCAGCTCCTTCCGCGTGCATGTAGTCACTACCTTGTCGTCCTCCAGTAGAGCCCGATACTGCGCGCGCAGACTAACTACTTCGTTCACGATAGCGTCCACAGTCGTGCGTGATAGGTGGCCAACGTCAGCGCCGTGCAAGTGTTGGCGCTTAAGTCGATTCGTCAGCGTTAGTGCATCTGCCTGTGTGAGTCGGTTAAACAAAGTAGTGACGCGTTCAAGGATGTTGCCCATCGCCGACCCTTGATGCGAGTCAGTCAACGAGGAGGACTCGGAGTGACCGTCTCCGGGCGATATTGATGAAAGACGATCAGAGTAGGCTGGAGACGGGGCGAGCATGCCCTGCCACGAAGGCTCGGTCTGCACGGCTTTGGAACGCGACAGCAGGAGGAGCGATTTCTGGCCTCGTGAGCTGGAACCATGTTCCCCTGAGGCGTCAACGTCTATACCCTCACCATGACCAGATGGCGACTGTCGCGAGAGCGCGTAGCTGAATGCGCTCAGCTTCGTATCGTCCGTAGGTGATAGGGGGCGTCTATCGGTTTCAGGCGTAAGGGGTTCCTACCAATTGGCTGGGTGTCAATGATTTGCATTGCACATTCCGGGAATACTTACAAAGTCTTTGCGAGATGTGTTGCGCTCAGTGCTAGTAGATCGCCTGCCTGTGAAGAAGTTCGTTGACAGAGGTGATAGAGCACCAGCGGGTGCACTGATATTCGGCGAACGGATATACGTGATGGATGACTGACTGTTCGTCACGCGGTGTCGCGAATGTGGCGTCTCCACTAAGAGCAATTTGTCAATTGGACCCTCAGTAGACAGAGAAAACGCTTACTACCTGTTCTTGAAAGTAGACTTGCGCGTTGCTCCTCTACTTCTTCCTGCAGAGACCGGTAGTCTTCTCGCAACTCCGTCAGAAGATTCTGCAGCTCGGCATTGTCGTGCTTCAGCGCCTCGTTGTCGGCTACCAAAGATTCCAATACTTTCGTGACTTCAGGATCTTCCGCATTAGTCGAGTGACCGAATTGCTGTAACACTATCAGAGACTAGGGTCACTTATGATTGACCGAATGCGTACCGATTGTTGTAATGACTCGAGTCGGGATCGCGCCTCTGTCAAGATTTCCTCGGACAATTCGAGCCTATGTGACCGCTGCTTCTCCAGCTCTTTATAGAGTCGACGGACTTCCAGTTGCAGTTTGGCTACAGAAGCATAAGACATGAACCCTGTCTCAGGCGCAGCAAGCGATACTTACAAGATTTCTCTTTCAAAGCGGCTAGCCGCACCTCTGCCATCCGAGCCCGATGTGCTTCGCTATCCCGCTCCTGCTGCAGGTCATCCTTCTCCTGTGCAATCACAGCTAGACGCGTGTCCCAGCCCACAGAACGCGCAAGCTGCGCTTGCAACCGCGAAACCTCCGCGCGCGCGTCAGACAATTGCTGCAACGCCGTCTTATTGGACGACTCCGCAACCTCCGAGTTGACCATTGCTTGTGTGAGGCGCTACTAGGCGTACTTAAGGCCGGAAGGTATCACTAGAAACGGCAGATGCTGACCTTCTCCAATACTGCATTCTCTTTCACAAGGAAGGATACACGATGCTCGAGCTCCTCCCTAGTGCGCGGCTCAACCTCATCCACTTCGGCGAATTCAGAAACTGCTTCGGACGGTTCACGGGAGCGGTGCTCGAGCTGAACGGGGTCTTCAGTACACATCGCGTGGGTCTGACGAAGTACTACCTCATGGCTCCGAACATACGCTTCATGTCTTCGAAGAAGAGCTTGTCCCACCTCTAGAAACGATATGTTCATAACATGCCGTACGATACCGAGTGACATACCTGCACTTAGAGTGAGACGGCCCTCCAACTTAGACTTACATCGCAACCACTCTTTCAGATTTTCACAATCTTCGCGTCCACAGCAACAGCAAAGCGCAGCTGGTGGGTCCGGGCTGGGAGCACGAGAGAAATTCGTCAAAGCCAGCGTTAGGTCGTCAATGGTCATAGTGGCATGCAGTAGGCTGTTTGTGGGCGACTCTGGTGTGCTCGGCACTGATTCAGAGGGCGCAGATTGCATATTCAGAGTCGTCGTCTCCATGGCGTGTCGGTAGTCTGCGCGTTACGTAGAGAATGGCTGTCGGAGGTGCATGAGTAGAGCAAGGCTGTTAATTAGAAGGTGTCACGGTCGCGTTGGATGTACTGTAGCATTCGATCGCCCGGTCTTAGTAGCTGATCTTCCCACAGTAAGCCTCCGGGCCTGTGGCACAAATGACTACAAATGCCGGAAGGTTGCAAACCCTCTGGATCCGTATCGGTAATTGACACTACTTTAGAGGCTTGGACCGACAATAAATACGCATTGTATATACGCACAAAATGCAAGATAGTAATACAAGGTAGACATCAGACCATAGCAAGAAACAAGGACGTGCATAACAAGACATTATCACAGCAGCACTAGAGCCTTTCCAGAGGTTACTGCAAAGCAATTAATGATACCTAGAACGAGAAGGACATGAACCCAGAGACTATGATACATTACGGATCACCGAATTCTATGACCCTTGAAACAATCTCGGGTATCCAGGTTAACATCTTTCCCCCGTGATTCCGCCCAGGGAGAAACTGGAACGTGTTGGGCAACCCACGCATTCCCATCTCTTCCAGTGCGTCCAGATGTTTCGGGCCTGGTCCACGGCTTCCCTCGTCTACGGTGGTTAGGCTGGATGCCGACCCTCTCAATGTCCCTGACCGGCTGCTGTCTTGCATTGCTACCTTCAAGATGTTGGAGACGGCTATGAGGATGGCGGGGTTCGTCGAATGCGAGAACGTGTCCTTGATCCTTTCCATCATGGACTCGAAGCTGTCATAAAACAAGTGTCAGGTAGAACGCAGGAAAGCAATTTTGGCTACGTACGTCAATTGAATGATCTCGGGGAATGCATCAGCAATGTCAGACAGTAAAGTGTAGAATATCTCTGTTTCTGCATCATCTCCCTGCGCTGTCGAGAGCATAGCGCTCACGAACGACGTCACAAGAAGCGCAGTATTTGACTCCGTGACTCCGAGGAAGTCGAACGGGATGTGAGGGACATCCGCATCAGTGCCTGCTGCACCCTCTTCGTCGGGCGGCCAGTATGAGTCGGCATCGCAATCCGTCAAGAGTTTACGGTATGATTCCGGGGTGGTGGAGAAAGGGATTAGAGCCAGAAAATATCCTAACGCTTCAAAGGGCAGAGGGTGGCCAGCATTAGGGCTCTCGCCGCTGAGTTCCTCGGATACCCGGACGGTGACATGGAGCAGGCTGCGCAGCACGGCTTCCGCGGACTGCCTTAAGCCACTAACACGTACACCCTTGAATATAGTCGCAGCCATGGAGAACGAGAAGTTGGACTCAAATGACAGCTGCAGCATTTGATCCAACTGAGATACTACTTCGATTAAAGGCGCGCGAGCCTCAAGAAGAGTATCCGAGACCAGCTTCTCCTTGAAGGTGCCTTGACTATGCAACTTTTCGATTGATCTCCGAAGAAGGTCGGCAGCATCAGCGTACAAGGCCATGTGGCCCGACTGCAGCAGAGATACAGCCAGCCAGAGGACCTGAGGAAGATATCGGGAATGGTCCATTAAGCCTGGCGTCACTTTGCTGATGCACCGCAGCATGCTGATGATGGAAGTTGTCTCGGCTTCTGGCTTCGCCATGGCCGTCTTGAATGCCACAAGCATTTGATACAGAAGATCGTCATCCACATCTGAAGTCGCTAATTCCCCAAGGATAACGAAGGATCGTGATTGGATGGGAGGGAAATATTGGAAGGCAGTCGACACGACAAGACTCATCCATCGTGCACGCCACACGTTCAGCAAACCTACGACACGATTAGCCAAAGTTCACAGTCAGGGTTGTGTGGAGTACCTTTGGATGTTGCGCCAGCTTCGACAACTCTGACTAGCAACTGTGCGAGCCGCTCATATCGCTCCAAGAAGGCTTTGTCACTATTGGGGTCCGAGACTGAGTACTCGCTACTTGGATTCGCACGAGTCAGGCCAAATAGTTCGAGCGACTCCGTCTGCGTGCACTCATCAAGGAGTAGCCTGATCTGAGAACAGGCGGCCGCATCTTCGCCACACGCCATGTACAAGGCCTGCAGTAAATTGACAACGATGCCGTAAACAGATGTCCTGACGAGTGTCTGACCACCGGCTGCCATGAGGGAGACAAGATGAACGATCTCAGGAACGTAGAATTGGTTGTGGACAGCTTGCTTTGCTGGCGCGCCTACGACCAAGGCTAGTCGGGTCAAGCACGCTGCCTCATTCCAGAACGTGTTCTCCTCCAGGGTATGTACGGCTTTACTGCTTGTCTTCGTGATAACCTGTGACAATCTTTGAGGCAAATACCGAGACATGGTGTAAAGGCAGCTTACCTTGCGGAGTCTCGAGAGAATTTTGCCCCGCACGGGTAACGATGAGAGCACGGAAAGGATGTTCGCGACAATTTCACAACGAGGCGACCCAATGCCGCCATCGATGGCAGCACGCATCAGCTCCTCCAGCACTGGATTGATTACGGTAATATCGAGCTTGCCTATCTCCGCCCAGATGTATTGCTGGAAGTCGATATCAAGCTACATTGGTCGAAAAGGTGAGCAAGGATCCTCCTCCTCATGGGCCAAGACGTGTACCTCCTGATCTGCGATAGTCATATCCACGAGCAGTACAATTGAATCCCTGAGCCTAGTACTCGAGGGCTCATGATATGGACTGGTTGGGTTGCAAAGATGTGCTAGGTTCTTGATCCAAGGACTGAGGTACTTTAGGCAGTATACCCTCTGAGAAATATGCGGATCTTCCGAAGTCTTCTTATGATCCCTGAGCTTTTCCATTCCATTCGCAACTTCGGTGAAGAAGTCGAGAGTTAGCTGAGGAGCATGTCCTGCAAGGCGTTCGCTGAGCTGCGCCACAAACGTGGGCGGGTGTGCAGGCAAGAATCCGGCTGCTCAAAGGACATATGAACGTTGTGCACTACATGATATCACGCTGCTTACCTTTCGAGGGCACGACAGGGCTACCCTCGTAATCCAAGTAAGAACATAACGCTGCGAGGAGCTCACATGCAGCGTATCGTAATTCTTCATCCTCGTAACCGACCAGGAAAAATCCCATGTGCAGTAAAGTAGCCGATACATTTGAGAGCCTGGAAAAACGCTCCGAACCGGGTAGAGGCACATTACGCATCTGACCCTTTGCATTGCGAATCGACTGGCCAATATATAGTCAGGACTGGGGATAATTAGGTAACTGTAGGCTGTACCTTGACCATGACATCTCTGGCGGGAGAAGCAAAATACAAGATGAGACCGTGACGGCAGCGCCGAATAATGAACTCGTTCGGGTCTTGTCCCGTCGAAATATTGTACACATCGCTAATTTCAGCTAGCGAGACGATTTCTGTGATTTTGCAGGATTTAGTCGGCGATAAGGGCAGAGACTTGAGCTGGCGACCAGTGTCAGAACTCCGCTTTCCGCTTGAACTTGGACAAAGACCTACTAACCGAGGTGATCCTCAAGTGGGTAGTGCCAACATGCACAATGACCGGAATAGGCATATGCTGTTGACAGTGATGCATAGTAACCTCCCTGTATTCTTCATATTCTTCCTGCTCTAGACTAGCTATAGGCGGTTGAGGACTCAGAGCCAAGCTCAGAGACCACGGCTGACAGGTGCATACCTGGATACGAAAGAGCATCGAGCACCTGCTCGGGTACGTGCTGCAGAAGATCGGCTACCCAAGAATGTACTTTGACTTCGCAGATTGACGGCATGCCCTCAGCAATATTGCTCAGTCTTCGGAAATACTTTTGGGCTTGCTGGCTCGGGTTCAGCAGGTGTACGGTCACCATGCGTTGCCTCACGTCCGAAGGGAGGAGCTCTACGCAGTACTTAACCCATTGTATAGGGACCTCCGTAGATGCAGCGAACGAGGTGCAGTCTATGATCACTTCGAACGGTTGATTTTGATAGTCAGGAAGCGAGACGGTCTAGACAAGAGCTGGTGAGCAAAAGGTGTATAGTATATCTGCGCCATACCTTTAGGACGTGGTACATGAACAAGTCAACGTCAAGAGCTTCAACATCAATCTTCGAGAGACAAAAGACGAAGACAGCTGGCCGATTCTTCGCGAAATATTCAGCCATGATGTGGTAATGGAGTAAGATACGAGTTAAATAACATACCTTCGGCATAGGAACGTCGACGAATAAATCACGAACAGGTTCTGTACTGCGAGTACTGTAACGACTCATTAAATCCAGATATTCTCGATGCTCCGTGGTCGTCCAAGGCGAGAGGCGCGGGGCCTCGAATGGCCCTCCCAGATCGACTAATGCCGAGCACAGCGTGTTCCAAGCTCGTTTGCCGTTGATTGCGGAAGCGTCGGCCTCCGCCTGGGGCTTTTGCAAACTCAACAAGTCTTTCCCAACCTTATCACCATGCTTCTCAAAGAAACGATGCAACACGATAGTGTCGCTATCGTCGTAGCTTTCACCCAACCATTCATCCGGATCGTCATCAGTACCGGAAGTAGAGAATTTCTGCAGCAGAGTGAGATTGGGTACGAGACGGCAAGTTGAATTCACTCACGTTCACCTCGCTGAGGAAACGCGTGACATTTACGATGTTCGCCCGGAGGAAATCATTCAACACTTCCATGTGAGCCTCTTTCCCAAAGAAGATATTGTTAGCGAGATTCTGGATAATCTTCGCGATCACCAGCAGTCCGCGACGTATAACAGGTTCACTTTCTTTCGGGACCTCCACGTCCACGGTCTCTGGAGCGACGACAGCCGGGGACAAGAACCTACGTTTGCGACATGAAGTAATGTCAGACTATGGAAATGATGGATAATCGGCGTACCTTAAGAAGATGAAGGAACCCAGAGCCTTGAATTTTGCTTCTGGCCAAACATCTTGTCTATGGTATGGATATCAACGCCAAGTCTACGGCTCGACTCGCGACTGACGTACACTGATTGGGCTAAGTGAGCGCATATTTCGCGAAACATCCTTTTTGATACGGTCAGTGATAGACAGACGGCACTTGACAGATGACGAACGAAGGGAATGTTGGGACCGAGGCCGTTATGATGTTGAGGAAAGACGAAGCGACAAATTCTACGTTCTTCTGGTTCTGCTTTACATCCTGTACACCTGGTTTGGTTGGGTCTAACTCATATGAACAACCGGGCGGCATGGTCGCCATGCTCTTGATTAGAGGAATAATCAAGCTTCTCAAATAATTATATCCGTGCGTCTTCGCGAAGTGCGAGAGGACACGAGCGGTCGTATTGTTGCTGCGGAAAAGTGACGACTCATTCTCTATCGAATTGTTAGGTGTTAAGGTGGGAGCACACTTATAATAAAGAATCATCGCACCAGTTTGCGCTATCTCCCTATCAATGAGAGTTTTCAGTAGGCTCATAAGAGAAGCGCGGGTATCGAAAAGATTGAAAAGCACGGGTATCAAGACGTCCGTATCGCTCGCCGGGCAGGTTTCGCACATTGCAACTGCTAAGACCTGCTGTTTTGTGAGCAACGAGTTTTTTTTGCCAGATTTTCGTCACCTTACCTCGGAACCCTTAACCAACTGGCGCGGGGACGTTCAATAAAGCTACTGCGAGTAAGTTCAGTCATACTCACTTCACATAATCGACTTTTCTTGGGCACCGCAGCAGCGACGCTGCTTTCGAACTCTAACTTCGTACCTTGCCCTAGTACGCGAGCGAAGACTTGAGCAAATATTGCCCGTTTCCTGAAGTCCTTGTGGTAGGCAAGAGGGATGCAATGCCTGAGACTGCTTTCTGTATTCGACGAGATAAGATTTGCAAGTCCCTGAACCACCAATTCACGAAATTCCACGTCTCTCTGATGCGCACGAGATCTCTAAGACAGAGTTCAGTTTTCATCCAACAGACTTGGCTTCCGTCTTACCTGCGAGGTGGATGATCTTTCCGATACGCCATCATCCAGTTTCTACGGACAAATCAACGGTGAGGATCCCTCACGCAGATATGAGCAAGATATCATACTGGGCCGTCATGACGCGTATATTCCAAGGCCTTCAGGAGAAAATCATAGTAGTTCTTGAACAACCTAGATGCGGCATGCCCAGGGTTTTCGCCATCCGAGACGTTCAACTTCAGCCGATCCATCAGCCGTACAGTGGTCCTGAGGCTCGCAATGTTGAGTTCGTACTGAATACGCAAGGCCTCGATGTCGTGCATCTTTAGGCTTTTGGTCAGTACAGTGCAAACGCATGCCAGCAGGGAAACATACCTGTGCGGGGTCCTGTACCCAGTCAATGACAATATCAAGTAAATCATGAGATGCGCTCGTATCTCGCCGGATGACCAAGGTCTCGTTCCTGCCGTAGATGCTATCACACAGCGAACAAAATTTCACCCTAATCTTGTAAGAAGCAGGGTCATGGAATCGACCGATGAACCCAGCGAGAGCAAGCAGTGTGCCGTTGATATCAAAGCCTACGAGTTCTTCCCCGGGAGCTTCGACGTTCTCGATCAACAGCTTCAATACAGCCAAGAACTTGGAGAAGTATGAGGGGACTGTCTTATGAATCGCGTAAAGACGAACCTGGTCAAGGAAGGTGGCGAATGTTTCGTCCCATTCGACATTACTACTCTGCGTAATATCCCTGATCACTCTACGAGCGGAGACTGAGTCGATGGCCTGTGGACCGAAAACGCTGTGACTCAACTCGTCGAGATGCTTGATCAGTCTTGAATGCAGGCGTGAACTGAGTTCCGCGCCTAGAGCATCGCGCGCGGCGTCTCTGATCTCTACTGACGAGGATAGTAGCATGTCAATTAGCTGTATTATGAAGTTTGCCATAAGTTCCGAGGGATCTCGCAGCATACGCATGTTATCAGGGAGATATTTGCTGGGGATAATGCCGGTCAGACCAGAGGGATCATGCTCTGCGCCCGTGCACGCGGCTCCAAATGCAGCTAAGAAAAGGGTCAGATTTTGCCACTGGAACCGACGCTCCTACAGAGATGTGAGTATGTAGTGGACGTCAATTCCCAGGTCACCCGTACCTCAATGCTCATAGTCATATCTGGTATCGGCGATGCGCCATAGACATCTTCGCCTCGTGCGGCCAACTCCGTCATAGTTGTCCATCTCAAATAGCATTCTTCCCATACTGCTATGTGAGAAGGGATTGGCCGTGCCATGGACCGCACCAATTTACGTATCCGCTTTTGATGCCCAACGCGGCCTGCCTGGTGTCAGTTTTGTCAGATAAGTGGCGGACACAAACATACCAAGAATGATTGTCTTGGGATCGCCGAGTTGGTCGTAAGTGCGATGACGTTTCGCCCAATCTTCCTCACTCAGACCAGCGTTCAAGGGCGCATCCGGTTGCCGTTCTGCCTGAGCGATCAAGCGTAAACACTGTGCCGCAAGGCTGGATACCTTCATGTCCACAGATGTAAGGGATACGAGGAATGCAATCTCGGCCATTGCAAAGGCCGCGACACGGTTGGAATCCACCTGGAGCTCTCTCAATTGCTCCCGCTACGTGTAAGAGGCGATAAGACAAAAAAGTAAATATGGAATGGATGCTTGCGCTTACGTCGGTGGTCCGGGTATAAACAACAAGGAGATCGTAAGCAAGGTCCATCCACATACGCTGAGCCTTGAGGTCGATACGAGCATTAAGCAAGCACATGCTCATCGAGGTCAGAGTCGCAGGACTTGAGGGAAGGTTAGTCAACGGTAATACAGAGCGAAGGCTAGGGTGAACACACCATGCCATCTTCATCCACGTCACCGCTTCTTGACAGTAGTCGTCCTCCGGCTGCATCTGAAAGATCAATTCACACAGGTAGCGGATCGACCATGCAGTCGACTGCTTGACCGACGAGTCCATCGGGCTCTCCCACACCTTAATAGCGACAGGGAGCCAGTCGGCTGTACGGATGGTCTGCAAAGCTATGAAGTAATAGCGGTAATTCGCCCGCCACAGTGAGCATATAGCAAGGACAAGGAGTTCCCTATCCGACAGTGTCTCCGATGTGTACCGGCGAGACTTCGGACGCGCAGCTGCACGTTTCACGAATCCATTCGGGTCTACCTCATTCTGACGAGTCGCAGCCGCCTGTGAATACAACACCGAGTTCATGAGTAGGCACTTCGAAGGACCATAGGAGTCGCCTTACGCTGATTATGGCTCGCATGCGAGGCGCCATAACCCGTTCCATCTTCTCTAGGGAGCGATGCCAGGGTAAGCTCGGAGACTGGGCAAACTCTTCAGCAAGAGCAGTTGTGTGTAGAACAGAGACACCTCGTACCTCCAACGTTAAGACCAACGCGGCCTTGACCGCGACAGTCTTGACAGCATCTGACCGCTCCGGCTCCATACATACACTGAACAACTCAACTGCTTCGTCTTCGGGAAGGAAGCGATACAAGATGGCCATTGCATCTCTGAACAGCCCCACGTCGATCTCGTCTGAGGATTCCCAGAACGGCCGCTGATTGCTGAATTGGAGTACAACAGACTAGACTCGCCAGGTGAGAAACGGTCTCCTCATATAGCGCAAATAACATTTACCTTAATCTCGTGGACGACATCAGTGGCGATGGAGAGCAAAGGAACCTCGGTCTCGTCCGGGCGAATACGGACTGCCGCGCGACACATGTCCAGAGCACATACGAGCGCAATCTCGGCGGTCTTATTCCAAGTGGAGATGCTTCGCATCAGCATCTCGATGAAGTGATTCTCCTGGGCAAACGGAAGCACATCAACGGGGTCCGTTCTAAACATCCGGAAGAGGTGCTAACCTTTCTGTGAGTGGCCTTCGGCTTGATAACGGGGTACGTTGAGAAACTCATTTGATAATCCGACTTGAGCCTGTCCGAGCTGATGCATAACAGGGCGGTCAAAGCCGGCCACAGCACCTTCCTGTTATCCGAGTCGCCACTCTGGAACAACGCGTCAAATACGCGCTCCGGTGCGCCTTCTAATCTGCGAGAAGACCGCGCCGCGTCGTTGAACTCTTCCGGGAAGGTGTCGATCCACTTCCACACAGCTGCGCGTAACGGGACGGCGATGGCTGACTGCGCTTCCCGCTTCATGTTGAGCAGTAAAGACGATAGCTCTGGAAGTACCAAGCTTTCAGTTGCAAGCTTTTGGAAGCATAACTAATATTTCCTCACCTTGCATAATCTGGACAAGTCGCGCTCTATCAAGAGCACTATGCGACATGAGGTGCAGGTCTATGATATCGGGGTTTTCCTCCGTATTGTGCCCGGACAAGTACCGGATCTTCGCCTGTATCCGGGTAAAGACGACTGGCCAGTTCGACGCGGACAGAAGGTATACAACGCGGCCAGCGAACTTCTCTATTAGGGTATTCAACTGCATCGAGGACTGGCATAGGGTCGGTAACGTGCGTTCAAACGTCAGGCTGCCCGCAGGGAGGGGAATTGCTGTGGGGTTCTTGAGGGTGGAGGAGCCCCCTGAGCCCATGGAAGATAGTGAGGCTTGGTTACGAATGACGGACTTAGGATTGGGTTCCGTCCCCGCTTCTCGAGTAGGCTCAAACCAGTTATCGGGGGTAGTAGCCATATCAATGCTCTCCAGATCATAGAAGGAGCTGGAGGAGTCATACTGCAGATTCGCCGATGACATCAGCCGGAACTCAGGAGGGGCCGTTTGTCTGAGGAAGAGGATCACGACGCTCAGGATGTACCGCGCGCAATTGTCGTCCAGTGGAGGAGGTTCGGAGTACGGTATCTGCGTGGAGAACTGGTCTGTGGACATGTTTCTGCCCTGCCTGCTGGTCCCCGGTGGGTTCGGCGAGACGGGAACATTCGAAGCTGAAGCAGCGCGCCCGACAGGCTTGCTGGCGCGCGAGCTGGGTCGTGGCGCGTCCCCGCTGTTCCAGCGGGACGCCATGCATACCGCAAGGACTTTGAGCATGAATAGCTGCGATTGTAGGACCTCGAGCGTGGCATGGCCGTGCATTTCGGCTTGCTGATATCGTAGATATATTAGCGGGTGAGGACGTTATGATGACTATGCGCACGCACCTTGGCTAGTCTCTCCAGCACTTCGGACAGGTTCAGAGCAATCAAGTCTACAGAATCGCGCGACAGGTCCACCAAGCATTCCACCGTCTGTTGGATAGCTGGTTCCGCCTCTATGTTGTCCAAGCTGACTCCAGAATTGCATGGCAGCTGTAAGCAATGAAGTTCAGCTCACAGGTCACGCTGCAGCACTCCCCTCCCAACATGCTTATGCACATCCATGTCCTACGCCATGATGCCAACAATGCTCACCTTATTCTTCAATCTGTTGATCACGGATTGCACCACCCGGTGTTGCGGCGGCCCCTGGATCCCCGCACCAGCTGAACTGTACAGACCCGCTGGCGTCCCTCCATAATGGTACGAATCATTGCTCTTGTGCACCCTTGAGGAGCTCGCGACAGTTGTGGACGACGACGGTACCTGCCCCGCAGACGCTGAGGGGCGCCTAACGGGCATCTTCAGGAATGATTTGGAAGACACGCTTGCAAGCTGCTGGACGACCGTTGGCTCCTATTGTACGTGATCGCCTGCTACACTCAGCCCGGCGTCGAGAAGGTATTCGGCGAGAACGCGAGGAACGACGGGGGGCGCAGGTTAAAGCAAGCAGTGCAGTACCTCCCCAGGTCTTGGGGAGCTCAAGGCCTTCCGAAGTTCAAATGGTGTGAAACGCGTCGAGTGCCACAGTTTTTGATCCCGAAGGGTGCCCGACAGTTTGGCGCCTACAAATAATACGTTTCGGCTTGTAGCGCCCACAATAGCATCGGATACTTATGGCATTGCTTTGAAGTCGACGATACTTGTGCATTGAAGTCAAATACGAATACGCTATGTACAACCACTGTCTGTATAAGGAGGAAACCAGTGGTGTCCGGCGGTATGTTCATTTACTTTTCTATTTCAACCCTTTCTTGTAGGACGTTCTGATAGCTTCAAACAAGGAAAAAGAAGATCCCGGAAGAGCACTACTGGCACTACTTAAGGGATGCCCAAGCCTCAGATCTGGGAAGCCGAGATGCTTTACGGGCCATCTATTGCATATTGCGAACAGTTCGCAAAGCCTTGAACATCTCTCATCGCCTTTCCCTGGACCTTAGTATAATATAGCTCGGCATACAAGGGCTGCATTTGAAACTGTAACTGGTCGAGCGCTAGTATAAATGGGGTGGTAGCCTGTAGATGTGGGCAGGGACTCCACTCTCTCCTGGACAAAGCGCTGGCAGCCGCACATGGAACTAGTCCACAATATACAACTGCCATTCCCTCATTCTGGCGACGTGGGTTGTGAGCAGAAGGCTTTCATCACTTGGAAGGAGACTGGCCTGGCCAGATGACATGCACGATGCCGTAAATGTCAACAAATCCGGAGCCGCCGAAAGGAGATGTTGCACTAGTACTAATTGTGAACAAAACCGGACACAGAGCCACGGTGGTGAATAGTCTAGCGATCTGTGGATGAAAGGAGTTCATTCAGCCGTCATGATTGTTGACAGTGCATTTATGAATTCGAAAGGGTGCCTCAGTCTAACCCAAAGCCGGACTGGGGGGACCTGTGGCGAGCGTAATTGGCATCCGGCAAGGTCCCGCGAGGTCACGCAGCGACCTCGCTGGTCCAGAGCGAGGGCGGCAGGAAGATGCACAGCCACGGGACCCACAGGGACCCACAGAAGCACCTCCGCTACCGCCTCGTGCTACGAGTCACGGCGTCTAATGTCTCATCGTCTAACACAATTAACACTGAATGTTACCCCAGCCCATCCCGTATTATAGTGTCTCGCATGAGCTGTTCCTGTTAAAGCTCTTGTGAGGCTGATCGGACTCGGCGCCGGGACGGCGCGGCTGGTAGCCTCATGGGTCGGACCTGCGGAGCCTTCCAGTATAAGGTAAGGGGATAAACTCCGCGCCTTCCGTAGCTGTTCCTAATCTTGCGAAGGCCTCCTGGATGGTTTTTGCACCCCTCTGCTCAGCGCTGGCGACCCGTACCTAGCATCGAGTCGTCATCTATCGTACTGTCGTCTGTTCGACACGCATACTCGCGTCTCCCTTGGTCTCTATCGTCTCGCTATCGGAATCAAAACATTATTTCTTCTGAAATCGCTCTCTTGTCGACATATCAACCGGTTCTCTTTGACTCGTCGTCCGCGCACAGTTTATTCTCGCCTGTTTTTAGTTGCTTTTCCCGTCACATCGGTCTTCCTTTGTGTCTCGCTGTCGAATATTTACTTGTTCCGGTCGCAAAGAAGAAACGAGAATACGCATTATAGAAAACGCCCAAGAACTGAATCCACGACAATCCATTTCTTCACTCGCTTTGCAGCTGTCACCGTATACGTCCGATCACTTATTCGCTTCCATGTCACGCCTCGACGACTTTGAATACCCACCCGGACTGGGCTACGCGCGCACCAACGCGGACAGAGAGCACGTCCTGCACCAGAGCAACTCGGCCTCGCTCGGGGGCTTCGGGCTGCGAGAGCGCCGGACGAGCCTCAATGGCCTCGGCTACTCCGCGTACAATGTGGCCGCGTCGCTGCCACGATCCAGCGCGCTCCCGGAGCACGACTTCGGCGGCGTCGGAGCCAGTGACGCTTGGGCCGCGATGGGTGTCACACCAAACATGGCACGCCAGGCCACGGCCACCCAGCCGTCTTCACAGTTTCACCACATCCCTCCCTTCAACCACCACCACCACCAGCGCTCCTCTCCCCCCTCCGTGCCCCCTATCCCCCACAGCGCCCCCGGTGCATACATCAGTGCCAACGGCGCAGGCGCAGCCAGTGCGAACCTGCTGAACGGATTGTACGCGCAGACAGCTTATTCGGATCGCGAACGCGACGCGTTCCTGCCACGCCAGTCTCAGCCGGTGCAGTCGTCTCAGATACCGACGCATTCGCCGTCGAATTCACTCAGTCTCAGCTCTGACTCTTACGCCGCGCGCTCTACACTTTGGTGGGGCGGCCTTGAACCCTGGATGGACGAAGAATACGCGAAACAGGTCTGCGGCCTCATGGGGTGGAACCCTACCGAGATACGCGTCCCGCACCCGCCCCCTGACCCAGTCACCGGCCAGCAGGCGAACAACCCAGGTTACTGCTTCCTCACCTTTGCCTCGCCCGGTCAAGCTGCGTCTGTATTAGGGCAGATGAACAGCGGTGCCAACGGACCGATGCTCATGCCGAACTCGAATAAACCGTTTGCGCTAAACTGGGCCTCAAACGTGCCGTCGTCCTCTCTCGCGCCAACGCACACTGCACCGAGCACTGCTCCCGCGAACGGACAGCGCTTCGAGAAGGAGTACAGTATTTTCGTTGGCGATCTCCCTCCAGAGGCGTCCAATTCCGACCTCGTAGCCGTGTTCCGCAACCCTGTACTGGGACTACGGAACGACAGGGAGCCAAAGTTCGTCCGCCCCTTCCTGAGCTGCAAGAGTGCAAAAATCATGCTTGACCCCGTTACCGGCGTTTCGAGAGGGTACGGCTTCGTTAGGTACGTTAAGTCTACAAATGCATAGTGAAAATCCATATTGATCAATTCGTGGGGATAGGTTCACGGACGAAGCTGACCAGCAGCGCGCTTTAGTAGAGATGCACGGTCTCTACTGCCTCTCCCGGCCCAGTAAGTGATTCTACCTGAATATATGCGCATATACTCAGCCCTGGCCTACGTCAGTGCGTATCTCGCCGGCTACCGCTAAATTCAAGCCACCACCGTCAATACCTGGGGCACCCCTTCCATTCCCTTCTGCGTCTCCGACTGGCATCACGCAGCCACAGCAAGGTGTTACTATCGCCGTTCCTTTGCCAGCCACGAATCCGGCCAAGAGCGTGTCTGCCCCTATTGCGTCTAACCCCAACTCCTCTTCCGAGTCGACACCCTCGGTTGGCCACGCCTCTGTGGCAAACACTGCTTCCACATCGGCGACATCTCTCAATTCTCTCTCGACCCCTTCGCTGAGCTCTGGGTCGAGCACAAGCACATCCTTGTCATCACTGTCGTCGGCCCCGTCTGACGACATGCTGAGGATGATCGCGCAGTTTGCAAATACTGCGGCCGCCTCGAACAATTCCAAGCCCAGTAACGCACCGTTGAGTTCTATCACGGCTCCCTTCGCAATGCAGTCCCAGGACCCCTCCGAAACTGGCAACTACCATCTCTCGGAGGAGTCGTGGAAGCACCACGCCCAAGCCCGTGCCATCCTGAGCAATCTTATCGGGCCCAACGGGGAGCAACTTACTTCGAGTGATCCATACAACACTACCGTTTTTGTAGGTGGTTTGTCCCCATTGATCTCAGAGGAGACCTTGCGGACATTCTTCGCTCCGTTCGGCGATATCCACTACGTGAGTATATGCGCGTCCGTAGATGTGCTGTATTACTGACGAGCGGCTGCAGGTAAAGGTTCCCGTCGGCAAGCACTGTGGATTTGTGCAATTCGTGCACAAGAAAGACGCTGAAAGAGCCATTGAGAAGATGCAAGGTTTCCCGATCGGAGGTAGCCGTATCCGTTTGAGCTGGGGCAGGAGTCAATGTCAGGAGTCATTTCTGGTACACAAATGGCGCATATACTCATTTCTCTATCTACAGACAAAGCTGCACAGGCCGCTGCACAAGCCGCCCAAGCTGCTGCCCTGCAGGCGCAGATACAGTCCCAAGCTCCACAGGCAGCGGGCTCGGTGTTGACAGCCGAGCAAGCTTTTCAGGTCCTGGAGAAGTTCGGCCTTACTGCTTTCATCAATAACCCTGCCGCGGTCGTTGCAGCCCTCTCGGAGAACTCTGGGAATGGCTTCGCCAATACGAATGGCAATGGCACGAGTACCAATGGGTCGGGTGAAGATACTCCTAGGAGTGGCATGGACAACATGCAGCCGCAGAGTAATGGCAACAACGGAGTAGGGTATTCGTTCGATAGATACGATCCCAACTCGTATGGGCCACGCATGGACACCAATGTGCCCCCGGCGCGGTCGTCATTCTCGCCGTTCTCCCCGGACCCTAACCTCTTTCCTGAGGAGCTTCGGAATAGGGACTCCTTGACTCCCTCGCGGGCTGAGCCGCTTCCTCACCCATCCAAGAATTACGCGCCGGGTTTCGGGCCGTCCCCCTTGCAGACGCAGGATGCCAACGGACTTGAGAGGGGTAATACCAAGCGTATCTCCCCGATTACTCCTACCTCGGCGCATGCCAACCGACCTTCTGTGTCGCGGTTCAACTCTTTCTTGGGTGGGACCAGCACTCCATTCGACGTCGCCCGCGCTGCGAGTCGGAGCTCTTTCCACGAGCAGGAGAGGCCGAAGGAGGCGGAATCTCGTGAGCATGAGCAGGACCTGATTCAGGACCTCAACGGCACGCTTGCCAGCCTGGATCTCGATAACAGCCAGGGATCTTGGAGAGCGCAGGAGGACCGGACAGGGGGCAGGAAGAGCGGCAGCCCCGGCAGGTCTCACCAATGAGTAGGTCCGGCGAAACTGTGCTCGGCCCCGCACAGAATCTTGATTATTCGGATGTTATTTGGCTTCCGCCGTTGCCGCATCGCTATGGACTTGTCACAGATCCGGGTTCTGCCTTTCCTTTGTCTATGTTACGACCTGAGTCCTTTCGTCACGTTTTCCACGTTAGCATCGTCGCATTCTCAAACCCACTATCGGTCGTGTTTACAACATTTTGTCGACAGTTGCGTTCGTCCTCGTCGTCTATCCCCACTTGGTCTCCCTTTGCAAATCGATGGTCAGGTTTTTCTGTTTGCGGTCCTGTTCTAGCTACTTAGCACATTTCCTGCGCCTCTCCCGTTTTGTCCGCGAAACCGCAGTTTGGTTTACCTGCCTCTCTTCATCTCACCGCTCCGTCGTATACGCGCCTCTTATTCTCGGTTAATGCACGCGAAGAAATCGGTTTATTACATACGCATTGTTTTACGTTTTGTTGTTCAGATCTTTTCGGTATATATGTTTCGTATTGCAGTCGTCATGTCGAGTCCTGGATTTGTATCGAAGTTGCAATGTGTCCTCGGACGATAAATTAGAAATCGAGATGAAGCCCATGCGCATCGGACTGCAGCAATCCTTCGTCTTGAGATTTGAATAGTTGGTAGCGGCGCAGGTCTTGGAATGTAGGAAACCGTCAATCGATGTCGGCGACGGAAGACGGTTCCCAAGAGGCCTGAGCTCCAGTCTCGAACTGGCTGACGAGCGTGGTCTTGGGGGAACGTAGTTCGTCCAGCAACAAGGTGCTAGGGCGCCTCCTCTGCCGCTTCTATATCCTCTGCCCTGACGACTACTTCTTCCACTGCATCGCCGGGAGTATCATGGTCGTTCTGACCCTGTTCTGACCCAGCGACACTCTTATCCTTGGAGTTGCCCGTATGGAACTTCCTCTTGGGCATAACAGCGTACAGCGCCTGTTCCCAGTTACGGGTCTCTACCCACTTTAGCATGATCTCGAACACTTGATTAACTGTGAGGACTTTGCGCGTCGGCAGGTCGGACAGGTAGGTGCCTATGGGCAAGCGGGCGGTCCGAATTCCAGCTGCGTTTGCTTTGTTGAGACATAAGTTCTGATTTACACAACGGAGTAGGTTAGGTTAGGTTAGGGATGCCGTTATGAGGCGATGATTTACCTTGTAGCGGTTGCGGTCAACTATACCACCTATGATATACGTCTCGCCTTCTTTCAACTCGAGCAATTCTTCGGAAGAATCTGCCGTGAGATAGACCACAGATTCCTTCGGTACCTTCGAGCGCACCGTTGGTCGGTCTGCATCTGTGCCTGCCTCCGCGGGTTCCTGGGGGTTAGCCACACCTGCAGGTTTTGAATCTGGGCTTTCTGCATCCCACAGCTTTTCGTAGCCGTCGGTCCACCATTCGGTATTTGTCCACCTCTTGTAACTTGCGTCACCCACGGTTTCCAGTCTGGTTAGGGTCCGGCCGTTCAGACATGTGAAGAGAAGCGATGAGAATGGGTTAGACGAGCGTCGATTAGCACTATATGTATATGCTAGTTGGGAACACAAGGAAGTTATCTCCTATTCATAACGTCAGGATTACATTTCAGGGGCTCAGTGCAGGCGTAGAATAATCGTACTTTCTCGCTCATGAGTTCATCGAAACCCAAGTCGATCACCACTCTGGCTCCGAAAATCTGCTGCTTGCCACCATCGCCTTTCCGGCGTTTCCGTCGCGCCTCCTCTTCCCTCTCCTCGTCCGAGTCCAGTTCTCCGGCGGCACGTTTTTCTGCTCGGATGCGTTTCTTCTCCTTGCGCTGTTCCTTTTCTCGCGCTCTTCTTTCCAGCTTCATGGCCTGAAATCGGGCGGCCTTCGCCAGCTTCTTCTGCGCATTCTTAGATAACGGCTTCGTCTCCTCGGTCAGCGCTGCGGTTTCCATGGTCGCAGACGTGCTTGCAGAGTTCTCCATGGTCCTATGAGCACAAGTCCACCTAGATCGAAGAATAACTCCTCCAACCTAGTACCGCCGGAATATGCCGCGTCCTCGGATCGTCCGAATCGTCGCTCGCCTGGCCTTAGCTTGTGCCACACTGACGTTGCTCTACTGCTTGCAATCATCCTTCATCTCGAGAGATATAGTGTCACCAGAGATGGCGAGCGCCTTGAAAATCCTGACTGTTGCGCCTCGTACTAAGCACACAGCTACGGTCATATTCGTCCACGTGAGTGGATTGGAATCCAGCGCCACATGCAAGATCAGGATGATCGACTCTTGCTGTAGGGACTTGGGGATACAGGTTATGGCTGGAAGCCGGTGGCAGACATGTTCCAAGGCGATCCTGGGCTTAGCCATGTCAAATGGGTGCTCCCTCATTCGTAAGTAGCCTGAGCGAACCGGGAGGGTACTAGGACGGTGAGTATTGAAGTATCTCAATAACGTAGACCGTCAAGGAGGGTAACTGCCAATATGGGAATGGAAATGCCCTCATGGTGCGTCTGTCACCCCAGTGGCATCCATAATCAGTTCTGAGGATATTCATCTGAAAGGTTTGACATCCTGTCCTTTGGCTTCGACTCCCCGGAAGACGAGGAAGGCATGCTCGAGACGCAGCAATCATTGGAGCAACTCATTTCGAACGAAGTGTTGGAAGGCATCGATCCGTCCCGAATTGTCTTGGGCGGCTTCAGTCAAGGGGGAGCCATGTCCTTGCTGACCGGTCTTACGATCGACAAGAAGCTCGGGAGCATCGTTGTCCTCAGTGGTTGGCTAGCTCTGAGGAATAAAATAAAGAATGTTAGTTCCTTGCGCGTCGAAGGCCAGGTCTCAGCAGTGCTGATTAGATCTTGATTTCTTGCAGATGGTGTCTCCTCACGCGAAGTCTGTGCCCATCTTCTGGGGCCACGGGACCAGCGATCCCCTCATCAAGTACCAATTTGCTTTGGACTCGCTGGAGTTTATGAAGTCGAATTTGGAGATCAACACAATAGAACGCAAATCTGCAAGTCCTAACTCTGGTGGTGTGGTCTTCAACTCGTATCCAGGCATCGGGCACTCTACCTCCCAGCAGGAGTTAGACGATCTACGTGAATGGCTGAAGCAGATGTTACCTAAGGAGAGTCCATGAATGATCCCAATTTATCGAAGCATGCTTTCAGAAGGACAGCGTAACTCGAAAGAGATCTAGTGACGAACTAGGACAGCTGTTAAGTTCGATATATGATGTTCATCTAGACGAGAGATTTGTTTGTCAATGTACGGCTAGTTGGTGGGAACAGTGCACCCCACCGTGCATGGTGTGTGTCCTGATCTGACTAAGGCTGACCAGGGCCCATAGCGTCTGATAGCCGTCCGTCCCCCACTCGATATCTGTCCGCCGAAGTCAAAGGTTGATACTTACTGGCCATCGGGATATGCCGCATCCTCGGATCGTCACCCGCCTGGCCTTGGTTTGGTCCGCCGTGACGCTGCTGTATTCTTACGAAAGCGTCCCTAACATCGAGGACTATAGTTTCGCTAGACATGGCCAGTGTACTGCAACCGTTGAAAGTCCTCAGTGTTGCGTCTTGCACCAGACACACCGCTACGGTCATATTTGTCCATGTGAGTGGAATAATGCAATCTATCCACCTTATATGGGATCAACTCTTGCTCCAGGGACTAGGGGATTCCGGCCATGGCTGGAAGCCGGTAGCAGACATTCTCCAAGGCGATCCAGGCCTTAGCCACGTCAAATGGGTGCTTCCTCATGCGTGAGTAGCTGGGCAGAGATGTACCGCTCGCCTGTATTTGTGACGATGTATATCGGAATATTAAGCTAAACGAGATGTAGACCCACGAGGAGGGTGACAGCCAACAGGGGTATGGAGATGCCCGCGTGGTGCGTTTGTCACTGTGACAATATCCTTGCTTAGCATTAAGAATATCTTGGATCGGAAGGTATGACATCGTGGCCTTCGGCGCGGATTCAGACCCTCCTGAAGTTGAAGAAGGCATGCTCCAGTCGGTAAGATCACTGGAGCGGCTGATTGCGAATGAGGTGTCGGAGGGGATTGATCCATCCCGGATTGTCTTGGGTGGTTTCAGTCAAGGAGGAACCATGTCCTTGCTGACTGGGCTTACGATCGAGATGAAACTCGGGAGTATCGTTGTCCTTAGCGGTCGGCTAGCTCTGAAGAGTAAAATCAAAACTGTCAGTTTGCGCCTTGACACAGGATTGCTCCAGTGCTGATCGCCTAGGGTATCCCTGCAGATGCTGTCGCCTCATGCAAAGTCAGTGCCTATTTTCTGGGGCCACGGAACGAGCGACCCTGTTGTCAAGTACCAATTCGCAACGGATTCCCTGGATTTCATGAAGTCACAGCTGGAAATCATCACCATAGACCGGAAATTGGCCAGTCCTACCTCTGGGGGTGTGGTGTTTAACCCGTATCCAGGAATGGGACATTCCACCTCCCAACAGGAGCTGGATGATCTGCGCGAATGGTTGAAGCTGGTGTTACCCAAGGATAGCGCATGAATTATCGTTCAAGAATTTGTCCATAATTCTCTTGCAAGAACAGTGGGAGCGGGATGAAGGGGGACCGCGTAATGCCGTCGAAGTCCACCTCCTCATACAATAGAGAAATACGATGTTCTGCATGTTTTTCTGGAAGGCAAAGGGACGAAGTCCGGTTTATGAGCGCAGGCGTAGTGGAAGAACTTGCAATTGAATGCCACAGTTTGGCCACAGTCACCAGTGCACAGCCTCATCTAACGACTGCACGAACCGCCGGCGTTTGCCGCTCCTCACCATCTCAAAATGAGCGACTATATGGGTCTGCCTTCATCAATAGCTGGCTTCCGTATCATTCCTGTGGCCTACAATTCTACTACCTCGCATATTCTATACGCTCGCAAGCATGTCGGCTCCAAACGAAAGAACTCCACATCTTTACCGGAAGGTCGGACACTATTCCTAGTCAATGTACCCCCGGATGCCACGGAACGAGAAATGGTTCTACTCTTCAAGAATTGTGGTACTGTGGAGAGAGTGGTATTTGACTGGGAAGTGTCTGAACCCGATCAGGACTCTACGACCAGCGACGAGGAAGAAGAGGAAGAGGCTCAGCCGGAACAGCAGCAACCGCGGAAAAGGCGAAAATTGGATAAGGGGAAGAAGGAGAAGCCGCCCGCTGTCGTGCCCTTACCACACAGAGCTCTACGAGTCCTCAGGAAGACAGGGCACTCTGCTCATGTCGTTTTCTTGGACGAATCTTCACTGGAACGGGCGCTGGCACCCGCGGAGAAGCCCCGTCCCTGGCCGACATCATCTGAAGAGCCGCGTGGACTGGCCCACTACCTAGCTTTATACGACTCACTACGACCACCATTAGATGTCGTGCGCGATCATGCGGATACATGGATGGAGATGTTTGACTACGAGCAAGCGAAGAAAAAGCAGAAGTCGGAATATCGCAAAGGCGAGGCGATCGTGGACGAAGATGGGTTCACGTTGGTCACGAGAGGAGGCGCATACGGCCAAACATTGGGTGGAGGCGTCGGAGTGGCGAGCAAGAGGTTCCAGGAGACGGGGCAGGTGTCGAAAAGGAAGAGGAAGAAGAAGGATCCGAAGGAGAAAGAGGATTTTTATGCGTTCCAGAGACGGGAGAAGAAACGGAACGGTGCGTCTGCTTGACCAAACGTGTTGGACGCTGGCTTATTTTTCGATTTTCGTAGAATTGCTCGAGCTCCAAAGGAAGTGGGAGGCAGACAAAGCCAAAGTGGAGGAACTCAAGGCCTCCAAACGATTCAAGCCTTACTGACGTTGTCTCAACTGATGTTTGGGGTTCGGCGGTCCGAGTCCTCAGCTTCATGCAGTACCGACTGCGTTCTACCGTCTGCTACCAACGCCGAATATTACGAGATTGACAACAGTGATACTGTTGAACGATTTGGTTTGACTCTAAGGTTTCAAGATAGACAGTGTGCTCTCCTACGTGCCGTAGATGCAGTGTTAACTTGAATTCCTACGACATGGAAGTGGTGGTACAAGTCAAATCTTACCGTGAGAGCCATGCTGTAATTGTTGTATCGCATACAAGTATTGCCCGATACCCGAGGCGCGTCCGTACTGTTCACCCACGTCTACTCTGTGGCTCGGTTTCTGCTTGGAGAGAACTGGAGTGAATATTTAAAGGTCTTCACATCGAAGAGCCAAGAGAGCTTTATCGCCCGCCACGTCACATGGAGAATAATGGCAAGTCTGGTCAGATAGCCCCAAGACTGGTGGTCAACCCGAGCCAGTATGAGGTGAACGCCGCGAAGATAGCCGAACTAAAGCGAATAGTAGAGGACATGGAGAAGCAGAACGAGACAGGCTATGTGAGATATCAGCTGGAACAGCGGATTCGAGAAGGGATGCAGGCGCAGTGAGTCTCTCCGTGGACAGAGTTGTCCACATATTTGACGAATGCATCGGTGGCAGGGAAATGCTAGCCAAACTTACCGAAGCTCAGGCTACAAATCAGTATGTATTGGTTATGTCGGGGCTGCTACACTGGTTGAAACGACGCATTGTAGACCCGTAGCATCGTCTAGCGCGTCGAACGTGAGCCACTATTCTAATCCCAACATGCCCGTCCCACTCGCCGAGGTCGAGGAATATGCAAGGGTGCCTACTACCGCGCATATTGTGGAGGTGACTAGTCCATCTCAGGTAATCTATTTCCTTCTGCGACCCTCCTGGTCTATTAACTCAGTTCTCGAGCCCGTAGAGCACGCGCGCCACGTCCAGAACGTCAAGCGGCACTACGGTACCCCAGTCCAGCCATGGAAGTGCTGCGTCCCCATCTTTGACAAGCTATGGTCTCAGCGCATCCTCCAGTGGCACCAACCAGCAAATCTATGGTCAACAGCAACCCAATGGCATCCAGTACGGCGCGCATCGTGTAGTGCCCGGATACGGGCAGTATCAAATGCAAGCCGGCAACAACCCTGCATCACAAACCTATGGACAATCTACTGCGGGTGCGTCGACTTCGCAATGGCAGGCTTATGCGGCGTCCAGCTCTTCGTATGGACACGGCCAACCCCAGGTTCAGCATCAAACCGTCAACCCCATGGAACTTTATCGGCGACATTTGTACAACCGGCAGATCCAAATGCAGATGCAGTACGGAATGGCTGCCCAGCAACATCGGGCTGCTTCCGGCTCGAACGTAGACCCGAATAACAGGACTTCATCCAGTTTGAGTGGGGCTTTGGGTCAGGCGACTGCTGGCGGTGCGAGTGCCACAGCACCGTCGAGAACTGTAACTCCGACAGCAACCATCTCCAGTGGACCTTCTTTGCCCTCAAACCGGCTGAATAGCCATCCGAATGGCGCAACTGCAACAGCAGCAACTTCATCCACTGCAACTCCCGCGCACTTTACCACGGAACTTCTGGCACGGCAGTTAAGGGAGGCCTACGCTCACGACCAGCAGAAGAGTCGACGGTCGGCCGCTTCGTCGCCAATTGGAGTACCGAATCGAATGAGTGCTCATCCGCATGCACCCGATGCTGGGCCCAAGCTGGTCCGACCCGAGTCTGCTCAGAGCGCGCAAGCGTCTCAGGGAAACCCTACAACAGCACATGCGAAGCTTGTCACTCAACAAAGACCAGATCATCATATCATGTCACAGTCTCCGAAGTCCTCCGCGGCGTCCATCGCGAATACAGCTATATCATTCGCTCAAGGGGCCGGAGCGCAAGCGTTTAACAACAATGGCGAAGCAGCCACATCCGATCGCTCTCAGCAAGGCAACGTCCCAAAGCCTACTGTATACTATTCCTACCCTGGCTTCCCCTACCAACAGTACCGTTATGCGCCATATCATCAGTATTATGGTTCTACCTCCACCAGCACGGCCAACCAAGGAAACCAACGGCGCGCGCAAATGGAGAATGCGGGTGCCCTGCCCAGTCCCTCTGTAGCCGCTGCTCCTGGGCCAGCTGCTACAAACACCCTAGGGCATCGTGTTTGGGTCGGCTCGCAGACTGCTCCCTCTATTGCGAGACCTAAGAGTCCTCTTACGCCTGCAAAGGCCGAGAAGCGAAGACTAGCGCGAGATATCCTCAGAGCGCTCGGGAAACCCGAATGGCGTGAGCTGGTGGATAAACGCGATATCCAGACCATTGGGGAGGCGTCTATTGTTACGAATTCCGCAACTCAGGCAGAATCCAGAGAGGGCGAGGATGGAGAAGACTCGGAGCCTGAGGCTCCTGGTCAGTCGACAGTGCTCGCGGAAATAGATGGTTCTGCGACAGTAGACTCTTCTCTGGAATCTGGTCTCACCCCTCAAGTTATCATGGCTTCACTCGAAGCAGATGCCGAATCCGCTAGTCCGTCGAAAGTGGATGATGTGAAACGGTCTGATCAGCCTGGGGACCTTGCTATCGCGACGCAGCGGAGTAAGAGTCCTAGATCACGAAACGCTCAGCCAAAACGAAAATGGAGCCCGGGGCTTGCCCTGCACACTGACCAAGGCGAGAGGAAGAGACAGAAGGTGGATGGTGACGTAGTTGAGGAAGAGCGCGACACCTCGCAACCACCGATTGCAGTACTGCTGGACAGCCCCATAGCTGAGTCGGAGACTCGGGATTCCCAGGAGACGGACGAGGGACCTGTCAATCAGAATGTACCCAAGGAACCCTTGGCGGCAAGTCCAGGTATTCCTGAATCTCAGCTACGGTCTGCTAGCACTCCCAGGAAACTTGTCTCGCAGTCGACATTCCCCGCTATCCATGAACGTACGCCTCTATTCCTCCCTTCCCCTGTATCATCACCGTCGAGGAGAGCATCTACCAAAGACGCCGCAGAGCCTCCGCTCGACACCGCGCGGGGTTCTAGTGCACAATCTTCGCCTACCCTACGCACACTGGCGCCGAGAAAGCCGCGGATAGTGCTGGACTATGTTGAGGTGCCTCCGTCGCCGGAGTGGGGTTCGAAAAAGAAAGCAGTAAAGCCAGACAAGTCAGGAAGCAAACGGGGAGAGGCGAGGTCGAAAAAGCAGAGTGTCCGGAAGCTGGCCACTGGCAGCGCTGTGACCGATTCTAATTTAGTAATCATATCTGACGATGAGAGTACCTCGACCGGTCGAAGACGAGGTGGGCTTTGTTGATATATCTGTGCTTGCCGAAGTCTCATCTCCTGTTGCTATTTGATAGTGTCAGTAGTTGAATTGAATGGTGAGTAGAGGCAAAACATTCATTTCGACTGGGCTACGACTCTGAGTAGCTCTGTCCTCTCAGGGGAGCTCGAGGAAAGGGCGTTCGTAGAATCAGCTAGCCGGCTTTGTGCCCGACGCTGTCAGTGGCGGTCATGCGATGCTGTTCTGAACTCTGTCGACAATCTCCTACGTCATCTCCTGGTGGTACATTTGGAGGAGGAATCGGATGGCACTTCTCCCGTAGGTCCCTCTCTTGCTCTCCTGAATGCCGCTGGAACTTCTCCAGGACGGCTCCGTATGTCTTTGGAAAGACTGTCAGAAGAGGTCGTCGGACATGATGGAATCGGACAAACACCTCGAAGCCCATGCCGCGCTGCCCATTCCCTGCGCTTATCAAGGTATGAACCCTTGGATAACTCTGTCCGATTCACACTAACTTACGCAACAGGGTGCGATGTTACTGTGGGCACGGTGTCGGAGCTCGTGCAACATAATGCATCCAAGCATCGGGAAGGCCGGCTCAAGCCTGAAGTGGACCCATTCGACCCACCCCTCCGCCAGTTGGAATCTTTGGAAGACGTATCCAAGAAGCTACCCTCACCACTTTACTCGTCGTTTCTTTCAGTGTCCCCTTGTCCTATATCTCCGTCACGTCATGCACAAATTGGCCCTTGGGTATGGTGCATTCAGTCCAGTGAGACTTATTTATTTTAACATCTTGCCTAGGTTCTACGACGGATATTTGGTCCCGTCAACCTGCAGTATGCTCAGTACAATGCGGCGGCTCCGTTGCGTCCTTCACATCGTCTGGCAGACCAGGACGCAGACCCGAAATCAGTCCTTGCTCGGATAGAAAACTCCAGGCACGACGAGTATGACTTCGCAAAGGCATTCACGCTCGAACCTCCCGATTATTGCGACGACCTTCCGAGTGCCGAAGTTACGGATCTCGTCCGCAACGGTGGACTGGTGTTCTGGGGCCCTGCTGAAGATGACATCGACGTTAAGGAAGAGCAAGAAGATCGCCATGTCACGCAGCCATCACCTCCGCGAAGGTCGCCTACGCAGGATGGGTCTCACATGCCTGGCGAACCAGATGCTGATGCTGCTTCTTCGACATCGTCAGACGAGTTGAGATTACGGGGGCACGCATCCATGGAACAGATGACCATCGCAAGCAGCGGCGGTAACGTCTTCGAGGCTGCATCGCTGCGACCAGCACTATGGAGTGATCATGACGAGGAGGCTGTTGCCATGATGCTCTGAGGCCCTGAGGTCTCCGGATCCCCTCCTCTTTCCCTACTACATATAATAGTCGTAATACAGTTTGCGCCGTGGAATGCACTCTGTCGGTCCTATCTTCCGCAACAGCGTGGGTGATTATTGTAGCAACTTCCCATCGCGTAAAAATGCCAGAAAACAGCGGAAGTGGTTCTGGCGTTGTTGGGATCAGGCACGACAGAAGCTTGATTGGGAACAACGCAGGTCGGTGACGGCCCTTGGAACGCGACCCGTTTCGTCTCATTCCGCTCCTTTCTGTAAAATATCTAATCGTTATGCCAGCCGGCTCTGAGAGCCTCGGTCAGTGTCGCTGGCTTTCATCGATACCATGGCAAGGCCTCTGATATTCAGGTACCCAGCAGGCCATCCAGGTCCCACGTATATTTCACCTCACTCGGCCGAGGTCATCCTCTCCGAAATCCGCCCAATAAAACTCAAGGTCGACGCGCTCGCATCTATCAATGTCTTTCTGGACGAACTGCTCTGGAATGTCCTCAATGCTTCGCGGTCGTTGACTACAGACAAACTGAAGGCGGGCTTGACGAAGGTGCTACCGACACCGCTGGGGAAAGAAGCGTTGCTGGAGGCGGAAGTCGAGTTGAGGGCGTACTGGGAGCGGACGAGTGCTTCTACACCGTCGTCGCCGCACAGGCCTGGAGATGATGAGAAGACGTTCAATCTGGATTTGGCTTTCGAGGTGAGTTGTGTATGTAGCTCCTGGTACTGAGGTCTGAAGGCTGATCTCGCGGCGCTGCAGCTGCTCCGACTCAAGTGCCAGGCGTACTCGACGCTGAACGATGCTGACGAGGATCCGGATGTGGAAACTCGTTTGTACGAGCGACTTCTGTCTGCTGGAGCGCCAGTTTCGCCACCAAAACCCGCGCTTGTCTCTCCTGCTGCATTATACTTGACCGCTATACTTGAGTGCGTCGCAGTTTTTCTTAGGACCCGATCTTGTCTCACGTTCTGTCAATTCTAGGTCAATTTGCGAGTGAGTATCAGAGTTGGTTAGACGCGGTCATTGCCTCATTTCCTGACCTCAGGCATATTCTCTCGAATGTGGGCCGAGTTGCTGCCCGAGATAGCAGCAGAACTACGGCCACTGTGCATGACCTGTACATAGCCCTATGCGAGGATGACGCTATCTATGGCCTCTTCAAGACTATGAAGGGTGAGTAGACATATGTTCTTCAAAGCGTGTGCTTTGACTGATCGTATCAACCATGCAGTTTATGAACAGATAGAGGCCATGTCGCGGCCTCGGCGAAGCAAATCTTTCTCGCGACCGTCAGATAAAGACGGTTCTCCTCTGCGCACAGGTTCCCCCAGCAAAGACTCTCAGGGTCGGCTGCGCTTATCCTCGGACTCATCCACCGCGCATGGCCATTCGAATTTTGGGAATATACCCGCAGCATCTACGTCCCGTCCTTCTTTTGAGAAAGCTCGAGCCTTGAAGATCTTTTCATCTCACAACCGGTCATCCAGCGACCAGAATCGGACTATAAACGATCAAGCGGAAGCCCAGAACGGGCATAAGAAGTCTGATTCCCTTCTCACCAACGGGTCAAAACCATCCTTAGGGAGAGGTAACGATAGGCCAGCCGCGCCTCTGGGAGAGTTCGAGGTTGGTAGCGTTCCTGAGTTGCATCAGCAGGGACTGATTTGTGTTCCAGGATGATGGCGACTCCATGCACTTCGAAGATTTAATGGCTTCGGACACCACCATGAAAGTCTCTTTGACCCCCGACAGACTGAAGACGATGGAGGTATGTCCTCGGCTACTCATGCATATTAGAGAAATCCTCACCTCATTCCTTGCGGTAGATGTATAACAAGGAGCGGAGTCGACGCGAGGGCACTCGGACTGGCAAACCTAATGCGCAGGATGCCGTCAGGCCTGCCGGTAGTGATACCGACGATTCTTCCAGTCTAAACCCAAAACGTTCCCACGGTAACAGACGGCCCGTGTTGCGCCACGTGGATTCTATCATCGAGGACGACGAGGAAAATCATGCTTCACTCCCTAAAGTCGCCCCGCGCGGCAATGGACTTGCTCCTCCCGAACTCATGCCCTCACGTCCTCCTACCTCGAACAACGCGCGTGCGCGCTCGATCTCTACATCTAATGCTGTGAATTCCAGGTCTCAGGCGCAAGGCTTGAATCGCAAAGCGTCACTTAATGTGGTATCTTCGTCCTTCACTGAGTCTCCGGCTCACTCCCAGAAGAAAGACCGGCCAGTGCCCAAGCAACTGGACATGTCAGGTGGAGGCCCGCAACGAACCCGGAAAATTGGTCGGCGACGTGAATCGTTGGACTTAGACGACATCATGAACGGTTCAGACGATGATGACGCAGAGTCCTTGAAACCGGTACCCAAGACGCCCAAGACGCCGAAATCAGCCCATCCAGTCGTATCCAGCACAACTCGAGAGCTTATGGATTTCCTCGCGGAAGGCCCTCCCGACGTGCCCACTCTGCCGAAAACGACGAGTGTGACCTCGTTCGAGACCGCCAGGTCTCCTGGGAGATCATTCGGTTTGAGACGAATGGTGTCCAAGCTGACTAGAGGTCCCTCGACGGAACAACTGAATGGTCGTGACAAGCCCAGCGACGAATTTGGTTCCGGCTCGCTCAGTCGGCGCTTACCTGGTGCGAGTGCCACCAGCGTTTCCTTGTCACAGCAGTCCCTATCTTCCAAGCGGTCCTACTCGAACGTGGTTGTTGCCACCAGACCCCCTCGGTATCCTCAGACTCTTGCTTCGCCTCCATCCTCACCTTCACAAGGCTCGTCAGAGGATGCGAACTCACATTCGCCTCCGTCGTCCTACTCCCGTGGGACCGGCTTGTCCCGCGACGCCAGCGACCTGACTATGACCTCGGTTGCTTCTTCCGTCGTGTCAAGTAGATTAGAGGAGTCTCGGAAGACAGCTTCACCCTCAATCGACGTATCTTCGGTTGCGTCTCGGGGTCAGCGTAAAGATATTTCAATCCATCCGGTAGAAAGATCAGAGGAGGACTCGAGTAAAATCAAGTCTCCCATCCGCGCCTTGCCTACGCCCCCTGCATCTGGATTCAAGGAAGCGGCTACCAAAGATTCACAAGTTAAAGAATCTCTTCCGACTGTGCAGGCGAAGCCGACCAATGAGCGCCCCAAGTCCAAGGGCGGCAGGAACATCCAGGCAACCGCAGCGGACGAACCGGCTGTCCTGGCTAGTCAAGCTGCCGGTAACCTCCCGTCTGTGGATGAGATTCGGGATCTGCGTCGCCTCTTATCCAAAGCCACCTCGGCCGACGAATGTCGCCTACTGATTGATATGTTGTTGGTGAAGTGCGGTTTTTCGTTGGACGAAGATCCTCGAGCGGCATATCCTTCCCCTTCACCATCTATCGATACCCCCCTCCCGTCTCAAGACTCTGGCCTTGAGCAGTCACTAGTGGAGTTACTCCTCTGCGGCAGCGCCGCTGATGTATCTCAGGACACCGGAATCAAGGAGAATAATGACGCCACCGTCTCTCACCAACCCGCCTCTCATACCAATAATTCCTCAGCGGTTCGGAAGCAGAGGCGTGAAGCAACGGACTTCTCGCAGGCGATAGTGCCGCCAGTTATACGCATGGAAGGTTGATATATTGGGTTGGATATTTCTTATTGATCTACTATTTCACTGTTGCTAAGAGGTATATAATGTAATTATCTTTCCTTTCCACGTTTTAGCTTTATGAGCGGTATTCTGTGTATACCGGATTACCCAGGATGACCTATACTTCCATTTCTTGGTTTACCTGAAACTACTATTATGGGCTGTGTACATGTATATAGTGATTCTAATGGACCTCAAGGGAAACAGCAATACCCATAGCTGCTAGCTCAGCACATAGGTACCTGAATACATACGGCACCGCGACAACGTCGAGATCGCCGCCTTTTGACGTGCTGCCTAAGACGTTGACAGAGGATATGGCAACCCTCACGTCGGTCTTGACTGCATTTGACACATTATTGCCGTGCGCCATGGCTTTCCGTTGTCGCTCATCCTCCTGTTCAGCAGCAGCGCGGCAGACCCGACAGTACTCGCCATTTGGTCCCGTGGGTTTAGGAATGCCTGAAGGCCCAATGACGACTTCTCCCAGCCGAATGTCATCGTACCCCAATGAAATTAGGCTTCCACACGTCCGACACACCCAGGCCGTTGAATAGTCCGAGCAATTCATCAACCTATCTTGTAGGAGGAAGGATGTGCCGTGAGCTATAAGTGCATCGCGTTCCATCTCACCGAACCGGATACCACCAGCACGTTTGCGACCCTTCAGAAACGTCAGATTTATCAAACAGAAGGCTACGACGGTGGTCTCACCTTTACCGGTTGACGAGTAACAGGATCGACAGGACCTGTTGTTCGTACTTGGAATTTATCCAAGACCATGTGCCGTAAGCGCTGGTAGTAAACAACACCGATGTATATGTCGGCAGCGAATTCTTGCCCTGTGATGCCGGAATACATTGGCTCATTGCCATAATAATTGTAGCCTGCGGCCAGCAATTGTTCTCCGAAATAGTCGATAGCTGTATCTTTTTCGGAGAATCTGTCGCAAAGAACCATGAGTACTGACGAGAGCACTCGCTGTAGCGACGCACTTGAAAGGGGTCGCGTCTTGGGCTAGACCGTGCATGGCGCCGGCCTTCCCCGCCATACTCTCTACTAACATCCCTATAGTCATTCGACTTGGGAAAGCATGTGGATTGATGATGACATCGGGTTGCATCCCACTCTCTGTGAAAGGCATATCTATGGCAGGCCACTTCTGGGAGCAAACACCCTTTTGGCCGTGACGAGATGAAAACTTGTCACCTATCACGGGCGACCGAGTTATACGCAGGGTGACTTGAATCTTCTGACACTCTGAATCAGCGGCATCACTCCCTAATAACCAGTATGAATGTTTCGGCAACTAGAGAAAAGTACCCGACCCTACCTAGTATGCGGACTTCGTCAACATACGCCACCTCATCGCCCTTGTATTTTACGAAGCGTGTCCGCGCGGTAGTGTCGTCGATGTAAGCGGCAATAGGATCCCCTGGCGAGAGTTGGGTGCCGACGAAAGGATATCCGTCAAGATCAAGGAACTTGCAACACCAGTGTTGCTTATCTCCAGGCTCCGTGCGTATATCATGTCCCAATCCGAAGTGTAATGTAGGGGCCGACATAGAACGGGATGCACCTTTAGCATCCTTCAGGTCGACAATCTGTGACTTGTAAACAGTACCGTAGGCGAACCCTCTTTCGTGTGCGGACTTGTTGAGGATCATGGCGTCTTCCATGTCGTATCCCGTATACGATATGACTGCGACGACAGCGTTCGTGCCGTTAGGGAAGGAGTCCATTCCATAGGTGTTGTGCAACTCGGGTCGGACCACGGGCGTCTGACCGGTCTGCAGTCGGTACAATTTGTTATCTGTTCGATGCTGAAGGGCCGTAGATGGTGTACCCATCGTTTGTTTACCCATCTGGCAAGCAAGTTGAGCAACGAACAGTAAGAAAAGGGCTAGCGCTGACCTGGCACTGATAGATATTCCGCGGACTCTGGGAGGCGAGAATGAGGATAGGAAAATTCCAAGACACATACTACTGACCTGGTTGAAGTCGGAAAAGGGGGTGAGATTCGCGAGTATGGACAAGAAATTCGTGGGTGCATGTTCTACATGGGTCGAAACACCCCGCTCGATTTCCTCCGGTGTACAGGCAATATCCATGTAAACCTGCTCGAAGGAGCCGATCTGATCGTTCCGCGAATTCGCTAGGTACTTAACGGGGCGCATCATTCTCGAGCGCGACGAGAACAAGTATAACCCAGGGTACTGTCCGCCTCTTGACGGCGGCACGTAGCCAATTTCGAGGTCCAAGGGAACATCATGCCTTCCTTCAGTCTTCCATATACGCAGGTTCATTGCGAGCTGCTTAGCTATCTGAGGGCGTGCCCACCCTATGACTCGGCCATCAAGCTGGACGCAGAGATTTTTGGTGCCATCTATTGAAGGCGAGAAGTTTTGTGTCATGCCATGAGCGACTAGGAGGGCCGGTAGATGTGATACCCTTAGCGGCGCTGTAATGATACGACAGGTTCGAGAAAGATGATTCAGAAGACCGCACGGAGCACCATCGGGGGTGTGAACAGGGCAGAGGAAACCTATCACAGTAGGGCGCCATGGTTAGACAGGCCGAATAATGAGAGATTGATGGCCACATACCCCAAGCTTCAGGGAGCAGCTTCCGGACCGCAGTTGTCTTTAGCTCGGCGAAAAAGGCTCCACGATGTATTGATCTGAAATGACTGATGTAGCGCATCCAATTCAGCTTCTCCGCGACGATGGTGAACCCAGATGCCTGTTGCAGATCAAGTCCAGTAGGAGACACGAGATTTCCCGTAGCCAAGAAATTCGACATCTTCGAACCGAGATCGAAGTTCACCTTGCTGAGTACTTTATTGAAGTATCTTGCTGCAAAGTACACAAGGTCAATGTGCGCGAAATTAGGAGAAGGTGGAAAACATACCGTCAAAGAAATCAACTGACGGCTCCTGATTCCTGACGTCCAGCATGATCTGGTTGCGTACTTGGTTCAGGGCTTCTTCAAGACGCTCCTTGATGATCATACCGTACAATGTACCGGGTAATAAGACCTCTTGATGTTGTGGGGAGTCAGGGTTATCCGGAGAACACGACTTAGATACTAGCGAGTAAAGCTTCCTCAACATGAACCTGCAAGTTGTGAGGAGCCGGGATTGATGATGGAAGAGCCAACACCCACAGGAGCATGCGATATTTCTCCCGTGCCTCCTGAATATGCACCAAGACCACTTTTTGTATTAACCAGGCGCCGACGGCCAGGTTGTCCCAGTCCTCGGGCAGTGCTAGGACAACCCGGAACTTGTCGCCGAGATACTCAAGGCACTGGTCGCCGGTATATAGACTGTACATTTTGAAGCTTCGTAATAGAAGCTCGACGCGATCCGTCAAGAAAGTATTTTCATAGTCCTGCATCATGACACCCTCAAAGATCTCTTTGTCGGAGGCACCGACAAGAGCTTTGAGGATTAGCATGATAGGAATGACATACTCCTGTTTCCGCCAGCTGAACCGCAGCATAGCGCTCCCGTTCGAGAGGTAATGCAACGAGTTTGTGACGCTTGTCTGATCCGGGCGTACGCAGCGGATCTGGACGGCGTAGGGAGTATAGGACGGGCCGCGGTTAACAAACGATGGTCGTATGAGCGCGATGACGTGATTGCGCCGCGGTAGGATGAGGTACCGGATGAGACGCTCATTACCGTTGATTATGAAGTACCCGCCAAATTCCTCAGGTTCTTCGTGCTTTTTCACGAGGTCGGCGGAGGATAGTCCGCGAAGATTGCACCGTACTGACTGCATATGTAAATTTGTGATAGACGCGGACAGCAGTCCTAACATGTACTCACTCGAACCATGACCGGCACCAAACCACAGTCTTTGATCACAGAACGCTCGACTTCACCCTGGTGATCCAGTTTCCAACATATTTTTACGGACATACGACCTCGATACGAGGTCAAACGTTCTCGAGCCTAAACGGACTCGTTTAGCTTGTTGCTCAACTGGAGGGATTCTCACAAATTCGTGGTTAGTGGTGACAACTCACCTCGAAAGGGTACACCCTGATATCATTTGCGTGTTTGATTTTTTCTGGGACGCGGGGTTTAGATATTGACACCTGCTCAATCCAAACTTGAAAACGCTCCATGTATCATAGTCAGCTAGCGTGCCATGGCACAGGAGTACTCACAACTCAGACGATTTCCCCAACCGCTCTGCCCGCTTTCAGTGCCTACTTGGCCCGTCCCATCGAACACCACCCTTTCGCCAATATCCCTGACTGCCAAGGATAGTAAACCACGTCCGTCACCATCTCCCTGTGGTAAGCCAGAGTCGTCGAAGAGAGCATCGAAAGATTCGATGTGCGGGGTCACGAATTCATTGAGAATCGGGACAGTGGACCCATCCTTTGGCGGATTACGAAACTTCTTCTCCCTCTCGAGTGTCCTGAAGGTACTCCGGTACTTCGTCGTCGATGGCCCGGCGTCAGGCATCGTTTGCGACTCGCTCGCGGTCACAGTAAATTTCCGTCTGCAAAGCTTATAAGAACCTGCTTTAAAGAGCAAAAATAAAGCGCCTACAAACCGTGGGAATTCCGCCAGGAGGCCCGGTCATTGCCTTGGACGACGACGGCGGCGTCGACGCGCTCCTTGACCACGAACCACGACCTTACACGACCGTTAACGAGCTCTGATGTTTGGCGGGGGCAATTTCACGTCGTCTTGGGCGAATCCCCAGCAAAACCAGCAGCAGCAGCAGCCACAACAGGGGACTTCTGCTTTTGGTCAACCGAGTGCGTTTGGCGGTACTGGTACCAGTGAGTGTCTTGTGTCTCTTGTTTCTGTAAACGCTTATGTTATCTCACGCAGCGTTCGGATCGGGAAGCACTTTTGGTCAACCACCACAACAGCAGCCGCAGGCAAATCCGATGTTTGGTAACTTGGGTGCCCCGAGCAATAATGGCACTGGAGCCTCGACCTTTGGTGCGTCTGTACGTCTTTTTGACCTGGTGGTTTAAACTAACGCAGGTACAGGCACCTTTGGTTCCAACCCGTCCAGCACGACTGGTAGCCTTTTCGCACCTAAACCAGCCACAGGCGCGTTTGGAACGTTCTCTGGGGGTGGCACCTCCACGTTCGGGGGCGGAAGCACATTCGGATCAAGTACGACCGCTCCCAGCACTCAACCGACAACAAGTATCTTTGGAGCGCCGAGTACGAGCACGAATACGGGCACAGGGACCGCGTTTGGGAGTACGGGTGGTCTATTCGGGACTAAACCCGCGACGGCGTTCGGTGCCGGAACTTGTGAGTCCGCGTTTTGAGTCATTCAGGCTTCAACTTATCTCATACAGTGGGCTCGACTACGAGCACCGATGGCGTTGCCCCAGTCACGACCGGGACGGTTAATCCGCCGTACAGCGTCTACACGGAGAAGGATGGTACCCAGACGAACCAGTTCCAGGCCATCTCGTGTATGCCTGCCTATCGAGGAACTTCCTTTGAAGTGCGTGATCATCCTATTACTCCCCTTTTCGTCGCTGAATCACGTCTTACTAGGAATTGCGCGTCCAAGACTACCTTCAAGGCCGAAAAACAGCTAGCACGGGGGCATTCGGGCAGCCCACGACGTTTGGCGCGCCGCAGCCCTCCGCAACAGGAGGCGGGCTCTTCGGAGCCACGCAACCAACGTCCACGCTAGGCGCTCCAGCTCCTGCCGGAGGAAGCTTGTTCGGTGGTACGACGAACGCGGGTACTACGGGTTCAGGGCTTTTTGGTTCTTTCGGTCAGCCCCAGCAGCAACAGCAGCCAGCTGCGACGGGATCGGGTCTGTTTGGGAATACGGGAGGTAGTCTGTTCGGTGCACCTCAGCAGAATCAGCCGGCTGCTACTACTGGCGGTGGACTGTTCAGCGGATTGGGTGGTCAACAGCAGCAGCAGAATAAGCCAACCTTCGGCACCTTTGGGGGCACTGGAACCACATTCGGTTCCACCTTTGGACAGCCGAGTCAGCAGCAGCCACAGCAACCACAGCAACCAGCAACTGGCGGGGGCTTGTTTGGCAATGCAGGAGGTAGTTTGTTTGGTGGTAGGTGCTCTCTGACCCATTGTTCTATGCACTTATTCCCTTGTATTTCCAGGTCAAAACAATGCCCCAAAGCCTGGAGGACTGTTTGGGTCGACCACAACGCAGCCAACGCAGCCATCTACAACCTTCGGCGGTGGATTGTTCGGGAACACCCAACAACAACAACAGCAGCAGCAGCAGCAGCAGCAGCAACCGCAACTACAGCAGCAGCCCGGCGGGGGACTGTTTGGCGGCAGTCTCTTTGGACAAAATAATCAGCAGCAACCACAGCAGCAGCCCCAACAACAACAATCCGGAGGCCGTGAGTTGCATTTTTATCATTGTGGTCATGGTGTATTTCTCAACGCGTCTCTAGTATTTGGGAATCTGCAACCCCAACAGCAGCAGCAACAGCAACAGCAGCCTGGCGGTGGTTTGTTCGGCAATACAGGTACCGGCGGCGGTGGTCTATTCGGTAATACCCAAAGCAATCAGCAACAACAACAGCAGCAGCAACAGCAACAATCGCAACAGCAGCAGCAGCCTGGTGGTGGACTCTTTGGCGGCAGTCTGTTCGGCCCCAAGCCTGCTACCACGACTGCGGGCACAGGTGGCGGTTTGTTCGGTAACTTCGGCCAGCAAAATACTGGTGGTACCGCCGGTCAGACAAATCCCTTGTTCGGTAACACTCAGAACAATACCAACCAGCAGCCCGGTGCTGGCGGCGGGTTGTTCGGGGGTGGGGGAGGCTTATTTGGGAACAAGCCAACGGCTCCTACTCTCGGTGCATCCACCATGCAACAGCCTGGCGCTCTCGGGGGCTCCCTATTCGGTAACATGTCGACCAACAACAACATGAATGCTTCCACCGCTGCTCCTGGTGCCCCTGGCTCCCTTACCGCATCTGTGGCCCAGCCTGTCAGCGCCCATCTCCCGATTTTCAACTTATTGCCGCCTGGACCGCGTTCCTTCTACCTAGACGAGCCCAAGAAGAAGGTGAACCTGTTCGAGCTGCCTCATCATCGATACACGGGGCCGGATTTGCGGCTTAACCGCCGATCTACGGGTGGCGCGCAGAAGCTCCGCGGGTTCCAATCCACACTGGGCCGCTCGGAGTTCGGCAAGTCGGGTGCCATTGACTTGAACAAGGCCGCGCAGTCAGTCGGTCCTGACGCGCTGCTGAACAACGGCCCGGCATCTGTACTGGGCAGCAGTGGGCGGCAGAGCGTGAAGAAGCTGGTGCTGAACAGGAGGGTCGACCCGTCGGAGTTTTTCAACAAGACGATCACGCCCGGGAAAGGGTTCCTTGGAAGCCCGAATAAGGTCACATTCAGCCCGCAGCTTACTATTGCGATGAGGGAGCAGGAGCACAGCGAAGCTGCTAGCTCGCCGCGCCGGCCCGGCTCGCCTGTCCGGAATGCTCGTTCGTCACCGGACAAGCACGACGAGCCCGAGCTGCAAGAGGGAGACTACTACACAAAGCCACCGCTCCAGGAACTCAGGAGTCTCAGCTACGAGGAGCTGGTGAGCTTCGAGGGACTCGTTGTCGGGCGGAAGGGCTACGGCGAGATCCAGTTCTTGGAGAAGGTCGACCTTACGGGCTTGCCGAAGCTCAAGTGCCTCCTGGGCGACGTCATCCGCTTCGAGGACAAGGAGTGTACGGTGTACCCGGACCATCCGAAGATCGACAAGCCGCCGCCCGGCCAGGGCCTGAACGTGAAAGCGCGGATCGAGCTCGTCAAGTGCTGGGCGGTGGACAAGGCGAATAGGGAGCCCATCAAGGACCCGGAGCATCCCGCTGCCGTCAAGCATCTCAAGCGGCTGCAGAAGATGAAGGGCACACATTTCGAAAAGTTCGATATGGAGGACGGGAGATGGGTCTTCACGGTGGACAGCTTCTGATTGATCATGAGGGTGTCACTCTTTCTTGGTTGTTTTCCTCAGTATCGCTTGTAAAGTAGTAGTAGCATAGTACTAGTTACACTTGCATGTATTTCAGTCCTTGCATTCATGTTCTGACAATATATGATCATTCATGGTTGAACTTCATGGAGTGAACGGGCGATCTCATTGCAGATTCTAGGCGCCCTCAGCGGACTACATTGCTGGACGCACCTATATTAGCTGCTACAGGGGCTACTCTGGATCGTCGCCCATATTCCTGCCAAGAATAGTGCTAAGTTTAAACAGTGCTGGCCCAATCAAAACTTAGCACGACGTGAGATACCACAATCGCGGAACCTTCAAGAACTCAGTCTTACAGGCATTGGCGAGAACGGAGTTTCAGGGTCCACTCCGTCATAGGGCCGGAGAATTAACCTGAGAGGATTCCATAGCGACGGTGTCGTCGGATACACGCCAGTGATATAGCAGAGTTAGGTTCCAGTAAACTTATGCTGTCCCTGGGAGTCTGGTAGCACGGCTCATAGAAACGAGTGCTTTTGAGGGTTACTGACCAGTCTTATGACTTTACCGTTGAATCCAAGATGGTTCCTCCAATCGAATGAAGCCTCCTGATTTGAGGGCCATACCGAGACTTTACGGGTGGTATCTTTGCCGGTATAGGCTCGTAGAAGCTGCAATCCCGTTCCCGGCCTATTAAAGAGCACGAGCTAGATCGAAGGTCCTACGAGGGAGTACTAACCGGCCGTCGAGTTCTTGCTCAGACTTCGCAAGGTAGGTCCGGAGATGGGGGGGAAGACCCACCTGTATGCATCTCGTCCTTGGGTGGACATGCCTCTTCATCGAGGTTCACACGTGTGACCCTCGGCATTCATCCGAGGGTACTTGAGTAACGACGCGTCTGTCATCGGCTTGGACCCCTAGGCTCATGCTGTAGAACCAGGGAAGTGTCAGCAGGTCCTAGAGAAAGATCTACTGAGGCTAGTCAGTATGCAGGTGGGTGGAAATGACTCATGATATTGGCTGAAACTGGTATCATACTTACTTCTGACAAACCGTTTGTCGCGGAGATTGGGAGGATTCGAGACTTGCACAGTCATCCACATAAAATAACGCGATCCGGAGGGGTCGTATCGCGATCATTAGATGCTAATCTACAGCCTTCTCTCGGGATCTGCTGCCAACATGCATGCCTCGACAGCCAGTTGCCCTATTTATCAGGCAGAAATGGGCGGAATCGGATCACCTGCAGTAGGTTGTCCCCTGCTGAATAAGGACCGCAAGATCGGACGAGTGAAACATACGGCATTCTGAGGACTGCGAGCGGGTTATACGAGACAACGAGCACAATCATACATAGCATGAAAGAAAGAAATGAAACGTATTGTGCAGGGGGGAGGAGAACGGCCGAGAGGAACGAGTGGGTCCGCAACAACGGGCAGGCCGGAACCCATTCTGAGGCTTCCAAGTCCACAAGTGCCGGGAAGCATGCCAAAAGCGGCGCAGTGCCGACGTGCCGGTCTCCGCGCGCAATAGGCCTTTCCGGCCCTGCAAAGCATGCGTCATGCTTGATGATCGCTCTGTTCCCCGCCGGCGACCGAGGTTTTTAGGCACCATTCCTGTCGTTGTTCCTTCCTGTTGCTGCCCGTCTCAGGCCACCCTCCTTGTCTTCTGCCCTTGCCTTTTGTTCGTCGCGGTCAAGCAGTCGCGCGACGCCGCAACTTTCCGGAATATAGCGCGTCGAAGGAGTCCACTCGTACGAGTGACTGAATAGCCGAACCTTTCGGTGTATAAGAGTTTCGTCGGAAGTGAGAGGTCGTTACGAGCAGCAATGCCGCGACCATACGCTAGGTGCGTATCGTATGAGATGTTATATATTCCCTAGCCCTGACGCGCTGTCTGCCAACCGTATGTCTCAGAACCGCATCCCTCGTTGTTTCGTTACTTGGTGCTGTAGGCAACGCAGCCATTGCACTGCAGCTGCTGTCATTATGGCGGACGTTCAAGTGGGAGTTTGAGAGCGACTGGGAGACGGAGGGGTCACCGACGTCGTGGTTGTGGGGTATCCAAGGAGTGAAGCTTGCGTGGGGCTTGCTCTCAGTATACTTCGCATTTTCAGCCATCGCCAGCATAGTCGGGTTTGCTGGCATTCTCAAAGTGAGATTCTTATTCTTGTTCGTGTGCGTGGCAACCGAGTCCTCATTGCTCTCTGCGCAGCACCGACTGTCGTTCGTGCGGTTCTACCGCGACTACTCGATAGCAGACTTTGCGTTCTCCACCTTCCTCACCCTGTTCGCGACGTACGAGTCGTTCCGCAACTCTGTGCGCGCGGGGGTGTGCGAAGAGCTGTCACGGCAGCCCGAGTGGCTGCGCGACATGGCGGACATGGGGCTGAACCTCGAGAACTGCGAGCTGTGGTTCGAGCGCGCGTCCATCGCGCTCATAGGCGTTATGGGCATTGTGCTCATTGTCCGAGTAAGTTGACGGGCTGTATCGTCGAGGGAACACGTAATTAATTTGGTTGCCTTGCAGCTGCACTTCCTGGTGGCGGTTCTGACATATTACTGCTCACTATCAAGACATCAGCAGGCCTTGCCGATATACACGTCAATGCGCCCCATCTCGCACACGCCCTCGGCGCAGCGTGTGTACCTGCTGCCCAGCCCGACCGAGGAGACGTTCCCTGTGTCTCATCACACGACCTCGGACGCGATGCGAGAAAACAATGACACCGAGTACCTCGTATATGCGCCCGTACCGCTGTCGATTCTCTCGGAGGCGCAGGCGCGTGACCTGAACGCCACGGAGGCGTGGTTGTCTCGTGCCCCCGAGGCCACCGGCACTGCGTCGAAATCAAGACACTCGCACTCGCACTCGAGGAGCCATCGACATAAGTCCAGCGGCCGGATTAGCCTGGCCGTGATCCCCGACGAGGGCCTGTTGCCTTCGTACGAGGAGTCGCGTATTAGGGAGGTGAAGGCCTGAGCGCCGCAGCTGCGTCTGCTCGAGTGTATTTATTCCGCATTGTCTTCCTTTCCGTCTCACCACCCCATCCAGTCCCAGCAATTCCGGCGTTCGGAGTTCATCCCCTCCTTTGCAATTGTTCCCATATCTCTCGGTCTGTCCGTCTCTCCACTTCTCCACATCATTGTGCATCGTGATCATCCCATTCGGCCGCGATCCCGTGTAACTATCTTGGTGGCCTGATGGTCTCTTCCTACTCTGGTATGATAGAGCGGCCCTTTTTTCTTGATGATGTCTTGTGCTCATGAGAGTTTGTTGTACAATTAAGATACGTAGAGTACGCGTAGGATATTCGGCTTCACACTGCAATTTGTATTTGTGGTGTCATGAATATCTCGGGGAGGTCCCACAGAACTGCCTGGGCTCGAGCGCTTCGATCGACTGTCAGTAGAGGTAATGAGGCTGGATACAATTGCAAGACATTCTTGCACCCTTCTCCGCACATGAAATATAGACGTTGGTGTCGTACAACATCCTCTAAGCACTCAACACTTTGGTCTGATTTAGCGGTGGGATCCAGGCCTTGAAGGGAAAACAGTCCCGTGTATCCTGTCTCCGTGTTTTCCCTTCAAGTTTCCCCTTTCCGTGGGTGATGGACGTCAGCGCGGACCAGGCCTGCAGATTCGCAGTCTCGGTCGCGATCTCTACAAATTTACGCCTCGCTCGTCGGCCTCGTTGAGGCTGGCGCAGACACTTATAGCCATCCTACGCTGGCGCGCCCTTCTTTTCTTCGTACCACGACGACCTCGGCGAGCGGCTTCGTCAAGTGACTTCATTATTCCTGGTGCTGTACAGTAGCACCGAAGCCTATCTTCAGAGTCGACCACCATGGCCCGCCGTCCGCGCTCACCCTCGCCAGAGCCGACGAACGGCGAGTCCTCTGCCTCCCTCGTCAAGCGCCTCAAGGCCTCCCACAGGGCCGACTGCTCGCAGCCGACGAACCCCCAGTCGTTCCCCGTGCTCGCCGACCCGACCCCGCACTTCCATAACGGCCTATTAGAGGACGAGAGCGTCCAGCGGCTGCGCGCGAGCTACCAGACGAGCGAGCCGTACAAGTATGTCGTCGTCGAGAAGCTCTTCCAGGACGAGCTGTTGAAGAACGTCAAGGACGAGATCCTCAGCGAGCTCAGCTTCACGGAGAAAGAGACCGACATATATAAGGTGCTGTCAGCCTGCTATTTTGACGTTCTATCCATCAGCCGTGGTTCTCTTCTTCGCGAACGGCGCGTCTGACTGTCTTCGGTATGTTGCACAGGTGCACCAGACCGGGGACCTGGCGTCACTCTCGTTCCTCTCCCCAGAGCAGATCGCCCTGCTCCCCTCCCTCCTCACCCTCCGCGATGCCCTCTACTCCCAAACCTTCCGCAAGTTCCTGCAGTCCGTGACCGGCTGCGGGGCGCTCTCCGGCATCAAACAAGACATGTCTGTAAATACCTACAAAAAGGGCTGCCATCTGCTCAACCACGACGACGTCATCGGCTCGCGGCGGGTGTCCTATATCCTGTACATGCCCCTCCCCCACTATCAGGGATGGCAGCGTGAGTGGGGCGGCGCGCTCGAGCTGTATGCGACGCAGGACGGCGCGGACGGGAACCCCGAGCCGAAAAGCGTGCCCGAGAAGGCGATACCCCCGAGTTGGAACCAGTTTATATTTTTCGAGGTGCAGCCGGGCAAGAGTTTCCACTCGGTGGAAGAGGTGGTCGTGGGCGAGGGGGAAGAGGACGGACGGCAGAGGTTGAGCATCAGTGGTTGGTTCCATGCTGCGCAGCCGGGCGAAGAGGGCTACGAGCCAGAAGACGCTGAGAATGTTTATAAGAGCTCTCGTGAGCAGTTGGTACGTTAGTTCCCGTATCGTGCATGCGGGATGCGGTATTGATCTTCTCGACTACGTATAGACGTCGACACATAACTTTACATCCTTCAAGTCATACCCAGATCGCTCCTTCCCTGACCGTACCGAACCCCCACTCCCCTCCGACCCTCTCTCCGCCGACCACATCTCCTTCCTCTCCGAATTCCTCAACCCGGTCTACCTCCAGCCGCGCCTCATGAAAGCCCTCGCGGAGCGCTTCGTCGAGGAATCCTCGCTCGAGCTGCATTCCTTCCTCTGCGAGCCGCTCGCCACCAAGCTGCAAACCGGGCTGCGCGAGACCGACCGGCGCGACGGGCTGCTCAACGGCGACGAGCGCGCGGGGCGCGTCCCGCCGCACTGGGCGGGCACCTCGGACAACTCGCGCTGGGGGCTCAAGGGCCCCCCGCACAAGTGGCGCTACTGCACGCTCAAGCCCGCGCAGCAGGGGCGCGCGGAGGCGGTGTCGCCCCGCACGGCGCTGGCGGACCCGGACGAGATCATGCGCAGCCTGCAGGAGGAGCTGTTCCCGAGCGAGGCGTTCCGCGCGTGGCTCGCGTGCATGAGCCGCCTGCTCCCGCTGCGGTATGCGGTCGAGGCGAGGAGGTTTAGGCCTGGGTTGGATTATACACTCGCGACGAGCGAGGATCGGGAGGCGAGGTTGGATGTGGTGCTTGGGTTGACGCCTGATCCGCCGGCGGAGACGCGGACGAATGGGAAGGAGGGCGAGGAGGCGGAGGAGGAAGAGATGATGACCGGTTGGCAGGCGGGCGAGTGGGGAGGTTGGGAGGTAAGTGTTCTTCTTACCATCATCTTTCCGCATGTATTGACGGAGCTGCTCTCCTTAGTGTTACATGGCCCCTCATGACGAAGAGGACGACCCGGCTGTCTATCGGTCGGGCTCGTCCAAAAAGGCAGCCAACGGCAAAGGTGCTACAAACGGCAACGGGACTACGAACGGAAACGGTACAACCAACGGTCATTCGAATGGGACGAACGGGAACGGCAAGGCTCAGACTAACGGCCGCCATCCAAGCGAAGACGAGACCATGGATGACGCTGAGAGCGAGGACGGAGAAGACGACAGTGGCACGCTCCTGACCGTGCAGGCCGGGTTCAACCGTCTGCTGCTGGTGCTGCGCGACGAGCGAGTAATGCATTTCGTGAAGTATGTGTCGGCTGCGGCTGAGGGGTCGAGGTGGGATGTATGCGGCGAGTACGAAGTCGGCATGGTTGAGGAGGAGGAAGAGTAGATTACCCATGGATAGCGTCTCAGCCCAGTATCATAGTAGTAATCCAGCGTGTCTTCTCAGGAGCAGCGTGTAGTTTAGTGATAATGTCATGTATTGTCTCGCCCGCGGATATAAATGCGAGATGCCGCCACTCTCGAACTACGAGTAAAGAAACGACAGGGTCAGAACTTGATTTTCTGACCTTGACTCGGGACAATGGTCGCTGACGCCCTCGGCGCCTGCGCGAGCGCTGCGCCGGGCTTGGCTCTGACCTTCCGGCTAGTGGAATCTCGTCTGGAGTCCTTACCGCTCTTTCTGGGATCTGATTTCTTCTCGCGTTTCTCTTTGGGGGGTGGAGGCTCAGCAGTGTCCTCGTCAGCGCCCTCCGCATCTCCCCCCTCATCGACAGCGTGTTTCGCGTGGTGCCTCTTTGGCAAGGTCTCCTTGATGCGCTCCTTGAACTCTCTACCTTCTTTCGAGTACTTGTCTTTTTTCCCCAGGAGGGCGAGCCCACCTCCCCGCCGGACGGCGTCGGGCGAGGCGTACTCCACCACGATCTTCCGCCCGTCGAGGTGGTGGTTCTTCGGGTTCGTGAGCGCGGCAGTAGCATGCTCCGTCGACGTGAAGTCGACGAAGGCCCATCTGCCAAGAACGTCAGTAAAAGAAACCATAAACGAGGACGGAGGGAAGTCATACCCCTTGCAGTGCCCGCTGTCTTCGAACGTCCCGAGACGGACTTTGCGTATCCAACCGCTCTCTTCGGGCTTGTCCTTTTCCTTGTCGCTACTGCGCGGCCGGTGCGCTTCGAGCATCTCCCGGATCGACTTCTCCGTCGTCTCGAAGGAGAGGTTGCCCAGGAACAGGGTAGGGCCAGGGGGCTGCTTTTGGGAGGAGAGGATTTTCTGTGCGGTGCGGGAGTGGGTGCTCGTTGTCGCGCCCGGGGCCGCGGGGCTCTCGGCGTTGGGACCTGAAGCTGGCGTCGGGCGGCCGGTGAAATCATCACCTGTGGATAGTGGCAGGATGGTTAGAGTAGGTCATCGAATATAGGTACTGGTTGTGCGTACCGTCCTTGATCAGTAACCGTCTACCATCCAGCTCCTGCTCGGAGAGCGTGATAGCAATGACCTTCGCATCTGGCGACGCAAAATCTACATACGCAAACCTAAGAGAATAACAAGTCATTATCGCCGCAGTAGATCCATGTATCCATACATGAACACACCCGCGATTTTCCTTCGTCCCACCAGGCCCCTTCGCCGCCTTCATGGGCATATGTACCCGCGTGATCTCGCCTACATCCTTGAAGAAATCGCGAATAGACTGCGGCGTTGTTCTGTACGAGAGGTTGCCGACCCAGACGGAGTTCTGCCGCTGGGGGATCTCTGGCTTAGAATTCGACTTGTCCCCAGATGTTGATTTCTTCCCGGACGCCTTCGCAGGTTCTTCCGCCGATTTAGATTCCCCTTTTTGTTTCTTCTTCTGCCGTCTCTTCTCTGCATGAGAGAGCACTGGGGTGTCGGAGTCCTCGCCGTTTACCGCATCTTCATGCGCATCATCTACCTCAGAATCGGAGCCGTCTGATCCAGAGCTATCATCATCGGACGCGACGTCTTTGACGGCCGTGGTTCTTTTGCGTTTGCGAGAGATATGTGGGGACGACGGTCTCGAGTCCGAAGAAGACGAGGAGCTCGAGCTTGCTGCGCTGGACATCGTTTGGCTTACAGCAGTCGAGAGGCAAACTTGTTAGAGTGGCTGTCGATCAAGGTCGCGTGGAAAGCACGCGGGAACTCGATCGCCTTGATCGCGAAGTGGCAGTGGCGCTGAGGCTGCTGCCACAAAATTCGACGGAACACTCCATGCATAGCGACCAGCGCGCCAGGGTGCAAGCGATGGGAAATTTTCGAGAAGCAGAATCAATTCGAAGATATAGTCGTCTTATGCAAGACCACCTCAATGGACTGAACTGTATAATATGACCGTATCAGCACCGCATAAGTGCGAGAGAGTCGGTTCAGAACATAATAAGATTAAGCACGTAGCATACTCTCAATAACTTCCTTCGCTTTCAGTGCATTAGCCCTCCCTCGACTAATCTTCATCACCCGACCAACGAGCTTATTTACCACATTCCGGTTCCCTTGTCTCGCCGCTGCGGTTTCTGACGGCAGTGCATCCATAGCCTCCCGGCACCAGCCTTCCAGTTCCGATGTGCCATTGTCCGCGTCCGCGGGAAGAGCGAGCAGCGACATATCGCGCGCAAGTTGTGAGGGCATTTCTTGTGTTCGATGGTCGAGCATGTAGCGGAGAAGGGTCTTCCCCGACGTTCCTATAATAAAGGACATCAATGGCACGTCTATCAGCAAGGAATATTGAGATGTCATACCCGTCAAAAGGCCCTTCTGAACCAAATCAATCAGATCCCCTAATTGGCCGGTAGAGATGGGGTTCTCTTTGAACGTCAAGTTTCTCGCCGTCAACTGTCCCAGCAAATCATGGGTCAACCTGGAGGCACGTCAGACTAGAAGTCCACACACTGATCGTTTGACATACCAATTTACCACCACTTTCGGATCTCTGCCCTTGGCGACCGTGTCAAAGTACGCTACCGCGCCTTCTCCAAGCTGTCCGTCGAAGCCGACTTCCCGACCAGCGTCCACAGACATCAGCACATCCGCATCTCGCGACGTGAGGCCCTGGCAGATGAGCCGCGCTCGCGTCGCGTCGGGAAGCTCGGGCATCGTGGAGCGTATCCGGTCTATGTATGCCTGTGATAAGAGATGAATGGTGTGTACGGATCCGTAACCCGTCGCCCTCACCTGCTCCAGGAGCAATGGCGGTAGATTTGGGTCGGGCATGTACCGATAGTCAGGCGCGTCCTCTTTGCTGCGCAAGGAGAACGTCCGCGCAGCGGCTTCGTCGAACCCGCGCGTCTCCTGCTGCACGGCCTCCCCTTTCTCGAGGAGCTCGATTTGGCGAAAGACTTCGCATGCTGTTCATCGTCATGAATATCGCAGGCACCCGGATGGGGAAGACAGATATACGTATACATACCGATTGCGACCTGCATGAATTTCACGCTGTTGAGGTTCTTGATCTCGCAGCGCGTCCCCAGGGGCTCGCCTGGTTTGTTGACCGAGACGTTCACGTCGCAGCGAAGGGAGCCCTGCGTGAGTACATCTTAGTCGCACGACGCCGAGCGCACAGTCAACCCACAGAACCTTACCTGCTCCATGTTTCCGTCGCTCGATCCGACGGAACGCAGGAGTGCCTGCAGCGTCCGCAAGTACGTCCCAGCTTCCTCGGGAGAGCTGATGCAATAGCATGATACATATAAGGTACTTCGCGTAGATTAAGCGGTTACGCGCACCGCATATCTGGCTCGGAGACGATTTCCATGAGTCCTGTACCCGCCCTGTTAAGGTCAATCAACGATACTCGTCTTCTAGCATCATACGTTGATTTTCCAGTGTCCTAGCTCGGAGAGGTCACTACAGAGCTCCGTGCCACTTACACGACAGCTTACCTGTTCTATCTGTATCTGTTTTATGCGGACAGAACGACCTGCCGCTAGATCGAGATGGCCGCCTGTCGCAATAGGCGCTATATCTCTGGCATGAGAGCTAGACTACGACGGTAAGACAGGCAAGAGCTCACCATAGTGCTGTGTTATCTGATAACCAGCGGGTAGATCGGCATAGAAGTAATGCTTTCTATCGAAAGCAGAACGTCGCTGTATCTCGGAATGCAGCGCTATCGCTGTCCTCAACACAAGGTCAACGGACTTCGGATTTAATCTCTGTAAAAAGGTTAAAGAGTGCGTTCTTCTTAGGACATCCGAGTTTTCATTCTCTCAAGCAACTTACCGGTAATGTCCCAGGGAACGCTGCGTCGTATGCAGACACAGACGTGTTCGGCGGTTCACTAGGATCAGATGTCCAGCTATCTATAATCCGCAACTTAGCAATACCACTTCTGGTCGGAACATACAGCTTACTGGAGAATAACTTCGACCGTGATTTTATTTGCGCGTGTACTTCTAAGCCCACCACCACCTCCCATCCTGGCCACCTACGGTCACCATGGCTACCTGTTACGGTGGAAAAGAGACGGCCAAATTGAAGCCTTCTATGGAGGCAGCTCAAACGCATATGGCTTTATAATTAGCGCCCTCACGTCGCGTTTGGTCCAGCAAGTGCGGGTCTATTTTTACATCAGAAGTACCAGTACAGTACTCACCCTGATTGGTCGAGCTTGTCCGCCTCAAATTGCGGTGGCACTGGCACAAGGAGCTCGGTGCCTACAACTTACGCTTCAGTAAAATATAAGGTCTATTGCACTTAAACCAGTCTAACACAGATGATACAGCCGTTTGCAGTTCGATGGGCCCATTTCTTGAAAATTATTTACAGTCGGACCATGTCGGAGAGGGGAATTCAAGTCCCCAAGGCCCCAACATCAGACCATTTGGACTCCTTTTAATTCCTGGGACGTCCCTGGCACCATGTCCGACAAACTCCGACTTTCTGAAGTGATGGCCTAACGATCTGCAAACGGCTGTAAACCAAGGAAAATTCATATGATATTGTGAGTACAGTACAGTGCTTGTACAATACAGGTAGAACCATGATGCCGAAAATGCGCAGTCGAAAGCGATACTGAGATCGATTCACCCCTCAAAGGAGGTCTGACCGTAACAGAACTAGAAAGGTTCCGGTTCAAGAGAGGTCCCTGTGGAGTTATCAAGGAAAACAAGAGTTAACCAACATGATTGGAAACGCCGACTTTAAGATAAAATATGGCACGGGAGGCCGGAGCGGGTCTATTAGGGGTAGCCAAGCAGAAGAGAATACTTCGCCTCCACACAAGAATGCAGGGACAGAGGTTACCGAGGTCGCTATACAGCCGTTGGATTTGTTGCTACAGCCACATTTTCGCCGAAGGGCAGCTGCGGTGATTTGATGTCCGCGGGATCCTTGATGGAAAGACCAGGGGGTGTTATCGTAGGAACATGCGACGTCGTCATCCCGGATGCAGAAAGACCATTTTCAGCCGGCTTGACCAGTCCTGGTACTGCCACAGCTGCAGCGGTATTCTCAGAAGTGAAGGATGACCTGTGGAGAAAGTTCATTGGACATGCAATCGGGGTTCAAGCGGACGTGGACAAAGTTGAACCAACCGGCGCTTCTTGCTCTTGGGCATATCTGGGGACGTTCCATGGGATTTACCGGAAGTCTTCGTTCACAGAAAAGCGATCAGGAGGCTTCAAGTTCGTTGAGAGTCAGTAAGTTGTTACACACCTTTGTCGGCTTGGGTCGCTTCTGGGCGGAGCGGGGTTGCCGCTCGCCATCATCGAATACGTAATCCGGTAATGCAGAGCTTCGAAGGTTCAGCTATAACTACTAAGCGAAGACCGTCAACTGAGTCAGACCTTTTCAGATGTCGTACGACGATGCCCATCTTCGTCTCGTCGAACTTTTCCCACATTTTGACAAGTTTGACAAATTCTGTGGTGGGATACGATATATCTAGTTTGCGAGGTCCGACGGTGCCAGCTTCGCAGCGATGAAAAGCGTCAGTGACGCTGCAAGGAGCCCGGAACTAACATGTGTTTGGGACGCACGTTGCTTGGGTTCGATGGCCAGTCCAATGTAGAAAGTCGTAGAGTAGACTGTACTGGCACCCTCCTTGCCTTCTATATCTTCTTTCTTGCGCTTCCTGATGGCCTCCGATATCTCACCCTGAGCAACTGCACGTACCTCTTCTTCAGACAGACAGTACGAGACTTGCTCAAATCCTTTGATGAAAGGGTGCGCAAGCGTCAAGGAATCGACGAACTCCAGCTTCATGACTAACTGCCGTAGCCGTGACTCAACTGTACCAGCCCTAGCGCACGCAATGTATGTTAAACCTAGTCATCCAGGTTGAATAGAAAATACCATTTGATCTGCAAGTCCTGGCTCGCGGTGGATGCGATCACCTGCAAGTAATACCGGTATTTATGGAAAAAGTCGTGTTTGGCGAACAGTTCTGACCAACTCGCACTGCCGACGATCACTTTGTCGACAATGTCGGCACCTACCGGGACGTCAGTCTGAATCACCCAAGTTCAGATGAAGTCGCCCGAACCTTTCTTGAACTCCTCTGTTATGATCATCTGCGTCGAAGCAGTGACGTTGTGCGTCGCGCACATTGAGGGGTAGGCGGGAGTGATGATGGGCATTCGATGTGATCGGTCGGCAGGATATAACTACGAAGGGTTCAGTAAAGTGGTGGTGAGACACAATGTGAGGCGCGTGCCTTGGGATTCCACACTCGGACATTCAACGGTCCGTCTTCAATTTGCTTCAGGAGAACAGGTTGTGGCCATGACCTGGGTCTCATGAGCAACAACTTTCCAAAGCTCAAAAACACTGGCACTCACCATTGGTACATAATGATGAAAAATCGGCTGACGATGGCACCCGCGATTGCGTTCGGGTATAATTGACATATGCGAGCGACCAGCATAGCCCACGCGACACCACCGAGGAAGCCATTTACGTTCGAATAGATAGCTCTTCCTGGAAGTCGTATATTTTAAGTTACTGAAGAGGTCAAGATGAGGTATGAGGGAACGCACGTTGAGCCCACAGCTTGATACACCGCAGCGAATCTCGGAAGACAGCCACATTCGGGACCAGGCGCAAGATCTCGTCCGTCACTCTCGACCCGTTCAAACTTCGAATGCACCGCTCGTCCAAATTCCGCAGGAGTTGGTCGTCCGCTAACGAGAGGTCGTCCGGTATCGACGACAGCGCGAGGCGCGCCATCAGCAGATCGATCGGAATGCCCGAAATCTTTATCTTAATGATGGGCACGAACGCCTCCGGTACGCCCTGTAAAACGGTAACAGTACAACCCGTCGGCTGCACGAACGAAGCAAGAGGGCGACGACAGCGCACGCACGGAGACCTCTGTGACCCCCTCCGTCTCTCGTAGCATTTTCTCGAAGACATCAAAAAAGTCTTCGCGGGATACATGTTTCGGTACAACGCATAAGGTATCGATATCGCTACCGGGCCCGTGCACGCCCAATCGGTACGACCCAAAGGTGAATATCTTGCCGCCCGCCGCCTCCGCGGCGGCTTCCGACAGCCCGCGGTCCAGCGATACGTGCTTGACGAACTTGCGCACCAGCGCGGCCAGGCGGCCCAGCACAATTTCCCTGTTAGCCGCGCGGGGCGCGATACAAGGTTAGGCACCGTTCCGAACAGACACCGTAGCACCGAGTGAAAACGCGCGGTCTCGTATTGGCTGGAGATACCCCAAAGAAAGCAGCGCAGGCTGTTGCAGCGTGGACTCGGCGAGAGAATGCCCGCCAGGTCGCATCCGATAACCAGTAGGCTGTCATCTTTCCGCAGAGCAGCGAATCCGGGACAGCGTCAACGCACAACCGCTACTCACCTAAGCCGTGCCTCCTCTTCGCTTTCAAACGTTCCTTGTCGTCTTAGCTCTTCCATTAGCGTTACCGTCACCTCCTTTTCTCTCTCACTAGATGGGGCGGTAGAAATCGGGGGAGTAACTCCCAAGTATCTGAAGCCGTGACAGTCAGCAGCAGTCGGTGCACTCTTCGCCATCGTATAGGCCTACCCATTTGTTGTTGACATATTCCGCGGTGACAGTGAGGTTGCAGGGAAAGCGGAGAAGGATCGAAGACACAAGCCACTTGGACTGTGTAAGCCTTATGGTCGGCTTCAAATGGTAACGGCGTTTGCCGACAAGCCGGGTGAGACTATACACTTGATTGCGACCAGATTTGGCTGGTGAAGTAATGCAGCAGCATTTGGCCTTAACGAGCATGACACTCAAGGTAGTGCGCATGCTTCGTACCTAGTAGAACAATAGGTATACGGTATTACAACTACAAATTACACCATAGTAGTACTGTTCAAAAGTCTAAGGGATATATGGATAAGTGTAGAACCACAGACGCAGTCCACAACAGAAGAGTCTAAGGCAGGCAGGAATACCGGAACAGGATACAAAGTCCTCAAAAAAGGACAGGAATTGCCAAGCGAGAGAGAGCTTGCCATATATATACGCACGAATCCAGAAATCCAGCATGGGCATATCGTCCCATCTACAACCATTCCTTGTTGTGCATATACTCCGACCGCCTGAACCTCGATCGAGGAGCGGACCGAGCGACGGCCCACCTGCGTATGAAGAACGCAGCAACGCCGATGAGAGCAACACCAGCGATGATCCCGATAGCCAGGCCAGCCGTACGGCCCGCAGACGAGCCGTGGTGCGACGACGACGACGAAGACGGCTCCGGAACGCTGACCGGGATAGCAGTAGAGCTGGGATCGGGGTTGCCTCCGAATGGCCAGTAATCGCCACCCTGCGGTGGCATCACACACGTCAGGGAGTCCCCATCCGGTACTGAAGTGAAGTCGAACTGGGTCGTAGACGACTGCACGCTGTTGAAATCAATCACAAACGGTTGCGGGTTGGGAGTCTGGTCTGTAGAGCTGCAGTTCGGTCCCCGCGAGCCGATGAAGGACGTGTTTCCAACAAGGACGTTTTGCTCAACGGTGAAGTTGCGGGCCGAGGTCATGGCAATACCGTAGCCAAAAGCACCAGTGAGCTGATTGTTGATCACTATTCCGGACGTGCTGACGTTGCTCTTGTAACGGTCACCAAACCAAGTGCGCGGGCCGATGGCGATACCAATTCTGAAGCAAGTCGTATTAGATACAGGGCCAACGCCAGGGTGAAGAAAAGACCTCACTTGATAATAACATCTTCGGAATTGGTCCCTTTCTGGTCATTATCTTCGTCGGTGGTATCGGTCGCAAAACCACCTGCAATAGTGTTATTCGTAACAACAACGCCGGTGTAATCGCCCTGCCATGGGTCGTAATCAACCATGTTGATGCCTCCCAATAGTGTTTGCTGTTTCGGAAGGTCATTAGTACTGCTGATTGTTACAGCCACGAGGAATGACCGACATTGTGCACCCAGATGGTGTTATTCTCAACCCGGGTACCAGGCGCGCCGAACAAAACGATACCGCCGTCGGTCGGGTTGTCAATCAGATTGTTGAGGACGAAACTATTCGCACAAGCCATACTGATACCGTCGGCCCACTGCTGGAAACTGTCCGAGCCGCACGGACCAATGTCGTTGTTCCGGACGGTCACGTTGTTGCACTGCAGCCCGCCCTCCTGGACGTGCAGGCACGACCAACTGCGAGGGTCGTAGCTCTTGACGTATTCGATCAGCTGGCCTGAATTCCGTCCACCCATTTCGATATTGGCTCCTCCACCCGTCGGGGGAGCACCAAGCCGCGTGCCATTTATCTATCATGAGTCGTAAGATACAGTCATGGATGCCGACGACTGATATTTCTTACCTGGATATTCCGTAACTTCACACCACTGCAGTTATTACATGTGCCGTCGACAGCCGTCGTGTGGCCTGTGCCGTTGAACACCGGTCCGTCGACAACAAGAGTAGCGCGGTCGCTCCCGGTCGGATATCCCTGCGTGCTGATCTCCTGGTTGGGTGCCGCGAACAATATAGGCGCAGTGATAATATATTGCTTTCCGGGGCAGAGCGATAAGACATATCCCGACCCAGAAGAGTTGAGAGCGATGTTCATCCGGTCCGTAACAGTGTTTGCAGGATCAGGGTCGATACAGCTAGAATCGTCTCGGGCTTGAAGGGGTTCTCGTCTACCAACACAGGTCAGCCATCCGATGCTTCGTGCCCAAATGGGAAGACCGCTTACCTCTCGAACATGGTATCCTCCGGTGCGGGGTGTCTCCTATGGATGCCTGATTCCTCAGACAGATGCGACGAGGCCACAGACGTTGCCGCAGATAGAAGAAGAGTTGCTAGGGTGTACGTTAAACGAGAGTGCATGGCGCCCAAACTGCTTTTTGCGGCGCGCTAGTTTGTCGGGTATGTCGGAACAATAGGTTGTGGAACGAAGAAAGAAATAGAAAAGTAGGCTGTAAGACGTCCACCGGCGACGTCGAGCGGGAAAAAGGAGACGCTCGAAGGGGTGGAAGGACAACCTGGAAGCGCCGCCTTCGAGCTGGCTGACGGGTTTAAAGGCAAAGGTGAGATGACGGGTTTTGCCTTATTTGTCAAATGTCAAGATTCGCACCCCGCCGTTATCACAGTCTGCTTGCGGCCTGTGCGAGTCCTGAGTCCTCTGCAGTACGCTGGCCGTCGTCTTCGTCGTTCAGAGTCTCTGCGTCGCTGAAGCTGCTGCAAGGGAGCGGCGAGACGGGTTTCGCTGGCTTGTCAGGCCCGTTATATGGGGCTAATGGTGACGTTTTGCCATATAAGCCTAGCGTCAGTCAGACACGGTCTGTGTTCCCCTACTCAATGCCGAACCGAAAATACCGCGTTCTAAAAACTCTGGGCACCTCGAGTTTTGATTATCGCTGGAACTTGCCTGCCCTTGGCTGGATATCGCCCTTTCAATCGTATGCATAGCCCAACTTTCTGCCGTTTGCTCGGCAGACATGTCGGAAAGGCGAGAACAGCGGATATCCGAGCTCAATCACCGCGAATGCGACGGTACAACAGGCTTGTAGTCCATGACTAGGAGCAAGTGAGGCAGCAAGTTCTCTTCAGCCCTTCTGCCGACTGAGGCGTTTACAGATTATGGACTTCGTAATCCGAATTCCCTTATCCGAGCAGAGTGGCTGATTTCTTTCTTGTGGCTTCGTATTGCTCCACGCCACCATTTTGTCAGAGGACTTCCGCCGGGGCAGCGTGCAAGCCTGCGTTCTCTCTACTGCTGTGCCGAGATTACATGTTTCCCGGAGCCGTCTCTGAACGGGGCGTCCTACTGATATGTATAGGAACACTGCCCGCTGCCAAAGGGATCCCCTTTCCAGTCATTTAATGCCCGCACTGTGGCCGATATTCCCCTGGCCATTGCCTATGACCTCCAAATGGCTGCACCGACTTATATTCGATCCTCTCCCGTCCCAGTCCCGTCTGCTTTTCGTGTCGGTGGTCATCGCGCATACATCAGACTATGCTGTACTCATACGAAACCCAATGCAGCTCCTGAGTGCTTTGGGCTCACGAAGTCCCCGCGCTTTGTTATTACTGTACGAATCCACAAAGGACAGAATTCCTAGGCCTAGCGCTCAGCATTCCCTGCATTCAGCATTAGTAATGCTCTCCCTATACTTGATTTATAGTATAGTACTATATAGTACCTGCAACGTGTGCACAGTGCTGGAAGGTCGCACCGCCGCGTACAAGTCAACGTGAGCTCGGCTGTCTTCTGTTGTCCTTGGATCCATGACTTCAGGAACCTCCGAGAACTTCAGTTCCGTATAGCTGATATATGTAGGTACTGGCATTCTGATTCCCCAGATTCTGACGTCGCGTTCGACCGCCGCATTCGTGCAAGGCATCTATTAAGCATACGGCACCATCGATTCCTCGCTCTAAATAACAGACCAGTGCCTGCAGTGTCCTGCTTCTCCGTTACACGAACCACGCGTTACCGAATGTAACGTTGTAGGTCCGTATTTACTCTCATATATACGCGCCCATCAGCATCGATGCCTCGCATGTCCGCCGCCTCGCGCGAGCCGCTCAGGTCAGACTCCGTCTCTACTACTCCTACTCAAAGTCTTCGCAAAGCGCGGCAACACTGACTAACATGCTCACAACAAGGCCCCACTCAGGTGACCAGACCCTACCCCCGCTCGCCTTGCTCCGGTCCAAAGACATCGAGAAGCAGGTGTTCACCCATCGCAGCCTCCACGGCCGCCCGGGGCACCTCTTCGAGGACCCGCCCGACGATCCCGCACCAGATAACGAGAAGTACCTAGCAGGCCAAGCAGCAGGTACCAGCCGATGGCTGATCCCGATCTTTTCTTCAGGTTGGAGCACCAGGGAGACTCGGTGCTCTTGCTCGTCGTCACGGACCTGCTGCGCGAGGAGTATCCGTACCTCAGAGTAGGGCCCTCCACGGTAAGCCGCCTCATCACGGGCATTCTCATCCGTTCTCCTACTACAAGTGTCAGAAAATCCGCTCGCTGGTGGTGAACAACTCGACGTTGGCCGCAATGTAGGTGGCGAACACGAACGGTGGGTGCGCCATCGCTTACCGTGCCTCTGTTATAGCTCGCGGCAGTACAGGCTCTCCGAGAGACTGCGCCAGCACGTCTCGCAATCCGTTGCTCTCCGCGCATCTACGAACGTGCAAGGTTCGTGAGTCCGCGGTAATCTACGGATGCGCTGAACCGACCGACACACCGATGACAGCTGATCTGTTCGAGGTGAGCTATACCTTTCAGATGTCAATTATTCGTCAGGAGTGCACCCATCCCCTAGGCATATGTAGGGGGACTGTACATCGACCAGGGCCTGGACGCAGTCAAGGCCTGGCTGTACCCTCTCTTCCGGCCGTACATCCACGAAGCGTACCGCATAGTAAAGGAACAACATACCGCGACGGGGCGCTTCACAGAGCCTGAACCAGAGCCCGAACCCGAACAACAAGCAGCCGAACAGGAGCCTGAAAACTCAGAAGACCACGATGGGGACACACCACCTGTGAACACTCCCCGCGATGCATCATCCACCACACCTACCCCGGAGCTGGGCATTGCCTCCCCCACCGTCGGGCACCTCTCGCTCTTCAACCAGCACGTCTCGCGGCAGGGCAAAGTCGTCGAGTGGGTGTACGACGCCTCGGGCTCGCGCGCAACGCCGATATGGACCGCGAAGGCGCTCGTGAACGGCGACTGTCTCGGCTCCGGAAGGGGCCGCACGAAGCAGCTCGCGAAGGACGCCGCGGCGCGCGAGGGGCTCGCCAAGATCGGCGTGCACGTCCCGTACGTGTTCCCTGGTATGTGAGCTCTGCTGCTGCTTCTTGCCAGGAGTTCATAGGTGCTGACGATGCTGCGCGAAGCGGGGCTCAGGAAGTTGCTGGCGATGAGGCCGACGTTCCGCGAGTTCAGACGGTTGCTTAGGATAGGGAAATGAACTGGATATAGCTATGATACATGGTCTTGCATAACACGTCTAGCGCTGTCTGATTACTGTATGGCGATGCAATGTATTAGAGTACTCGAGCACATACAAGGATCCCATCCCATCTCCCGCAACGGTCTTTCATAGGATTTTTGAGAGCGGATCTCCGACACGGCCCACTCTGTCCACGGGCGGCGCGCCCCACACCAACGTCTTCGTCCGGGGATCCAGAAGGCTGGGGAAGTGATAGTACAGCGCCTTCGCAAGGATGCCTCTCGGCGCATGGGTTGCAGGATGTGCAGGCACGGGCTGTATCGGCCCATCCTCGACAGTCACCACAGGCGGTGCCTCCCGCGCACTCCTCGCCCTCTCCTCCGCGAGCGCCTTCGCCTGCTCGTCGACGTCGTCGAACACGTCCTGGTTGACCGCGCGCAGGGAGTACGCCCACACGCCGACGGCGAAGGCACCGATGAGGACGCCGGTGACGGCGTTCCGCACGCGGTATGGCGCGCGCGCGCGTTTGAGCCCTGGCGACATGCCCTGGAGACAGACAGGCGCGTTCGGAAGTGCATCAAGGACCGACTAGAGTGCTGGAGCTCTCACATAGCCTTTCGGACGGTAAGAGCGTTCGGCCTCTCTCCTGTTGATGTACGGGTCCGCCATGGCAGTCAAAAGACAAGAAGATTTCGGCGAACACCGGAGCTGCACATAATGAAATCACATAGCGTCCTGGCTTCGCAGCGGTATATACTAATACTATAGCGTCCATATCCTCAGTAGAGTGCGCTATCAATCCTGTCTGACGAAGTCCAACTCTGACGCAGGTAGAGCGAACTTGAAGGCAGCTTAGATTGGGATACAGGACACAACAAAGAGGTTCGTAGTGTCAGTCATACGGATGCAGATCCTTGTATGCAGACTCGAATGGAGCAGCTCTCCCGGACATTCAAAGCTTCACGACCTAGGCGGAGATTGGCAGCGGACACCCAAAAGGGATGTGGACATCAGACAAGGCTTATGCAGATGTGATGAATTGACGCTCTATAGACTCTACGTCTACTCTGTCTTCTTGCCCTATTGTTACAGAAGTGTCCTTAGCTCGTATACATGAATAAGATGCCCCGCGACGTACCTTGATCAACGAGTAGGCACCGTAAACAACCCCGCACATGCCCACAGTGAACAGCGAGTAGTACGAGGCTATATCCGAGTTAGACTGGTTCCGCGGACACCAATGAACTCGAGACGTACCCATGTAAATGTTCGACCTCGGCAGCCGGTAATAGATGGGCTTGTGCGAGCGCTGTCCGATGCATGAGCAGACTATCATGACCGCGAGCACGCTGTGCTCATACCTGCACCATTTTCTGGCGCTCGATGATGTGGTACGGCTCTATCATAGAATTCTAGCTTCAGCAATCATCCTACAGGAAAAACAGCCGCACTCACTGTTCACGACAGCGTTGAGCACCATGATTGCGGATTATTACAGTGTACAGTAGGCTTCGCCACAGGCGTTCAAGGCGGTTTGTGCTGATGAGCGGAGTTTGAACCGCGACTTTCCCGGTGGCCCCCGACGACAATCTCGACCGCCATCATGGCTGAACGCGTCCGCCAACGAGTATGCACGCGTCTTTCCCCTCTGCACCGAGACAGAATACGCATATACGCGAATGAATTCTAGGGCATCAGCATCTACCGGCCGATAATATACGGCAACACCGCAACGGTCTTGACCCAGGAAGAAAGGAACGCGCTGAGCACGCCGGACCACACACACAAATGGACCGTGGCAGTTAGAAGCGCCGCGTCCGCCCCCGATTCTGACATCGTTGGAGGGGCGGACGACCTCAGCTACTTTATCAAGCGCGTCACTTTCAAGCTGCACGAGACGTATCCGAATCCTACGCGGAGTGAGCGGCACGTCAAACTCAGTCTCATTCTTTTATTAACTTGATTTCCTCCGCAAGACGTGGATAAGCCCCCGTTTGAAGTATCTGAGACGGGCTGGGGAGAGTTCGAGATCCAGATCCGAATAACGTTCGTCCCAGAGTCGGGTGAGAAGGCCATCACGTTCTACCACCACCTCAAGCTTCATCCATGGACCGTGGCCGGCGAGCCTGAGATCCCCCCTCTCGAGGAAGCTCTAAAACTGGGGCCAGTTCATTCATGGCAGTACGACGAAATTGTCTTCAACGACCCCTTCCAGTCCTTCCTCCAAACGCTGCTTGCGCATCCTCCTACACCACTCCCCAAGTCAAAGCGGAGACCCGTGCCTTTCCATGTCGCTAATCCAGGTTCATTGGAAGCGTCCAAGGGAGGCGTACCAGAGTTCACCGCTGATATGGAGAAAGAGGAAGGCGAGAGACTGGAGACAGCCAAGCAAGCAGTTATCGCGGAGACCGATAAATGGAGGGGCCTTCTCATCGAGAAAGAGAAGGAGCTCGAGAGGTTGAAAAAACAATTAGAATCATGACATGACTAGTTGTACACTTTTCTACAGGTATACTATGTTGTATCAATATGAGTACATGCTTGGATGAACTATCGATACAATGGTGTCAATGTAGTGGAGAAATAACATAAACCACAGATACACTTCGACAATACGCACTGAGGGATGCTAATGCCATGCTGCCCATCCTTGGTACATCCTCGCCTACGAGCCCAATAAATCAGCTACATATATAGCTGCCATGACCGGGGGGACTCACTAAATTGGTTGGATCAGTGGCTTCTTGGATGACTATCTGGACCAAGCTACTCGTCGACGTCTCTTTCTCGGCCCTCTCGCGACCAGTCGTGTAGATGCCTTTGAGCTTCTTATCAATAGGAGTCAGAGCGACCTTCAACGCAACCGCCCGCATGTCTATCGCTTCCTTGACCGTCTTCTTCTCTCGCTCCTACATAGCATACGTCAGCAGGGCGCTTGGTCAATAACGCGGGTTTAGCTCTGCTCACGAGTTTACGTCTCTGCTCTTCGAAATCGTTCAAGGGATCGTGGATAAAGGCATCCAGCACGCTCATGAGGGTATCTTTGTTGTCCCTGAGAAGTTGCATAGTGATTTCGCAGGCTATGCGGAACACGCCTGAAAGAGCATAGGAGCTCTGTCACTTCGCTATCAGAACTGTTAACAAATCTTGCGTACCTTCAACACCAGTAACCCCGAAGCCGTCCACGACATTCTGAGTGAGCCGGAAAGGCACCTTCTCCGGCACATCAAGCAATTTACCCTGCCCGGAGTCAGGCATCCGAAAGGATATCAGTTATATCAAACGACGTACCCTCTCAAACAAGCAGTTCAAGTCGACGTGAAGAACGTCTCCGGTATTGACATCAAGAAGTATGTTCTCACAATGCCGATCACCAAGACTGAGATGAGAATAAGCAGGTGTTTCTCTCGAGGCGGTTTGTACGAACCCGAGAATGAATCCGACCATCGACATTACTGCTGCGGTCCTACCGTAGGTGGACCTGCTTGCGAGCCATGCTGAAGGCTCGGGGAACGTCTCGATGAACCATTCGTGGAACACAGGTGGATATCTGGAAACTAGTAGTTAATCAAGCGGTAATCGACGATGAAGAAAGGTACTTGTACCTGGGCAAGACGTCCTTCACAAACAACTCAGTTGCTTCATGGTCCTTCAAAGTCCTTATCCTGCTATAGACGTCGGCTAAGTGAGAATCCTGAACAGGGCGTCAGCACGGTTACTTTCGGTACGATAGCTAGAACTAACCCAGGGCCGTATGTTCCTGGCCTCGTATAGCTTATTGAGGACAGGCCTGAGTGGCAGCGTATTGGGCACCCATTGAATGAAACCGCATTCCTCGTTCAGAGTCACAACACCATAAGTGCGAATATCTGGTTAGGGGTTTGGATAAGAGATTCTCGGCGCTCGGAACGGGGAACATACGGAGTTGACGACGCCGGGATTCTGGATTCGCTTTCAGTAGCTTGTTTATAATGGCGTTGAAGTCCATCATCCGCGCATCCTTGCGGAGATCATCCCTAGGTTTCCCAAGGAACATATATACGAGGCCATCATTGCCGCGAATCGTGATTTTCCGAGGCTTTGCTAAAGAGCGCATCACTTCGATCTCGTCATAGAAATCTAGGGAGGCATCCATGGGCGTTCTATGGGCAATTTTATCGAGCACATACCTTGAAAAGTGGGAGGATTAAGCGGGAAAGGTTGGTGTGTAGCTTCAGATGCCGACGTTGACGGAAGGCTCGCGGTCAGAGACTCTTGCAGTGGGATGATCAAACGAGAGGGCACTAGTCTACGCAAGCCTGGGAAGTGCTTGCTCATACTCAGCGTGCGCTCATCGTCCGCAACTTTGTGGTCGCAGAGATCGAGTAGTTCGTTGATCATATTTTCACATTCATTGATAAGGCCAGGAACTTCCGTACGCGCACTTGCAGGATTATTCTAGCATCATGGTCAGAGAGTTTCGAACACGAAATAAGGTGCAATATACCCGAAGTCTGTTTAGAATCTCTCGCCCACGGGAACTTCTTTGAGCTTTCTTGGATTTAAGGACTGCAACGAAAAGCCAGAGCGCCTGCTTCGGATATTCTTGAATTACAGACGCAATCAGTTCCGACAGCGCATTGTAGATTTCTTTATGGCTGTGCCCGACTCGAGACACGATTTGAGGAAAAGCCGTATACCACTGTCGGGGATGAGAACAGGGGCCCTAGAAAGTGAAGATTGCACTTGCCTTGTACGCGGGCGCTACCTTAATGGCTTTCATGACCTCGGTGGTTATTCGAGGCAGAGTCTCCGTGCCTACCATCTTCGGATTTTCGCCCAAGTCAAGCCAAAGGGTCAGTATTCGCGGTACGGTCTGGTATATATACTTAGATCCGTAGCGAATGGCCCGAGAGAAGCATTTGACCGTCTGATAAATCATCTTAATCCCGCTGCAAAGAGTACAATATAAATCGGATGAACTGCCACACTTTGTACCCAAGTTATGAGTTATGATACGTACCGGCCTTTGTGGTCCTTCAAGGGTAGGGTTTTGAAGCACTCGTCGTGGAATCGCCCAAGATAGAATTGACCGCTTTCCCACCTGCCGTGAAAAAACCTTCAGAGGGGATCACCCTGGTATCTGGGATAAGAACTCACTTGGGCCACAGCTCCGTCGCGTTGCTGAATGTCTTCGATACCAGACTGAGATCATAGCGATCCGAGTCGTTCATCCAGCGCGCCAAAAGCACTTGGGCCTGCACCCTCTGATTAGCTTCAGACTGACAGGGATAAATGGTGTCCTGACCTTGGCCTTGGCCTTCTTGGACTCGCTGCTGTCGCCTTCTTCGGTCAGGTCGATGACTTCCTGGTCGGATAACTGCTGGAGATTGATGGATCGCTCTAGCTCTTGCAGGGCACGTAGGGGTTCCCCGCTTGCTTTTGTGAGCTTGGCACCTTCAGTGAAGACAAAGGGAGCATGACAATGCTGTGCTTGAAGGACAGCACTGTAGGCAGTTTGCCAGTAGCTAGCTTTCCTCGCAATCTTGGCACTAGACAACCAAGAACTACCAATTTCAAGTTCGACTCGCTTATCCCGGTTTGGGCTAGAATAAGTATCAATATCTGTCACTTCAGTAGGAAAAGGAATATAACCTCAGTAAACCCAGTGCAGTACGACGCATACTAAGAATGGGTTCTCGAGCACGAAACGTTGGTAGGGTGGAATCCAACCGTGCCGAGAGACGTGTCGACAGCGCACCAATCATGTTTCGGACTTGTTGATTCGTACCTTGCCTCGTTTGAGACATGGTGTGATAAATCATTTCCAGTTCCCGTATCTTGTGTAAATCAAGGATAGATTCATAGGCTCTCTGATAACCTTTCGAACCCGATGTGGTGACGGTTGAGCCCAGGAACATGCGTGCTTGGGCAAGGGATGTTGCGATGGCTGAGTGATCGTCTGTCTGCATCGCAAGGAGAACACGGGCAACCGCAACGTGGGGCGATTCCTCGGAGCTGACTTCAACTACCCTCCTCACTTCCTCCCAGTCACCTACCATCCAGGCACTCTCCACTTGGTAACCAGCGAGCTTAGCCTGCCAATCGGGATGTCTAGTAAGGACACCTCTGACATGAGTGCGCAGAGTGTCTATAAATCCGATCAGCTGGGTAGTGTCTGGAATTTCATGATCCTTACCGTAATGACCAAGGTTGCGAAGGGATCGTAGAAGACCTAGGTGGGAGTCAATATTGTCAGGCTCCTGCTGCAGCCTTACTTCCCAGCAGCTTTGAGCTGATGTCCAATGACCCATGCTCTCGTGTTGACGTATCTGATGCTGGAGGGAGGGGGCGAGGATGAAGGTGGAGATACCTTCCATACCATCTGGCTCATCGAGGTCAGCATAGATTTCATGCAAGTGCTCGTAGTAGACTTGGAGTTCAGTGGGCCGTGCGTCACGCTCCCGCATCTCCACAATTTGACGCTCAAAACTCATCAGAGAGCGTGCAAAACTCTTGCACTGCAGAGCGGCCTTGGCCATGAGACCTTGATCGATACTGGACAAGACCGAGTCAACTCGCAGAACTTGCTCTTCTGAGTCTGCATCGGTCATATGCAGTCGAGACCTTCTGCTGTCCGCCCTTTTCCTGGAGATATCTTGTCGCATCAGACGAACCCATTTGCTAAGGTGGTCCATCAGGCTGAAAACGGCCTACCGTAAGTCTGTCAGTTTCCATCTTGAAGTCAATGATCGATACGAGGGTATACCTGGGCGCTCAAAAGCTTCTTGTCAACGGAAGATTTGCTTTGGGGATCCACTTGATCTTCCAAGACCGCCAGCAACTCAGAGCGGATGTTCTGGGCCTCACTACCATCACCGGAGACTAGCACATGGATGATGAGGTGAGGTAAGATATGATGAGCAACGGCAACGTCTTTATTCCGCACCGCAGAACGAAAGCAACCGAAGACACGCTGGGCTGCTGGACCAGAAGTGCGCGTAATCAAGTAAGCAGTCCACAGCTGCAGCCATTCTCTGTATGTCGGCTTGTTATGGTAGACAGGATGCTGGATATGCGGCAGAGGCTTTTCTTGCACACGATAGCGAGCCTCCAGAAGCGGGGTCACAGTTTCCAAAATATGCTTAGGGAGACTGTTCCAGCGGTTCCGGACCTTCAATGGGACGGAGCCAGATGAGCCAGCTCCCACTAGCGCGGGAGTGAATTTGCAAAATTGGAGAAGTTCTTGGATCGCGAAGGCCAGGTGGGCTTGATATTTAATGTCACTTGTCGAGCGGAAGGCACCCACCAGCACGTCCTGTATAAGGTGGATAGCGAAGGCGATGCCTTCACCTTCATCCTGGAAATTGCTAAGTACGAACATACGAGGGTCGTTCTGACCTAGTTCAAATCGATCCGGATCCAACGCGCCAAGTATGCCAATGCATTCGTATGCCAAGAGGCGAATGGTTTCAACTTCGTCTCCGTCGCGAGCCGCGTTGTCCAGTAACGCTGTCATGGCTCGTCCGATTAGGGGATCAAAGACGTCCCCAGAAGACATTTCGCGGATAAAATTGTCCTCTGCCTTCATTAGATATTGCTTCAGCTCTTTCATAGCTTGCATTGCCACAATAACGTTATCACTTGAGGACCTATCAAGGAGGCGGAGGAAAGCTTCCTTGGGAGGACATTCCGGCCGTATGTCCAAAACATGTTCTTGTAGAGGCTCTAGTTCCGGCACGGAGGACATGTCGATCACATCATCTAGGTATTTTCCAAGACTCTTGCCTAGGTCTAGGACGATATAGTCTATGCATTGCCTGGCCTTTATCCGCGCAGATTCTGGGAAGTTAGGCCAGAGGGCCACGAAAGATGCCGTAGTGGGACCGACGTAGGGGCCAACATCTTCAGGGCTAAGAGTTGTCAGGAATTTGTACCAGCCGTCAAGTGTAGCCTCCGAGACCTCCGCGATGCCCAGCATCGTTTGCATGGTTGCCATGATCTGTGGTAGGGGTCCATAAGCTCTCGGTGATTTCCCGAGACAAACGGCCTACCTGAGGAGCAACATTATTCACAGATGGCCCAATGTTGATAATCATAGCACCCAAGCCACGTAAGATGTGTCGCTTGGTCTCCGCTGATTTCCTTCCCTGCACTTCCTGCAACATCTCATTCAGGTACGTTATGAGGCCCAATATATTCGCGTTGAGGAAGCTAGCCAGCCGGTCATCGGTGAACGAGCGGGTGGTCCTGGTGCTCGACTGCATAAACTGCTCGATCTTCTGAAGACCTCGGAGTCCCTGGAAGAGGGTGAATCAATGGATCTTAGAATCGGGCAAAGTAGGGTACGGCTCACCAGCTTGGCTTTGTTCTCATTTTCATCTCCCATTACGATTATCATTTCTGCTAGCAAAGGAGTGAGGCAACTTTTGACAACGTTGTGCACGTCGATGGCGGTACTTTCGGCTGCCTGCCTGAGCTGATTCACGATGAAGTCAAGAGCTGCCTGTATGCCTGCGTCATCCTCAAGAAGGAGGGCATGGGCCACAACATCGTGCGAGTGGTTCAAGTAGAGAGTGAACGGTCTCTTCCCCAGCTCTCTGCCTATCAGCTCCAGAACTTTCCCATTGCACGTCGCGAAAAGCGGGGGAAGTATGCGATGCAGATTAACCGAAAGGAAATCTGCTGGCGATATCGAAATGAATCGACAAAATTCCACTAACAGAGCAGGTTCTGTGGCCATGCGGGAGACGACGAAGGGCGAAATGTCGCCGAGATATGGTGACACAAGGCTGTACGCGGATTTCTGGCGAGTACGAGCTATGGTAAGCAGCTGGACCGAACAGAAAAATCAGCTGTCCATTTTTGAAGGAGACAAACCAAAGACAGACGAACAGCCATGTAAGCATTGCCTTTGAGCACTGGGTTCTGCCTCCCAAGCTGAGCCACCAAGCAACACAAAACATGACCTAGTACTTCGAAGCCTTCGACTCTAGTGTTGGCGAAGAGGTCAGCATCACACAACTCCATGGACGTGTCCCAGTGAAGCGCACATACCTTGCAATGGCTCCAATAGTGACTATAATGGTTTCTTTCACGGTAGCTTTCACAGCAGCCGTCGTTCCGTCGAGCAGCGCGTGAAACCTATCAAACAGGGGGCTTATACTGCTCCGAGGAGTAGGGGATGAAGTCTGGTACATGTGGGCTAGAGCCAGCGACACCCCACTAGAAGTAAGACCAGTCAGAACAAGGAATCGCCCTTATGATCCCACCCTTACCCTGCTGCCAGTCGGACGCTCCGGTTTGCATCGCACATGCCGCGAACAACAAGGTTCTCGACGTATTCCGTCTGCACAAGTGTCTTCTGATGCACCACAGCCTTTTCCAGAAGTTTATATACGGCAATCTTCACCTGCGGAGTGATCTCGTCAACCAGGCCGTCTAGAAGTTTAGGAACTACAGCTATACAGGCCGCGAGTACTGGCAGCCTGAATTGTCCGGATGAACGCGAGCATGTCGTCGACTGATTTGGATGAACGAGCAAGCACACCAAGCCAGCTAGCTTGTTTGTGAGGGCTGTTCTGTCTGCTGCTGACGTCTGTTGCAGAGGCCTGGGATAGTCAGTAAAGGTCACTGCGCCTGTAGCTTCACCGCCCTACCTTGAGAACCTCTGTTTGACCATTTCAAGCGTGCGAGTAGCAAAGCCCTCTTCCGTCTCCTGGCCGTCTTCCATCAGGCGATACCCGTCAGGGGCTGTGACTTCCTCTATAACCTTTTCCACTGTGATTCGCCATCGACCGACATCTTGTGTTGGGGCCTTGTCGTCAACGTCCATGCGATCGCTGCACTGCTGTGACCGATCGCGGATTATCCTGAGCAACGGTCTGTATAAGTCCATTTCAGGCCGGAGGGATACCACGTCTTCAATACTAGCGAGGACATCCGGGCTAACAGTTGACGAAACCCATTGTAAGTAAGATGCGAATAACTCCTACGTCATGAACTTAGATCAGCGACAAGAAGAGAACGTCGAAGAGACTTACATGCACTTCTTGCCCAGCATTATCGAACTCAGGATCCTGCAAACGTTCCAGAACCGCTTGGACCATGTTCTTCCCGTGGATCTTGGCAGAAGTTGACCGAAAGTACTTGCATAACGCCTCGTGTGAACGTGGCCAGGACGGTCGAAAGTCTATGAACAAACGAGCGGCGAGCATCCCAGTTATCGTATATTCCGCAAGCCTGCTTGATTCAGAGTTCGAGAGCACACCCAAGGTATCAACTACCTGGGCTACACAAATGTCTCTAAGAACAGCGGTGGTTTGGCACCGTGGAGACAGGCAGTAACGATGGACAGCGCTGGACAGAGTGATGGACGACCGAAAGACATCTAGCAGAAAGTGCTGACATATGAGAGAAGGTCTCAGAGCACCGGTCAGGGTTTCGAGGACCACGCCGCAGAGAGCGGGTATATGAGAAGCGTCCTGGACCGTGAAGTCGGGCGTGAAGTCGTCACCCTCGGGGGAGGCTTCCCTGACGCGGACATTCGGGATCAATGTCACTCGTAGAGGATATGTCGTGGTAACAGGGAGACTGATAAGCTCTACGCCTGTGTCAGCATAGAAACTGAAATGAAGTGACGGACACCACCTTTGGCAAGCTCGACACAGCTCCGCAGAATCATCCTCAGAGTCTTCCAGCAAGGCTCCTCGTTCTTCCCTACCGTCGACAGCCCGCCAGCAAAACTTCTAAGCCATTGAACCATAACTTTCATGGCATCTGCCTTCAGCTGCGACGGGTGTGGCATATCACCAGTTATCGGCTTTTCTACATTGGGCCAGACTTGCAGGCGAAAACAGAGGCAGAATAGGGCCTTAAATGTCGTAACAGGGTAATCACCAGTCCCAACGAACAGTCCCTCCACCCTCTCTAGCACCCGCTGCAGCGCATCCAGGGTCATGCCCGCCAGCTTCACCTTCTCAGGCATGAGGTCCCATCGTATATCACGCGGTTCCGGGAAGTTCAGGAGGAAGTATTCTGCAAGACCTGTCGTCGCTGGGATCCAAGTACTTTTGGGCAAGTGTTTCGATGGGTCGCCGCGCAGATTTTGCGCAATGAGGTCTTCCAGGAAGGCGATGAAGGCGGTGGACTGGGTCTCATTCGCCAAGCTAGGGTAAGCCAGCCCGCCAGGCAAAGGTGTGCCAGGCATAGACGCCATCGTGGAGAAAAGTCAAGTCGGCATACAATACCGTGCGCCTAGTCTAGTGCACTGTTAGTGGCCACTCCGGGATTGCAGACCACCATACTATGTAGTAACTTGAACGCGTGATGCGTAACGCGTCGTGGACGCGTCCAGTCACATTGACAAGCTAATTACGGGCGTGCAGGAGGACGCATAGGGATGCGCGATCGTACCGAGTTGCTCGCGTACCATAGAATGATTGCGAGTGTAGCGGACAATCATGCAGTAAGCATAGATATATATATAACTGACGGGAAGGGAGTAATACAAGCGTGTTTAAGCTACACCGTGCGATTATGGATAACGATAAAGCGGGGTGAAGCCTCCCGCTCTAATCCAAATCAAACTGGACTCAAGCTGCGGTCGGGGCGACAGCAGGCGGAGATACGGGCGATGAAGCCTGAGCTTGGGCTTGTGCCTCCTTCTGTGCTTGCAGTTCCTTCTCACGCTACACACAAGAGGTGTGGTCAGCACTGAGCGGTGGATCGAGGACGGAGTTACCGTTACTTTTTTCGCGGCAGCCTTCATCGCAAAATAGTCCTTGTGTAGTCCACACTCCGTCTTCTCCGCCTTACCAGCCCACCTACCCGCCCGCTCCCCCGCGTCTCCATCACCGCTCTTCGCAGTGCTGTGCCAGTCCCCTATACTCTTGTATCCCTGATCCAAAAGCTTATTCCGAGGCACGTTGTGCTCCTTAACGTATTGATCGACAAGGGAGAAGTTCCAAGCAAAGAGCGGGTTTAGTTTCAGGAGACCTGTGCTGTCAGCTTCGAGGGGCTGGAGATTTGCGCGCTCGCCGCCTTGCGAAGCCCGCCGACCGGTGATGACAGATTTCACCCCCAGTTCATCGTATGCACGGCGTGCGGGTTCGACCTACAGCTGAATGTCAGATGATGAAGCAAAGCATCACGAAACATTACAAACCTTCACTGCAAAATCATACGTGTCTTCGTCCACCTCCCAAAGCTTCTGCCCATACTTCGCCTCGAAGTCCTCCACATTCGAGCAGTCGTATGGCTTGTAAACATGGACATCTCGGTTGTACCGCCTCTTCACTTCCTCTACGAGCTCTAGCGTCTCGGGGAAGTGGTAGAGGGTGTCGATGAAAATGAGAGGGGGAGGGTTGGACGTCAATTTAGACAGCATATCGATGGTCACTAGCCCTGTCAGACCGAATGCCGTGGTCTGGTACAGGCTGGGGAGGTGTTCTATGCCCCACTGCAGTATCTCTTGTGGTGAGAGCGTCCTGAGATAGTCATTGATGCGATCCAACTCCTCCTTGGACAGAGGAGTCTGCAGGGGTCTAGAAAAGGTTGGCGCAGAGCTCGACATATCGTACAGAAGAGGCGCGATAAGAAGGGATATCGAGTGGACCGGACATGTCCAACGAGCCCATCTTTATACGGTTGCGACAGACTTGTGCCATCTTGTCGCGACAGCCACATTATTCAGCCACACCGCCCAATCGAACGCTGGAGAATACGCACAATTCCAGATAGAGGCGCTATCTGCATGATGCTGCGAGCGACGTTTGTGAGGTGTTTGGCAGATATCTGGAATTCAGGCTTCGCCGTATCGTACACACGCGCCTCGCTTGCAATCACATCTGCTGGGTTGCAGAGTTGTTCATCAGCGCGGACATCCTGCGTGGAAACGAGTGCTATTACTCTAGCTCTTATTGGTCTCTACTTTATGGAATATGTTCGACATTATGGAATTGGTGCAAGGGGTTCATGTATGCTTACCAGGCCGTCAAGCCTTTACTCTATGTTCAATTGCATTTCTCAGATACTGACAGCCAACCTTCCGAATGGCAAAGAATGATAGCGGACCATATGGTGCGGGACACCTAGTCACTGCTACTTTTGTACAGCAGTTGTAGATGGATAATTCTAATCGCTAACCCCCCTGGGAGCAACAAATCCTCAGCAACCCATGCCATTATCCATAGGGTATGGTGAATGATTTGCCAGGACTTTGTAACATACATTTCACTTACAGTGCCTTGCATAAGAAACTGAACATCGCATTTCCGCGCGCGTTGTTTGTCCGCGCCAAACATACCCTTTTCGGGTATCGGCAAATGTGCGGCAAAGACTCATCGAGAGAGAGGGTTAGCTGGGCATACAGCTAGGGCAAGACTATAATGATTTACAGCCCTTAGTGTAGTTGTAGAATATACATTTCTGTCATTCTCTGAAGCCTTTCGAGCCCTCTCGGGGCATCTGCGAGTCCCTGCCCAACAAATGGTCCCGCGAGAGGCCTTCCGGACCTACCCGAAAAGGGTATATTTGGCGCGAACAAGTAACGCACGCGGAAATGCGATGTTCAGTTTCTTATGCAAGGCACTGTACGGATATGGTCCTCTGCCGGTGCATGGTGGATTCCAGGCTGGATAATTCTAATCAACAACCCCTCAGCAACCCATGCCATTATCCAGCAACCCGGTTGTCCATCCGTGGTCACATGTGACATCATACTCTATCAGTCTGCATTACATTGGTTTACTTGGACTTCACTCTATGTACATAGCTACATATAAAAATATTAGGCTGAGGCTCTGCCAGTCAAGGCTACTAAGGTCGGGTGCGGGTGCCACCGCGGTATTCAACCGGGGTTGCTCAGGTGCGGGTACAGTGCTTGGACCGTCCACACCGCACCATACCACAACCCGCGGTCCGGGTATACAGGGTTGTGGTTCTCACAGATGGGTCACAGGTTTCACCTAGACTGGTGATATTTGGACTTACAAAGTGCCCCAGCCCAGTCGGTAAGCGTTTCTCGATCCCTCTGTACCGGTACCGTTGCGGGCATCAGCAAATTGTGCTGCAGCTGGTAGCACAGCGGGCAAGAACCGGTGTCCTGCCATCAGACATTCATCGTTCACAGCAAGGGTGGGAGAACACTTTCCTAGGATGCTCCATAGTGGAACATGATACAGACATAAAGAATGAAAGGACAATGTTGATTAAATGTCCCCTGATATTTTGGGGGCCGCAGTAAATGTCCTGCAGACCTTTCTTTGTTCACTCAAAGGACATTCTTCGTTGGGACCCATGGCATTGCCACTGGAGGTGTTTGGAGTGTTATGTACTGTAATTGTTTAGAAAATGGGATTGAAATATGGTAGTACATGATTTATAATCTACAATTCCACAGATTTTATGACCTGCTCAACATGTCAGTACATTTTGATGATGCTTGAGACTATATGGAATACATACTGAGTAGTTTAGGATACCTGAAAGTACCTCAGGGTACACAATGTTTGGTGTCCACCTATTCTCTGCATCTTCCTTGAAGAGTACTTTGATGTGGTTTGCAGATGTGCCATGTGACAGTGCAACATAGAACTGGCCATGTGAAAATACAGGTATCCTCAGGTCTAGGCCAACATATTTGACTGATTGCCCCTGTGACTTGTTGATGGTCATGGTGAATGCAAGCCTTACTGGGAATTGGCACCTGGATAGTCAGATGCGTAGTTCTTCTGCTGTTGGCTCCAAAGTTATTCTTAGGATGAATACAGTCCTCCCAGCATGCTTTCCACCCAGGATTCAACATTGCAAGACATTGTTACCCGCAGAAACCAAAACAACCCATGTACATTGCATAGGCCATTCATGGGGGGAAAACCCCAGAGGACCATCAGAGGACAGCCTTTCTTGAGAGCTAAGTGGGCAAGTGGTAAGCCAGGAACTTTGAGTGAGTTAAGGAATTCCACAGGGTACTGTATGTCTATGTAAGTGACGTAACACGTAACGCAGCCTGATTCTTCTCATCCATGACTTCATCAACCCTAAGCAACAAGGTCTCCGGGACACGGGACAAACCTCAAAATAGGCAACGGCGACAGACCTCTCGGGACACGGGACGTTGCCTAAGATCGTATCGGTACAGTATACTGGGCTCGAGCCAGGATTTACATGTTCTCGCGAGAGCAGCGACGGATGTCCCTCCTTTCCCGTCATTCCACAGCAGGTCAGAGATCCGTCATTGGAGCTCAAAAACACCAACGCACGGATGCGCGCTTGCGTTCCGGAGTTCCTGTGATGCTGGTTATGTAGGGGAGATGCTGTGATCATGAGCGCTTGGAGGCAGCTGTAGCGGGCCTATAGCAGACGCCTGTAGTAAGTGTGACGTAGGCTTGAAACTTCGCCTCTCAAATAAAACTTAGTAGACGAGCAACTGTCTTATAAGGAGGCTTGTTAATTTTCCCACTGCCGTATATGGTGAACGGCAAGAGCGGGACAGGGCTTTGGACCAATTAAAGATGGGGTCCTTAAAGGACCCCGATAGTCATGCCACGTGTCATTTCTCTTCCCCTTTATAGCCAAGGTGGCGGACGATTGTCAAGGGACTTTGAGACAGAACTGACCTTGCTTGGGGCCTTGGACCTTGCGGTCTCAAGGTAAAATCAGAATACTCCGATGTCAGTTGTTTTGCATATGTAACTTGTATTCTCGAAACCTGAGGGAGGGATGAGTGGACATCTCTCAGGACCCCAGGCCTTGAGTTGAATGCTCAGTCACAAATAATTGCTGGAACACAGCTGCTTTCGCAAAATAGATATAAATGACGCTGCTCAGGATGTGAAGTGTTCAGCTTGCTACCAAATATCATCTATATCTACGGTAGCGGGCTCTGCCGTGCTCGCACGGCCCTACCGCCTTATTTAGTATTACCACCGCAGAAGTCCCCCTGAAGCTCACGCGTAGGTAGCTTTACTGCGCCCCCGTGCAAACATGTACAAATATACCATATTGAGAAGAATGTCACGTGATGCCGGGAAACGCGGGCTTCCTGCCGCGCGCGTGTCCGGCCAGTAAGAGTGTCTTCAAGTCTGGACTAAGAGGGTCATATAGACGGGGCAAAATAGATTTTCATTGAAATCTATATAGCTGTGATACATGTGGCTGACAAGGATGATATAAAAGCTAACAGTAAGGAAAATTAATAAACCCTAACCCTAAAAGCACAAATCAAAGGAATTTGCAACCGTAGGATTCGAATCCCAGACATCCAGCACTCAAGGCAGGCCGCATAACCACTGCACTAAAAAGGCAATAAAAATCTCATGCATCAAAATAATATGATGGCAATAGAATTGGCGTTTACTTAATTACGCTGGGTCCAGTTATTTTTAGTGACGCGGCCGGAGGGGTCGGAGGTAGTGTTGCCACGGCTCGGCACAACTCGGCACAGCTCGGCTCTCGCCGGCTCTCGCGTGGTAAGGCCCCGCTCCCGCTCGACGAGCCATGATGTCAGGCTCCAAAGCCGCCGGCTCGGCACAGCTTGTGGCTCAGCCGCGGCTCATTGCCTAATGTGGCCAAGTCAGCGACGAGTCATCTTCGAACGCGTCCATGAAAGTACGCGCCGGCGCAACGACGTCGCTCGTAACCTAAGTAGAACAGATAGAGAGTGTACAGGATATGATAGATATAATAGCACTATATTAGCCCCCATTACGCTGGTCATTAACCAGAATGGATTCTTCAAGCTCATGTAGCTCAGTGTCTTTATTCATTCCCGCTGTGAAGTCGAGGTGACGGCCGTGACGGAAGGAGAATTTGAGCATTTGCAGTGCTTCCATCAGTTCTGCTGCAATGCGGTTGCGGCGGTCTGTCATCGTCTCCTTTGCTGACGAAAATACACGCTCGCAGGGGACTGCCGAGCCTTGGATCGGCAGGATGTCAAGAGCAAGCTTGAATATCGTCGGGTAGCGGTATTGGTTTTCCTATAGAAACATTATTCATTGTTCTCAAGAATAATTAATGTACTGCACCTGCCAGTACCGCACGCTATTGCTGGAGAACTGCGAGTCAAGTATGTATGCGTCAACTTCTTGCATCAA